AAATATGGAATCAAGTAGAAGCTGCGTGTGGTGTAACTGATAAGTTAATTTAAATTATAAAAAATATTATACCATCCGTTTTAAATATTATATGTAAGCTCATAAAATGTTAACTAAAAAAATGATTTTTTTTCTATATAACACAGCCACTAATTTTACATTTGTGAGTGATGTACATAGAAAATAATTGTATAATATTAAAACTCTTATATTTTACGTGATTTAAAAATACATTTAAGTTGGATAATGAACACGTTAAAATAATTTTAAATACATTTCAAATAAATACTCCTTTAATCTTAAATTTAATAATACAACAAATACATATCCAATATTTAACTTTAGTACGGTACAATACACGTGCATTTTAATCCAGACTATATAATTATTATAATAAAACATAATTTAATAATTATATATATTATATATATATATATATATATACATCGTGTTATAGTATTTCAAAATAGTTTTATAATTAGTTACCTATAGAAAATTTTTCGTTTTATTTGACTGTTGTAGTTACTTTTAATGTTCCAAAAAATAACTTGCAAATTTATTTCTGACGTCTTTTGCACGTTGTGAAGAATTTGGATTCCTACCTTCAATATTTCTGTTTGGTATTTCATTTTGTAAAATATCTTGATTTAAATTTTGCGTTACGTCAAAATAATCTAAATCACTATCACCATTTTTTGTTCTTATCAGATTATATAAAATACAAATACATTTTATTATTATTGCAGCTCTTTTTGAATCCACATTAATATCTTTTCCTAGAACGCGTCATTTTGCTCTTATTATTCCAAAAGCACATTCTATGCACTTTCTCGCAGCATAATAATAATAATTATAATAATAATAATAATAATAATAATAATAATGATAATATAATAATAATATAATATATGATAATCTTTTATTAAAATTTTCTTGAATTGGATCTAAATTTCGACTGGGAAAAGGCCTTAATAAATAGTGTTTCAACGGATATGCTTCATCCCCTATAAAAACTAATGGCGTTTCTATATTTTTTCCTGGTAGACACTGGTTAGGAGGTATATTTAAATTATTGGATTCTAAAAGTTTACATAATTTTGATGCGGCAAACGTACCACCGTCACTTTGTTTACATCTTGCTTCAACTTCTATAGTTATAAACTTCTTTTCCGCGTCAGCTACGCCTTGTAATACCAAAGAAAAATATTTAAAATAATTAAAATAACTTGATCCGGAATTTTGTGGACACTTAATTTGACAATGTTTTCCATCAATTGAGCCTAAACAATTTGGAAAATTCCATATTTTATAATAATCATTTGCAATTCGTTTCCAATGCGCTTCTGTGGGAACTGGCATAAACTCGTCAACTAACTCTTCCCAAATAACTTTACATGTTTCGTGAACAATTTCAGATATTGTAGATACTCCCATTCTCATAGTTACCGCCATATTTCGGAAAGACAATCCAGTTGATAAATACCCAATAAATAATACTACTAGTTATAAAAAGGAAAGTTTTTCATTAAAAAATAATGTAGAACAAAATATTAGTAGGTATATTGAGGCTTTTCTTATTTTAGGTATGGTCAAAGTTTCATTGAATCGCCTTCTAGGTCTTTTCTAAATTAAAAAACAAAAATTCAATAATTCGTTCTTTTTTTTAACACAGAAAATTAAACTGTCTTCTATTAGAATAATTAAAAAATCCATAAAAAGTTCTACAGAAATTTTTAGAAGGTTTCGAAAAATTACTGATTAAAATAATTATAACATTTAAAGATAACCTTTAAGTAAGTATGAGTTATACGAGTGCATGTTTTTCATAAATATGTTATCAAAATAAATTTTAAATGGCTATCGAGTTAAAACAATGTCTTTCTCTGTATCATATGACTGAGTTATTTGTAGGTGAAATAGCTAAAAAAAAAAATGGAAAAATACCAAAGACACTTTCAGAAGAGAACTTCAAAAAGAATCAAAACCTCGTTCTGGTGCAGAAAGTGTTGACTACCAATCTAAGTGGCCATTTTTCAGAATGATGTTCTTTTGTAAAGATGTGTTTTGACTATAGTGTTTTGACGGGTGTACAAAATTTTATTTTGGTTGTACAAAATTGTACAAAATAATGTACATAATACTGTAAAGTTTTGGTATTAAGTTTCGAAAGTGGCAGTGCTAGGGAAACGGACCTAAATAAACAGATTATAGAACTGCGATGCCTACATGATAGAGGCTACTTTAGAAATAATATTTTTAGAATATCTTATTTATATAACTAACCACCCATTTTAAAAAGCAGTGACGTTTATTATTAGATAATAATATACAAGATAATGAACGTTACCGCTGTAAATATTTTTTCGTTTCGTGTTCTAGATCTAATTTTCTACGTAAATATGTATAATTTAAAAAAAAATTGTTTTTTTTTTTTTTGTATGTTATGATAAAGTTCCTGTGCCCCCAATTTAAACATACCTTGGGGGCCTCCGGGCTTAGGCTCCGGTGGCCCCGGCCTAAATACACCCCTATGTATGTGGCTAATATATGATTGCGAATGGCACGATTGCAAACGGACCTTTTCCCGTAACACGATTGCTAACGTTTTCACCTGCCTTTTTTCGTGCGGCGTTGTCAGATTTGGTGTTAGGATCGGTACACATTATAGCAGTACGGTGGTGGTGTGATGCAGTGGTGGTGCATGTGGTACTCCAATAAAATTAGAACAGGATAAAACGTGCACGCCGCATTACCACTGTACTGTTTTGGCGTTTTTTTTTCATTATCGCAACGCACCGATATTAAATTAATGAATTAAATATTATTTGTCCAAATTTTGTTTTATTTTCAAATAATCTTATCTTATAAGATTAACAACAATGATTTTCTATTATTACGTCGCCGGGCGATAAGATAGTTATGATGTAGACTAAATACTAACAAATTAACTATAATATTTTTTTAACATTCTATTAATTTGACAGAAAACCAACTAAATTTGTATAGACGTACAATATTATTCAAAACTATTATTTTGTATTATATTTTTTATTTATTTATTTTTTTTAGTTCTATACAGTATTTTATGAATTATATATCATTATGTTATTTTATTAATATTTAAATCAAGAAATATTTTTTAATTAAACACATGTTTTGTATCATTTTATGTTATTTAGTAACGTGATTATAATACAACAGTATTATAGATATCGAGTAGATTTTACTAAAAAAAAAAAAAAATTAATTAAATCCTTAAATAAAATAAAATTCAGAAATTTTGACATATTTAGATAAATATAAACTTGGCAACGTAGCCTACAGAAACGTTCGTAATCGTTTGTTTTTCAGTTAAAAAAAAAAAATTCTTTGATAAACAATATTCGTTCGAAATCGTAATATACCTATAAAAAGTAAAACATTCGCAATCGTTCGCTACCCATGTATGTAGGATGAATAAAAAAAAAAATTTAATTTTAAGAAATGGTAAATATGAGGGGCAAAATATTTTTAGGTAGACCCAGGACAAGATGGGTGGACTAAAACAAGATCTTAAAAAACTGTATAGGTCGCTCCGCACTATTTCGTAGTATTACCAGAGTCGTGTCAAACATTTCAGCGCCCCGGGGCAAAATTTTTTCTTCGGGGCCATTGGGCACGAGTAACGTAATACGGTTAAGTGCATATAAGGGCGCCTCCTTACTTTTACAAAACTACGGCACTCAAGGGCAAAAAAATATTGATTGTTTACTTAATTTAATTGATCCATCTACTTCTAAACAAGTTTACGAAAACATGCGCAATGTGAAACCACATAAAACCATATGAAACGACACGGAAACAAAGAGAAATAATTTTTTCATGTCCTTTGATTTCGTTGGTTTACCGCCTCGGCCGCTAAATATCACGAAAAAGCCATGTACACTGTTCATGAAACACGAAACACGCGATAAATTTCATTTTTATGGCCTGTATTAGAAAATAATGGAAAAAATAATTTTGGAGGCAGCAATTGATTCTTGAATTTACACTAAAAAGTATATTAACGACAAAATAACTTTTCCTAATGAAGAAAATTGCATGCTAAAATGATAATAGTATAAATGAATGTTGGCTTGTCCATAACCCTACGTATACTGACATGCTACATTATTGCAATCAAGTTGGGAGTATCTTCTAAGGATAAGATATTGTCAAGTGCGTACCTATCCGACGTAATAGAGATGTCAGACGGTGAGTGATACGAGTACGCAGTTGAGTCGAAATTGAAAAAAAAAACCCTGGGCACGGTTTCAAATGGCAACATTATTTATTTATATTTATTTAACATTTAACGGGTCGAGCTCGTTATAAAGAAAAAATATACTAATATTTAAATAAAAATAAAAATAAAAGACATGGAGAAAAAAAAATGTTTACATAAAATTAGAACAAAATAAATATTCTTAGCGAATATTAACGAACAGATATTGAAATATAATATTCGCAATAAGGTACACGTAGAAGTGGGTTTTGATTTGAAAATATAAACAAAGCTTTCGTTCTTAACATTTTTTGCGAGACATGGAAAAATTATGAATACGTATGAACATGAACTATGGCGAACTTAAGAAAACGAATAATGGTCCATTCGTTTTAATAATTTTTCTTCTAGGCGGGGCTTTTCCTGGATCGTATAGGGTTTGGTGACCTTGGTCCTGTAGACCGGTATAATACGTTGCTCGGACAAAATTGGTAAGGTGACGCGAGAATCTCGCAGCAGTGCGCGACGTTACTACGATATAAACGTATCACGTCGCACTACGGCGAGTAGATCGTCGTATTCGTACGGATCATAACATCAACGCAATCGACCTTGAACGTAGTATCCGAACGTCGTTACCGCCGCCGCGGAGTATCGGCTGCGTCTCTGCGGTACGTAACGAGTACGACGTTGCGCATGACGGGAGCGGAGAACGTCTCGCAGTGATCGTCGGTCGACGGCCGCCAAACGATGTGCACGACGCTGAAGCGCATTAAGACGGCGGCGGCGGCGGTCAGCTGACGTCCCGACCGATCATATGGACCGTGAACAAGCGGCGTATCATACGTGATAACGCATACGACATTTCCTTTGTTATTGTTGTTGTTGTTGTTGCGGTTGTCGTCGTCATTAAGAATATAAATAATAATTGTAATAACATCGCGCGCGCGGTAATAAGTGTAATTACACTACTTGCTCGCCGTACGCGATCGTTGCGCGAGGCGCGCGGGGCTCGCGCGCGCGCGTGTGTGTACTGTGCCAGTGCGTGTTTTCGCGTGCGCGCGCGCGCGTGTGTGTGTGTATGATGTTATTATGTACCTGCTTGCGTTATGCGCGGATTGGTTGCGTTACCATTTGTTTTTGTTTTTCAAACGCGTTGTTATAGACTTAGCCCAGTTTCGGTCCGCTATTGTGTTCGGCCGTTCGCGTTCACAGCGTCCGCCGCAGAGACCGCGCGACCGACGGCACCGTGACCACGGCAGTTCGCGAAAATCTTTTCGTTTGCAATATTTTTCCGCGATTTAATATTTATTATTGTTGTTGTTCATTTTTTTTTTCCCACTTCTGTCGCACTCACCGTTTCCTTATCGTCAGTTTTTGTGTGCACTCACTTCGGCTGGCCTTTATTTTTCACCACTCCTCTCGCGTGCGCGCTCGTCCGTCGTTCGAAAACCAGACATGTGAAACAGTCAACATGGAATCCGATCGCGTAGACGCGTTGCCGTCCGGCCGACGTCGTTAAGAAAATGGGTAAGTGAGTATCTACTCACCGCGAAGTGTCCCTCTGCAAGTGCAGAATCACAATGCGGTCGATCCGTGCATGATGAAACTGTTGCATCATTGTCGTTCAGTACTGGTGTTCTATCGAACCGTTGTATTATTGTAGTTGATCAACGGTCACAACAGACGTAAAAACAATGGAAAATGTTCGAGGTCTTTTTCCTTTTTCTTTTGTTTTTTTTTTTTTTTTTCAATTGCAGAACAAGTGTATTAGCCCAACACTACAAGCGTTGTTTTGCTGAGTCATAGTGTCTAAACCATAGTGATATAATTATTATTCCGTATTATTGTTTTCGTAGTAATTGATAGCTTTTGTTATGAACACGCAATTAAATATTTTTTATTTCAATATTTATCTTTGCATAGTATTTTCAACAGCCGTGTAGGTATTTACATTGTGGCCCTGAGTATTCACCTACAAAGCCTATTTTTAGTAAAAATACATTGAACTATTTTCTGCTACATATTTTATATTTTTAGTGTCTTATATATATATATATGATATTATTCAACCTGAGTTTAACAGTGCTAGATTGAAATTATTGGTCAAATTTATTTTTACCAATTATTCTACCTTTCATATGATAACTGACTTGATTTATGTCCATTGTGTTATACTTACTTACACCTAGGTATATAAAAATATTAAAGTTTGATTTAGTATATTATAGCAAACAATTTTGTCTTTCAATCTATCATTAAGTTTATTCACCTGTTTAGTTTTTTATTTATAACCTAACCCTGTACAATAACGAATAAATTTAGTTAAAATGTATTTTTAGTTATGATTTGATTTATTAATGGTAAGTGTTTCTCAGGAAACTTTTTATTGATTTTAACATAATTAGGTACATAGTTTTATTTTCAATTTTCAACATACAGGCTTACTGCATACTAGCTACACTTTAGGAATCCTGAGTGATAATTTGTTACAATTCAAATGATTTATTTACTTTTATTTATATAGTTATTATGCATTAATATTATCATTACACCTAAATTTTTAGTTTATATATAATGTATACTAGAATTGTAATTATTAAATATTATTACCAGTTTACCATTTAGACTCCTTTTATTAACATTTTTTTTCAGTGGTTTCAAAGTTTTAAATACTTAAAATCTTTAATAAATTAACACTAGGCACTAGGGATGGGCATGAAATCCGAATATCTGAATTATCCGGATTTATGAATTTGCTTTTTATATAACTTATAATTATTTTTTATTTCTTGTAAAATAAATTATTGTATTTTATTGTAACAAAAAATTAATATTATATTTTATGAATTTTAATTTACTTTTCATGATTTCAACAATTTTCATAATGTATTATTAGTTACCAAAATAACAATTTATTAAATTGTTGGGTTTACTTTATACCTCTGTGACTTACAGTGATATCATGACTGAACATCTAATTACCTTATCTTAACTGCATAACCTTTGAATGGTTATTGAATACAATTTTCTGAAGATAAGTTGAATATATACTACAATGCAATATAAGAATGATACAATAATAATTGTTATCTATATAATTATTTACAGGGACATGTTTTCTTACAATTATCAAAAAAAAAACTATCCTTAAGTATTAAAAAGCATCGTGTAGAGATATATTGGATATATTGTTAGAATATTATTTGTAATTAAACATAAAAATTAAATTGAATAATCCAGATAGTTCGGATAATCCATAAAATTCAGATATGCCCATCACTACTAGGCACCAATTATTCTAATAAAAATCCTTGCTTTAAACTTCATAAAGTTAACAGCATTTAACCTCTTGGAATTAAAGATATTTATCGTTACATCAAAACAATCAAGTAGAATTAGTAAAGGTCCATTTCCATATAAAATGTTTTTTTTTAATTTAATGAAACATGTAATGCATTATTTTAATAATAATGTAAATATTTTTATTCTTAGATTTTCTCTTAAAACTCATGTGAATCTATTTATTAGGTTATTATACTAGAATAATAAGATTAAGATCTTATTATTAATAATAAGAAATCTTATTTCTTCTTCATGGGAATATTTTGTCCTTAGGACCATATCATCTCATAACCAAGCTTTCATCCTTTGACTAATGCTAGAATCCTCCAGTTAGATCCTCCTTCCAAACGTTCTACATCATTTTTTCAAACATCTTCCTATTGTATTCGTGGTCTTCCCAAAGGTCTTTTCCCTACTGGGTTCTTCTTTTAGATTTATTCATCTAATAAGAAATGTCATCAGCATGTCAGCACTGTTAATATGATCCTACATGGTGTGAAAAATGTCTTCAAATAAACCAATTAACAACTATGAAATTAAATTAAAAATTAGTAAATCATAAAAAAATTAATTTTAGTAATTATGTTCCAACCAACTAAAATATCTTAAACCGTACCTTTCAGTTATTTTTTATTATAATGATAGATATATATTCTTTCTCAAATTTTTGGAAATTTATAGTATTCCTCTGGTACAAATTTATTTACTTACTTATTTGTTGATTTTTTTTATGCTCATTAGATTTAAAATTAATCCCTGGAAGTTTAAGGCCTATGCTAATCCATTAGGTATACAGTTAGGTGTATTGATTGAAAATGTTTTTTAGTGTATTAAAACTCGTGATTGGTTTTTTGAAGCATTTGTTGGCTTTGTCTCTATATACCCAAATGACCTATCCAAAAATTATAAATGCCTAACATAGTAACATAGTATATTTAGGATTTATCAAATTAATTGTGTCCGGTATTATGACGTTAAAATGTTTAGTTTATTTTTTATAGGAACCCTTAAAATAAACAAATAAGTAGTACACATAATTCGGCTTATGAGAGAAAGGTCTTGTGCAGAAACTGTTCTATCCCCAATTACAGCAACACCTTTCGTTCTGCTAGCCGGTTTTTTTTCTCTAATGGACATTGCAAAACTGGTTTCTTCCGCTGGCCGATATTTAGCTTATCAAGCTTTGCTCCAAGTTAATTTGCAAATGTTATGATTAATCTTTACTTTCAAATGTATTCTAATAAATAATAATATAGGTATAAAATATCTGTCCTGTTAACTTACAAAAATGTCAAAGACTGAAGTATTTGTATATTCGCCATTGAAATCTTGTCTGAAAATTAGTGATGAAAAATGAGCTTAAAATTGGTATCAGTTCGCTATGATTTTTAAAAATATTTTTTTATTATCCAAACACAAAAATGGGATTTATTTTTATGTCGTATTTAGTATGAAATATCAGAATTATTTATTTAGTGGAATTAGGTGAAGTTGGAGATCAACGTTGTAAATGTAAAGAAACAGATCGACTAAAATAATTTTTTTCTCTATTTTGATTAATAAAATTAATTTAAAAAATACGTATTATTTATTTAATCGTATTTAACGATTTCATTTAAATGATATGAACACTCAAAATGAAAAAAAAAATAAGAACATTAAAAAATTGGAAAATGGATGATTTGCGTAAAATATGCAAATATATATTTTTTCTTATGTTTCACTTAATATTTTTATTTTTAATGTACCGAAAGAAAATTATGTTGGGATTTATATTCTGAATATTTTTGTAAGAAATTATTTTAATTAAAAAAAAAGTATAATGTTATCAAAAAATAAATGCTGTAGTTTTTACTGTTACAGTATATGTATTTAAAACTAAAATTAGTATCTCACTCAAAGTTTAATTTTTGTTATGTTATTACTATATTGACCTAATACTGTATTTTCTATGACAATAATAAATACATAGTTCATTTTAGTTCAGTGTAATATAAGATAAAATACTTTAAATTTATTGCCCTTTTTCATGTTTTTATAGCAAATTGTTTTATTTCAGATATTCAAACCAAGGGTTTTTACGCACTATATATTTAGTGAATTATTGCGTACTGCAATATCCAAAAAACATTATGTACTTATGACATCATACTAGAATACAGAAGTCGTGGAAACAGGAAGATATCGATCAATAGATCTGTTTTCTAATAAAAAATTTCATCATTTATTATGGAAAACCTTTTAGTTTATCATGTTGACATCGGAAGATGGATTACATGTGATTTTAGCATGCTTAATAAAACGTAAAGTTTTTTTATATTGATTATATTTATTTGGTGTATTTATTGTCTTATTATAAATTATTTATATATATATAATAGAGTATCTGAATTAAAGCTTCAAATTGAAAAAAAGACTGACATCCCAGTTAACAAGCAAGTTTTATTAGTCAGTGGCGGAGGTCATCTAGACCCATCCAAGGCCGTTTCATGTTATTGTGCCGGCACTGATACAAGCCCATTTTTTTTGTTTAGTAAAAATCTAATTGATCATCCTGAAACACCTTCTGCTTATTTTGACACTAGACCTGGTAAGTTAAAATTTTTAATTAACATTTTACTTAATACATAATAAGTTAAACTTGATTGATCCTGTCCTAATATTTCAGAAAAAAATTGTTCTATGATTATTTATTTAGTGGAACACTCCTACTTAGCTAATATTGATATAGAATTTTGGTGTATTATTTTCAATTTGAATTATCTAGTTCAATTATCTTGTTTGAAAATCTGTTCCTAGCAAAACTCGTTTATGCTATAAAAATTTTCTTTAATAAAAAATACCTGCTTATTTAATTTTTTTGTGTTTATAAATGTATATATACTATATATGTGAACTATTCAAATCTATTACAAGAATATAAATATCCAACTTTCTGGGGATCATGATTTCTCACTATCGTCTTAACATCAATAGGTATATGGTCGAAAATCAATAAAACTACGTTTATTTTATTAAAAATTTTTTTTTTTTTTTCAAAACTAGACATTATTTAATGTTTAATAATATCATTCATAATAGAATATACTGATATGCTATTCTATTTTTAAAATTGGTAGCACCTACGTGGATGCAGCCATTAAGCTGGTTTCACACGTAGCGGTTTAGCCGCGTCTGCAGTTAACTTATACACGAAACGGTTTAGTCGCGCGCGTCCGTAGTTTTTTCCCGCCGACACCCGCGAGCGGTCGCGATGATTTTTACCGCCAAATTTTAGTTTTTAAGAGAGGAGGACATTGTAATTAGGTTAGTCGTATAAACAACGTGGTTGTAAATTAGTCAACTTTAACATTTTTTTTCTTAACGTATAATGGAAAAATTAAACAACTTGGAGGCTGTGCGTGTAATCTATGCGTTATACAAGAGGCATATACATCTAAACGCATTGAAAAGAAAACGCAATCATTGGGTTCACTCATTAAACTTAAAAAGGGTCAATGAAGGTCAATTTAAAATTAAATTTCAACAATAAACCGTTCGGTATTGAATATTTCAAAAGATCTCAAAACGAATATTTTTTTATAATTAATGTATTTATTTAATAAAGATGACACTTCGAGAGTAATTTTACAATTGACCCGCACATTCAGGAGCCTCGACCGCTAGCGGTAGAACCGCTTTGTGTGTATTTACCCATTAAGAATACCAAGTTTAATTTTAGCAAGCGGATGCGGTCGACCGCTCAAAAATTAAACATGAGCGGGCGGAGGCGGTTGTACGCGGCAAAAAGTGGCGCGGTTTTTCTCGTGTGAATAAACGTTTTTAAACATAGGTGTTCAATTTTGGCGGTTTTTCGCAGCGGCTAAAAACCGCGACTGCGCGCGGCTAAACCGCTACGTGTGAAACCAGCTTTAGACTTCGCTGTAATCGTTTGCATTCGACTTCATAAGAAAACGTTTTTAACAAAAGAATTTGAAAAGGTTTTCATATTTTAAAGTAAAAATGTTTCTATTATTTACCATTTTTTTATCAGTATGAATATTCATAATATTATGTAAATTATTATAAGGATGTCGCGTTGATAGCGGCGTCCACGTTGCTATTTCCAATTTTAATAATTATAAATCTTAATAATTTAATAAGTCATGGTAAAAAATTTTTTAATCTGCAAACTTTCCCTCATTATAAAAATATTCAATATTTTCAATATAATAAATAACCATATTATGTGCGACCACTTCTATACGTCCATTAACGGTAAATATAAGAGTATTGGAAAAATATAATTATTTAGTTAAATTAAGTTACTTCATTCAAATTTGTAGTTAATACTAAATGTAAATTTTGCAATCATAAATTATGATTTTTTTGCTGAAAAAATGCATCATCAGTGCTTTCCCAATAACTTCCGCACGCTACATGTATGCATATAGTATTTATTCAGTGGTGATCGTGAATAAGGATTGTATTATATTTCATATTATGTTCATGCTTCAATGTCGATTTCATTTCTAAGTTTAACTGACATCATTGTTATTTTTTTAATATTTCTGTGTACCTTTATCACATTTGTTATAATAGTCCAATGTTAAAGTGTGTTTAAGCGAATGATGATATCTTTTCTATATACAATGACATTTATTATGTATTAAAATTGTAATTTATATTTTTAGTTCATATACTCGTATTATACTGAGCTAATCCATTTTGCTTTAAATAAATAACTAATATGTAGTTGATGTAAATTAATCAGTTTAAAAATAACTCTTAAATAATAAATTATTTTATTTTATTAAATTAATATTTCAGACATAGACTTTACAAGAGAACACCGTAGAACTCAAGGAATGCTACCTACAATAGAAGCATTAAATGTTAGAGTTTCTCTAGCACAACAATATAATGAATATGCTCAATATAATTTAAATTGTATAGAAATGCTTATCAATGATCAACATATGATGCATCAAGGTATTATTGAATAATATTGTTGTATATTTTTTTACTTTAAACTTTTAAATTGCATTTTTACAAAAGTTATAGTGTTAAATTTGATTAATTTTGCATACAATTTGAAAAACTTTTATACTTAATCGTAATTTTATAAATTTAAATTATTTAAAGGTTGGTCAGCAGCTGTAGCAAACATGCTTGATACAGTGGAAAAATTTAAATTTAAAGCGGATATATTTGAAAATGATTTTAGACGTTATTTAAATGGACGAGAAGACAGTATTAATTTACTTAACAAGTATGTTTTAATATTAAATAAAATTGGTATATCTATATATAATATAAAACTAGGTCCTCTGCCGTATCTGCGTACAAATTTCTTAATTACTATTGAATGCATTTTATTTTAGTTTTCACTATTAGATAAGAGTGTTTCAAAGCGACAGTCTTAATTATAGTATGAATTTTAGGGACTCTTATAACCAGGGTTCTGAACTTATGACATTTACATACTTTTGTTATTTATTGTAAAATATAACAGTGTACGAAATAAATAAATTTGTCAATGTCATAATTTCAATTCTAAAATTTGAATGTGCATATTGTTGCATATTTCATAAATTTTGCAGAAAATGCTTATTTGTAACTTTTTGTCCTTATTTTGTATTTTTTGACAAATTCTTCAAATTTAAATAATTTAAATCTACACAAATTATTGAAAAAACCACTGAAAACTCATTTATTGAAAAAATAAAATATTAATGCAACTTAATGTAATGTATCTTCTTATTTGCAATTTAAAGCTCTCAGCTCGTTATAATTTTCGTGTTAGAAAAATAACTTTATTCTTAGAAAATATGTTGGCCCGTGTATTAACCGTATCGCCCGATTTAATTATAAAACATTCATGTGAAATCAAAGGATTCCCGATAAACATAGTTCGATTTGCTGGTGGTCAATAATAGTAAAGTAATTTAGTAATCTGAAATAAAATTAAAAATTAGGAGGATACCTATTTCAAGAAATAAAGTAGAATAAAATAGAAAGAGTAATTTTTAAACACGTTTATAATTATTTGTTATTTTTTAAATTTTCAGTGTTGGTAATACTTATTAATAATTAATAATAAATTTATTCAATGCATATTTTAGCGCTTATTATTGTTATATGTGTTATAAGTTCCGAACCTTGGTTATAAATAACGACATAAAAAAAGGAAATAAGTTGATGGGTTGATTTACCTTGCTCTTTGTTTAAAGGAGGGTATTTCAGGCCAATTGTGGTATCTAGAAAGTTAAATAAGGTAGCACTTATTTGGTTTGATATCGGTCTCTGAATGTCGATGAGTCTAATAGTTATCATATTATAAATAGCGTAAGGTTGAAATGAAATAAAACACAATAGGCGATGTTCTAATACTGGACACTTCGACACTCGCACAAAAATAGTACTTGGGTAATTGCGCTGCACTGAGGCAAGAAATCAACTAAGTCCATTTATACTCATTGACGATATGAAATCTTTATTTTGAAAGCAAAATACTCTATGGTTGACAATCATTGAGCATAGAGTTACAATTTGCAACGGGGAGTTGGTTCATAACATAAAAAGTTGCATGCACGATTTAGAAGAATATGACTTGATGATACTTAGATAAAAAAGGGCCATAGAGAGTTGTCCGAATGTAAATGACAATGGTTTAACGTTAGTTTATTAAATTATTATTTGAACTGTATTTTCTATGCTGCATACCGAAAGAGCTGATTTTTAATAAAAAAATAATATGTAACATATTATTATTATATAATTATATTATATAATATTATAATTATTATTTTATTATTATCATATTATTATTATTGTTGTAATATGTAACATTAAATGATTTCAAAGTTTGAAGTTAAAAAACAATCGTAGTCAACGGGTAGTGGAATGCGATGTTTTATTTTTATCGGGAAACGTTTTGTTATCGCGTGGTAGTCTTACGGTATATACTACGATGGTGTGTGGATGGCGTGTTATTTTTTTGCCGGGAAATTTAAAAAAAATTTAAACTAAATTATAACAAATAATAAAATTAGATAACCTGTACGAAGCAAGTCAGGGCCAGCTAGTGTTTTGTGATGTAGATAAGGTTATATTTCAAGAAATATTATTTTTCTTGAATATTTGTAAATATTTTTATACAATTTTATAGTATAATTTTTTTTTCAGTTTTAATGATATTCTGTTAGAAATTTCTAAAATTCCTTTGTTACCGGCTCTTTTGGAAAATAACTCTGAAGAACGAGCACGTATGGACAGTTCAACAAATAATATTAAAAGCAAAGTTAATCAATCTTTACTTGAATGGGTAACTGCTCGTCAAGGATTAACAAATTTAGAACATATAGTTGAACATTGCGAAAATAGTCTAAGACAGGTAATATTCATAAATATTTGTCATTAATTATAGTTAATCAGCATAAATTATTTTTGATTGTTTTTAGTTTGATGAAGAAATGCTAAACGCTGTTTTACTAGAAGTATCTGCAATGAATGAATGCTCTAGTCGAAGTGATTGTTCTGAAATAAAAGGACTAGAACATAGATTATTTAAACTCGCCCAGATGATGGATGAAAGTAAACGATTATCAACAGAACAATTTAATCTTGCTGAAGTAAGTGTGAACAGTTTTTTTAAATAAAACAAAAAATCTGTTTTATTGAAAAATGTTGATAATATAGGCTATAAAAATGAACCACGCAAGAGCAGCTAATGAAGGTGATGTATCAGTTATAAGTGTGTTATTAGGATCTCATGATAAACAATTAGAAATGATGAATAAAAATAATTTACGGTTATGTGACATTCGGAATAGAAGTATTTTAGCTAAACAAGAACTTTGTAATATTTTACATCCACGGCTTAAGTAAGTTATTTTATTATTATGTATAAAAAACTGATAATGTGTATTTTTTGTAGTTGTTAAGGTTTATTAGTTATTATCTAATTAAATAATTATTTTTAATTCTTGAAGTTAGGTAAAAAAAATTAGGTGAACAAACCCAATTCCATAAAAAAAAAAAAAAAATCAAACATATGTTTTAAATGTTATTGAGCATTATTTTCTCACAAATAGACTTATTTTAATTATTCTTTTTCATTTTAAAAATACAAGGTAAATAAAGGAATATTAAAATAAAAATTATACAAAAAGTCATATTGTGTATTTCTTTAATATGAAAAGCCCAAAAACTTAAACTAATTTTTAGAACAAAAATGTATGGGTAAGTTTACAAAATTTTAGATAAATTATAGATTTGTAGTTTATTTTCTTATTTAAATGACAAAATCATAGTGGGAGTCACTCATGATTTTTGACAATATTCAGTTTGATATCCATCAACGAATAGACATCGTAACAAATATACCTCAACAAATTAGAACATTTTCTATTTATTAAAGATTTATTTGAAAAATAAAAAGATAAAAATATGAAGATAAGCATTTTATTACAGTTTTTATAAAAATTAATACTTTTCTAAAGGTGCTTATTTTTGATAAGTTTTTTTTATCTTTCACTGCGTACATTAATGGAAATTATTTGTTATAATAAACCATGTGGTAGATTTATATCATAGAAAATGAGATAACTAGTTAGAAACTAAATTTAGTTTATTCGACTATGAGTTGAAGAAAATTGAACTCAAATCAAACTTAAGGGATAATAAGTGGTAATTTTTTGGCTAAAAAATCATCTTGGGTAGGACAAGCCAATCTGTATAAAATTGAATCCATTTTTGATAGTGAAAAAAATAAAAATATTCTTAATTTATCTACTTTTATCACAGAAAACATTTTCTTAATATTTACTTGTACTTGTGTAATGAAAATTAATTTTATTATTTTCTAAATGTCTTCAATGCTTAATGTTTGGTTGTTTTCATATAGGTACGTCATTAATATTTGTATTTATATAGAATTTTTATAAAAATTGTTTTATGATTATTGACTTCTAGTTTTGGTTAAATTATTATTAGGCTATTTCAGCATTTGATAATTTATCGATGCACGACAATGTATTAGTCGATTTTGTTCTATTTTACTTTTAGGTGAATATTTATTTATATTTACAACGATGATAAATTTAGATTTTTCGCATAAGTAATATTTTTCATTATTGCATTTTTTTACATAGCTTAATCTCCAATCTTTTAATTTTAGTCTGGGCTATTCCAAACACTTTTGACTGTTTAGTTATTTACCCCATTACTATTTTTAGTGTAAAAAGTTAATTTTTAACTATAGTGAAAAATATTAGCTGTCATGACACGTTTTTATTATTACTAAAGCTCATATTACTTTTATGGATATAATGTGTTCTACGAATCAACATATCATACACGTTTATCTACTTATAATCACAAATATTTTTAAGTTTGAGGGTTAACTAAGAGTTAGTTTAAATTATTTTAGTTGACTATGATTTGAAATATTAGTATAATTTAACTGTATTCACTATTTTTACTGTATGTAAAATTCTTGAAAAATGTTGACTAACAATAAAATTTAAATTTAAAATATTATAAATTAAACTGCTTAGAATTATTTTCGAATAAATATAACTTATTTTAATTCTTTACATTTATTTTAGTTCTAAAACCTAAAAAAATTGTAGTTTTAAACAATTTTCAAGTATATCGTTTTAATTTATAATAATATTATTTAAAAATATTTTAGTTAAGTTATTTTGATAAGTACGATTATGAAAAAAATAAGTATATATTGTAAATAAAAACAATAAATTTTCTTGTCTTAAAAATAGTTGATTAAAATGTTTAAATTATTTTAATTAAATTATCAATTATTTTATTTATAAAATAATACATCTGATCAATTTATGTATTCAATTATTACTGTTAATGATTTGGAAACAGAGTAAATTTTACTGTCAAAAATTGTTTACATTGAACTTAAAGAAAAACATATATTTATTTTAACTAAAATATAAAAAATAGGTAAAGAAGAATATTATAAGATATCTTCACTATAAATTCTAGATTTGAGTTAACAATTTAAATTGTGTGATAAATGAGCAATTAACATAAATACAATCGCTATAAATTTTTAACTTGAGGTATTAATTTAAATTATTTACTACTTTTAGGTGGTTAATTGTTATTGAAAATAAAGTGAGTGATGTTGAAGCAATTATGTTGTTGTATAGTGACAGCATAAAATTGACTCGTGAATATTTGGATGTTGTTGAACAATTACATAACACACCAAAACTTTATTTTAATGCAGTTGCTGAAGTAGTCCGAAGGCGAATATTTTCTCAAGCCTTACTTATTGTAAATAATATTTCTTAATTTGTACTTCATAAAATAATATAACAAAATAAGTATTTAATAAATTAACTATTTTATACACAGTAAATAAAGTTGCATACAAATTTTAAAATTTGATTACAATAATTTAAATTATTTCAGTGGTCTAGTGATCTTGCTTGTCATATGATGGCACGTCATTCTGATGAAATTGCTAAACGTAAAAATTTCCAATCTCAATTTGAAGGTCACTTTTTAAGCCCATTATTCCCAGGTCTAGAAGATATGCCCCCGGCATTCGCCACACAAGCACCACCAATATTTGATTATAACTTACCAAAGGTAATGCTAATAAGCTATAAATTTGTTATTATTTAGGTTGAAAATGTTTTTATTTAATGTTTTAGCTTTGTTTAGAGGATTTAGATATATTAATCAAACAACTGCCACAAATAGCTCGTATTACATCTGTACCCAATTTTAATGCCATTACACAATTCTTTTTATCGAAATCCATTCAAGAAGATGGTACATTAGCTATTGAATATAATCACGAAGGAAAATCTGTAGCTATGGACACAAGTAATGGGATGTTAGGAGGTATGGAAACAATAGAAGAAAGATTAAATGAAGTAATGACTGCAGTTGGTCTTGGGACTTGTAATATTGATACGCAACAAGAATCAGATGTCATTAAAAGAACACATTCAGAAATGTATGTATTAATCAATTAAATCTTTGTCTTATTATTTTTTCGTAGTATAAATATACAAAAATTGTGTTCAAAAGTAAAAGCTTACTAAGAACATTTTTAATAATCTTGAAAAAATCATATCAACTCAGCATGTAAAATGTTATTTAATAGTTTTGTACATACTGAATTGTTAATGTATTAAAGTTATTTAATTAGCAGTAAAAAAAAAAATGTAACTGTGATTTGGTTCAGATTAATCAATAAAAAAAAAACATCTTTAAATTTAATTATGATAGTGGATAAAAAAAGTTCTACTAAAGAGAAATGTCAAATAATTCATTGGTCATTTATTTTAATACTAAACGTGTTATAAATTATTGAGTTAAAAATAACTCAGCTATCTCATGTTTTTTTTTTCTTTTTGGTCAAATAATTGTTCAGAATTGTTATTATCTTCATACTTTTATTCTTTTGTATAAATATTAAATACATTTATTGAAAATTTTATTTATGTGTAATGTATGTAATATGTTATTGTTCTTTATTTGAAACCTGTTTTATTACGATTTTGTTTATAATATATTATTAAAAAATCGGTATATTGACGATAAAAAACATGTCACATTTATATGTGTTGTCTTTATCTTATAAACGCACGACTTGGTGAATCTGTTAGAAGTTCTGTTGAACTCATTTTGTATTGTTAGCTTTAACATTAAAATAAACTGATCTACTAATTGATAATTAGTCTGATAGACTTAAAGAAAGTCTTAGAATCTGTGTATGTTTATTGGTTTTTTTAAAATATTTTAATTTTTAAATGAGTTATGACGTTCATTAAAAGTTAATACTTTATATGGGTATTCATAACTCGTTTGGAAATTAAAATAATTTAATAAAAACTGATGTACAAACACACAATTTGTTCTTTCCAATAAGTTTGATAATAAGGTAGTTCGATTTTTCTAATATTTATGCTAACCACATAAAATTAGTCTTTGAATGCAGATTATCAATGTATATATATATATATATATATATATATATATACTCGTAAGTCCTTTTAGTTCTTAAAAAAATGGTAAAATATTTTTAAAATGTACTTTAGATTATATACATATTGTTATATGATTATTATAATTAAATTATTATTTGATGGACTGTGGCTTAAGTTATTAATTTCAATATTTGTTTTAAATTAATTTCATTTCAATTTGATGGTTTACATTCTACGTGTTTTGAAAAGGGTTTGAATATTTTATAAGTTCTCGTAAATTTAGTTACTCGGCTAATTTATCTGAACTCTTATTAATAATAACATGTTTTTGTAAATCTTGGTGATTAGTGTTGGCTTTTTTTGGTAATAGATTTTCGATGAATTTAGTACTATTTTTTTATATATTTATTTATTAATTTGTTAGTAAACAGAAAGTTATTTAACCATTGAGAGGACGTCACACTCACATGAGTTTTCTTCGTCTTACAAACGTACAACGTGAAAAATCAGAATTTAGTAAAACTAATTTTGTATTTTTAGCTTTAATATAAGAATCAACTGATCTATTATTAAACTTAAAAGGAAGAACATCATATGTGTTTGTACGTCGGTTTCTAACGATATTTTAATTTTTAAACTAGTTATGAGTATTTAAAATATTAAAATTCAAAAAATGTCATAACTTGCTTAAAAATGAAAACATTGTACAAAATCGACCTACAAACATATATGTATATTTTTTTAGGTTTGATAATAGGTCAGTAAGTTAATAGTATAAAATCGGTTTTACTAAACCCAGAGTTTTACGTACGTAAAATGGAAATGACACATACCAGTATGACATCCTAGACATTCTACAGTGAAATTGTTGCATCCAAATTGTATGCCAAACAATAAATTTAAATTGGAATGTCCAAATTGCATACCACGTCTTAGAGGGTTCTGTTCAAATTGCACACCGTGTACCCCTAAGTTTATTTATCATACACTTATCTGTACAAATTAACCTTTATTTTTGACTTTTCTAATTTTTTTTAAAAAAAAAACTAACGAATATTTTTATATCGAAGTAAACATTTTACAAAAATTGGAGAAGGTGACACTGTGAATATTAAACATTAAATAAAATGATTGTAGTTTAAGGCGATCAAGTGAATGCATTTTATATTTTTACATGTAATTTCAAATAAATAATATTATAAAATTTAGTTGAGTTTTTTTGATAATATACAATAATAAAATTAATAAAGATGATAGTTTAATAGTTTATAATAATAAAATAAAATGTAAATATGAAAAATATATAATAATAAATAGTAAAATAAATAAAAAATCGGTAAAGCCATGTAATCAACTTTTATACATTTTAAATTATATTTATTTCATTATTTTGAATATATATCTCTATATATATTTCGAATGTAAAAAGTATTTTAATCTAGAAACTAATCAATTGTAACAATCGTATCATAAAAATCTTAAGTAACATAATGTTACATAAAGTTTAAGTCAAAATATAGTTTAAGTTATGCACATAAGTACATGATAAATAAACTTGTGGGTACACGGCATACCCTACCCCTCTAAGACGTGGCATGCAATTCGGATGCAGCTAGTAAAATAGAAGGAGTTTACAAAATATAAATTTTAATACTTAACGGTAGAAGAATATTATTTGTTTTTTTATTTATTTATTTTTAGCTATAAAATATAAATTTATTGTTATTATATTTTATTATATATATTATATAGTTAAATGACTACTGCACGAATAAAATAATTTTTTAATATTACATTTAAGTTACGAATTTTAATTGTGTTTTCAGAAAGGTAAAACTTAGTTTTTTAATGAAATATTAGACAATTTTTAACTATATGATACCAGGTAAACTTATTTCCTTGATTTCTATTAAAAACAAATAAAGGAAAGGTAATAAAAAATATATTTTGTATGATTGTCTAATAATACGTATAATATTTGCTATCTTCTCCAATTACATAATATGTATATATTAATATAATTAAAGACCTGATATAATTACATTAAAAATATCTAAAAATTGCACTAAAATTATGCCAAAATTGCAATGAAATACATTAAAATTACATAGTAAAATCATATCAAATATATAATCATTAATTACTTATTTAAATAATATTATGGACATAAATATAATATTTACAAAATTTATAATTTTTCTGAATTAAAATATATAATCATATTCATCTCTAAATTGTGTTCTTGAAAATAGTATCGTCTGTTAAAATATGTTTGTATAATGAAAAAGTACGTTCAACGTCAACACTTGTTATCGATGTATATTTAAAATAGTTTAAAAAATTGGGTGTTATATCTAAATAAATATTTTGATTTCCTGTTATAATCTCAGAGTAAGTTATAATATAATAGTTTTATATCCTTCATTTTTTTTAAGACATATTTTAATTTATCTTTAACTATTTTTCCATTGGGACCGGAAATATTTATAGAAATATTTATACTAAATATTTTTATTTAGTTAGTATTTGTTTAGTATATATTTATTTATTTAGTATTTATATTAAATAAGTTTAAAATATTAAGTAATCGACTATTTGATTCTCCTAAACTTGTGAGTTTTGTGGATGACTCAGGTAAATATAATTTTAAAAATTCTAATCTACATTTAACTACATGTAAAAATTTACATTGTAGTTATATTTTTTTTGTAAAATCACTTTGGAAATAATAATTTGTATATTTTATCAATTGAAGTATACAAAAATTGCAATAATTGCAAAATCTTTGAAAATTGCAAAAAATTGCATTATTAAATTAAATAGGAAGACTGTAATTAATCTGATTCGTATACATATTTGATCAGATTTGATTTACTGGGTATGAATAAAAAGTTGCAATATCAATTAAATCCGCTCTTTAAATATAATAATACAAATATATATAAATATAATAATCAATTGATGTATTAGGTTGTAGAAAACCAAGGTGGCAAGCCCTGAAATGAAAATTGGCGCACTTAATATAATAAACAAGCGGAACTTCAATACTTATATATAGTGGACCAAAATCATTACCCCTACAATATATATATATAAATTAACATAATAGAATATTAATATTCACAAAATAAAATGTAATACAAAAGTTCCTTATATATTGAACTTACTTATATAAAAAAATATGAAAAATCTTTAACTATAATTTTTTTTGAAAACTTGAATTATTTTAAATCTTGATAAACCTTGACAAATATTACATAACTCTTAAAAAATTTTGTAGTCAAAATTTAGAAACTTTCAATTTTAATATTTGAAGTTTGAAAATTAAATACAAATTTTTCATAGGTATTTTCTTGAATATTAAAATTTAAGACAAATTACGAATAAACTATATTATTTATTTTATTATTATTTTAAAAATATTAATCGTAGTAACTTGAAACTTTTATCGAGTACTTATACTAGGTATTCCATAAAAATTAAATAATTTGAAATAAATTACTAAAATATCAAATGTATTAAAATAATTTTTTTCTATTGAAGACAATCTACACTATATATTTTTTTTTATTAATTTTAGAGTTATTTTAAGTATAGAAATAAATAAACAAATAGTTTATATATAGAAATAAATAAGTAAAATAAATATTTTAAAAAATTAAAAAACGAATTAAAATTTCATCATTAGGTATATACAAAATTAATAGAATCGCGATTATAAGCGTTCATTTATTTATTTTTATATAAAAATAATTTGTTTGTTTATTTATATATTGATTACTAATTTTTAATTTTAATTAAATTTTTATTATTTTACATTTTTACATTGTTCTGAAATATCTGTAATTAGCTCTTTATGGATTATATATAATTTTATGCTATTGAAATGAGCTTTTGAAATGTTCAATGTTTTTTAGAATTTTATCGGTTAAAGTTTGATAACGTTTTTAATTTATGTTATATTCGAAATATTTATAGAAAATCCTTGTAAGTTGGTTGTTGTTTCTTTGTTAAAATATCGAAAATACCTAGGCTCACATTTATTTATTTTAATGTTCAAATTTGATAAAAATTAACATAAATGATCAAAATATAAAACGGTTTTATACTTAAACATTTATGTAATGTTTAATTTTAATACTTATTACTTCAAATACAAGCAAGCGTGGGTTTAGAAAAGAAAAAAGTACCAAAGTCCGATATGGTTCTACTTAATGTCTAGGGAATTTCAACCCCTATAGCCCCCCTTTTACCCGTGCCTGAATACAAAATTCCTCTTTTTTATTTCTTTGTATTCAACAATAAAAAGTTAACCAGAAAATCGCAAAAAAAATTGTATAAGCATTACAATATTACAATATGACTAAATTTTCAATTATAAAAAGAGAGAAGAAATTATTTGGTATTAATACTAATATAATATTATAAATTATTTCTTGATATAGACAATGATATACTCAACTTCTTTCACTCCATAATTGTTTTTCGAAAACAACAATGGTACATTGATTTAAAATTAAAGAGAAGAATTCACTTACATTTATGATTCATTTGTATCGCATTCAACCTTTCGTGACTCATGCTTTTTTTTATGTTTAAATGGTTATTTTATCTTCTATGAGTATAAAAAAATAGGATCAATTCCTCTATCAATATCGTTTATTTACTAATTCACTCTATGGTTTTACTGCTGATATACCTCAGAGTAATAATAATATGTGATATACATAAGATTTTGATAGGTACCTATCTAAATTATATAGTGTTTTTACATATGATTCAATGGATCAATCTCCAGAAATATTTGTATTTTTTTTAATATATTTTTGATTAATTTTACCGTTTTTTCTCTTTTTGTTAACATTTTTTTATGAAAAGTTATTGTAATTTTCAGATTTTTATTTTCAATCGAGAACTAATAATTTAAATTTTATCTTTCTGCTACAGTTCAGTTGCACGTTTAATGAATTAATTACACTGTTAGTTACACTATATAATATGTATATATAATAATTGTATCTAATGTATTTATATTTTGAAACACTGCCAATAATGTAACGTGCGTATATCAGTGTTTGTATACTTTATGTTATATCATACTAATTGTTTGTAATTTCAACCGTTAAGGAGAAGAAACGAAGAAAAAATAAATGTGATAGTTAAATATATGTATATTTATATTTTATCAGTATAAACATATTGATAAAATAAAAATTGGAAATTATACTTTTACTGCAAGTTTGATTGGCTATTATTTAGGTAGCTAACAAAGGTTATCATGTTCGATATCGGATCAACTTTGAAATAAGATTCTGAATACAATTTTTTTTATTATGGTTTTTATAATGTATTTTTAGTATATAACATATTTTAAGCAATTTTAAATTAAGTATTTATTTATTTAAATATTTATCAGAAGTATTTAATTCGTTTTTGATTAAAAAAAAAATTAAAATAAACACTTTATAATACTGGTCAATAATATTAAATGTAATTATACGTTATAATTAATAAACAAAAATAAAAATAACAAAATTTGAATAATTTTTTGCAGTAAATTTACAAATAATTTTTTCAAACCATTAAATATTTTGTTATTTTAAAAACGGCAATAAATTATATATTTTATAATTTTATTAATCAAATAGTATTATAAACTTGGAAATTTTGAAAATTAATTTACGCTTAAAAGTTAATTTAAATCAAAATTTTTAATTTTTGTATGGTAAGTTTATTAAAATTGTAATATGAAGTATTTGGAAAATTTTGAAAATTATACTAACAAATACAATTATAGTCATTAATTTCGTTGAGTATTTAATACGATTTCTTCGATATATTTTAATAAAAAATTTTAAATTTAAATTAGGTTCTCAATATTTTGTATATATATTGTGAGATGAGAAAAAAAATATACCTACATATATAGTTGTACTTACAAAAATACGAAGTTTCTTCTATTTGTACTATCAAGCTTCATATTTATCATAATTCTTGATATTCTTTTTTCAAAACTACAATTTTAATTTTATATTTATTTTTAGTATTCATTTTAGTTCAAAAATATTTACTATTTTCATTAGTTAATAAATATATTTTAGCTTACTTTCTTTACGTCTCTGATCATTGGGCGTTTGTAACTAGACTTATCCATTTGAAGATAAATAAATATATTTCTTAATCGCATACCTTTACAAATTAATTTTCAATAGTATTAGAACAGTAGTACTGTTTGACGCGTAATTGTAGGTACCTATATTACGAATGAATATTAGAACGGACTATGTCTAATATGCTTGTTAATAGTTGGTGAGGAATTACATGAGTTCTATAGGCCCAGTACCTACCCACTCCAAGATACACTTTTACACTCGGTTATTTACCCGACCGATGGTTATCAAAGCCACGCGTTTCCATAAAATGTCAGTGTTTCAATTCCACACACGTTATAAAACTGAATAACATTATTCAAATATATGCATTTAAGATTTTCAACAATTTGGATAGAGTAATATAACCAGTTGATGCTTTGTTTAATAGATAGTTTATCATGCTAGTTTACAATGTTATTGTATAAAATCTTGGAAACATTTACTGCATTACCATTTTTGTGCCGGTTTTGAATAATTATAGTCTATGATAATCAATTTAGAAAAAAAAGAGTATGGGTATAAGATTTGTAGATTTGAATGGCACTGTGTGACCTATCAGCTAATATTTTATCAAAATATATTGACAGTGTCGATTGTATAGTAAAATTTGATTGAAGCTAATATTTCTCAATATTATATTTGAGTATTTATTATAATAAAATTATTTTTATAATATTGAATCTAAACATAAATAAAAATATGATTTTTTTCAATAGATATCAATTATTAACCTAATATTAATTCGGAATGTAAATTGAAGAAAATAAGAACCTTAAATTGTTAATGATTTTTGATATTGTTGATATATTGTTAATGATATTAATATGTACTGTATTTATATTTTTTATAATTCTAGTTAAATTATTTAAATAATTTAAATTGTTCAATATATGCATTTCAAAACATATTACATTTAATTATTACATTTATGTAATGTACTCGAATGTGTGATTATGTAATACAATTAATCTAATTATATGAATTTTTTTAGGGAAAATGACAGTTATAATCCAGACAGCTTTATGCTATCGTACAAGTATATTGGAGGCCATCAAGAAGTAGTATTTTTATTTCATATTAATAATTAACAATTATAACACTTTTTTTTTTTTCAGCATACTATCAAGTTACTAAAAAAATGTATTTATAATTTGGAAAATGTAGCAAATATTTCAATTAGTAATTTGCGTTCAGATTTGAATATTTTTAAACAATGTTTAATGCAACAAAATTATGATATGGATATTCTTACTAATGATTTACAATCTAAGTTTGATGTCCAAACTTCTCATATAAATCAGCTTGTTCGGGTAAATCAAATTCTTAACTTTAATTTTAATGTATACATTAAAGTATTGATATCAAGTTTTTCATTACTTGTGTATATATTTACATTAGTATGTTGAAGAAAGCAATCGTGAGTTAGCTCTTTTGAGAATAAGAATAAATGAATTACAATCTCAAGTGGAAATGCACATTAAGAATGAAGAACATGAACGCGAGTTACGTTTAAGACTTGAAAATGAAAAAGATGAGCGTATACAACGAGAATTAGAACTTGCACGAAAAGATATAACAAATCAGTTAACAATGACTCATAAAAAAGAGCTAGAAATGATGCAAGTGCGTTTTAAAATTGTTACACAAGCAGCTAATTTGGAACGCAGTTCAAGTGAACAAAGCTTAGAAAAAAACAAGGTTATTGTTTAATATATGAATAAATTTAAAATTATAAAATTGCATGTATTAGATATATTTATGGAGTTATAAAAAAATATTTTTTGTAGTATTCTAAACCAATTAATGTGGTTTTTATAAGTATTTACATAATTGGTCAATAAAATATTAATAAAGTAATAATTGATACATTTTAAAGGACAGATAATATTTGGTCTTACATAATTTTTTTTGAAACACTATTATGAAAACAATTATGAATGTTATATTTTACTTTTTTAATTTAGAATTAGGCTAAAAAACTATTAAAATTTATAAACCATACAAATATATATATATATATATAAATAAAATATACAAACTACAAGTATCAACTGACAAAATTATTTATTTACTTAAAACAGAGGTATGATGTAATTGAATTAGTCAATCATGAAGCAATGATGGCCCAGCTTAAAGAAGATTGCTTATTAGAAAAAGAACGAGCTATACAAGAAGAACGAAAGCTATGTGAACAAAAAATAGCTCGTGAGCGACAATTGAAGTATGACGAGAAAAAGGATGATCAAGTAATTGTTGGTAGTTTGAAATTAATTATAATTAATATTTTTTACTTAAATAATATTTAATAAATAAGATTACGTACCTGTATGAAATGTATGAAATATTGTAAATAAACTTGTTAATTAAATTATTATACAATTTTTATTAATATACAAAGTCATGGTTGTCCTAAACCATACCTAATCATAATATCATTTTTTTCTTTTTGAATTTTGAAGTGAACTTTCTCATAAGTTCATTTGTGTATTAAATAACTCCTAAATAGATTGCATATTATATAAAGATTATATTTAAAAAAGTAGTTTTTAAAATTGCCATTGGATTTTTAAGAAATTTGAGAAGAAAAATTGAAAACAATTCTTGATTGTACCAATTTTTTATAAAATTGACTAATATTTTGTAAAACAAATGAGCTTTGTGAGAATCATTAATTGATAGCATTGAATAGCATATTATTACATTAATTATTTAAATTAATAACTAGTATAAATATATAATATATTTACTCATATTTATGATGATTAAATTTGAACCAATTCAGTAACTATTTAAATAATACCCAAAAAATTGTATTTTCTTATTTTTATTTTGGTTTTGATTTGTTTTTTGGATCTTAACTTTTATGAATTTATTTTTGTTAATTTGTTAATATTCTATATTTATTTAATTTTTACAATTTAAAGTTTAAATGTATCTTATGATTATTAATATTAAAAAATATTTCAGTGTTTTTGGGGTGAAAGTAAAAAAAGCTCAGATGATAAAAATAAGTCTTTAAAATATGTAAGAGAGAAAAGTGCAAATGATCTTCGGTTGAGCGCATATGGTTACAAATCAAGATCAAATAGCTTTGCAGTTCCAGAATGGTAAGTTGTTGGTATTTAAATAGTAAAAAATTGTATTATGTGTAGGCATAAACTTTTATTTATGCTTTAAATATGTTAAATTAATTTTATTTTTTATTTAAACCTTTATATCCTATCTTTAAGATGAATCATTTTAATTTTATCTGTAAAATTATTTGTACAGTAATAATTTAATTTATTTTTATATTTATAGGGATTCAAGTTCAGCATCCAGCAGTGTTTTCGTAGATTTGGTAATTGCCAATATAATTTAATTTTAATAACTATTATTTTATAATGCTTTATATTTACATATAGAGTAAAAGTTCCAGTTCTGAGTCAGATGAAGGAAAACTATCTGTCAGTTCGTAAGTATTTCAAATAAATAAATATAAATATATATACATGACTAGAATTAAGATGACTGATCTTGTTTCATTACTATACAGATGCAATATTGGAGACTTTGTTTTGGTAGTATGGGATACTACTTATAAGAATTATGTTGTATATCAAGAAAATAAAAGAAATTTGGTATTTTTACATCCAGACAGTATAGAAAACTTATCATTAAAACTTGGCCCTGGTGAGTATATTAAATTGTATAACAATTGTTAATGATAATGACTGATGAGCGTTGATGGTTTTATAATTTTACATTTACAAGACAGTTTCACATTTGAGAATCATTAAGGACTTGATAATATGTATTTATAGTTTTTATAATATTCAACTTATTAACTTTGTATTATAAAGAAAAAAAAAATACTATAAATACTTAGTATTTGGCAAATATATTGTAAATAAAATATAAATATAAATATTGTATATTTTACTCCATATTGAATTATAGTGTATAAAATTATATAATATTCTAATTACAATTTAATAAATATGTGATTTTATTCTTAGATGAAATACCAAAAGAACAACATTTTTCTGCAGAAGTAATTCATAAAGAATACTGTCAAGCAGTAAAGGTATTTTATTTAAATGTTATTCTAGGTGGCAATTATTAACTTAAAATACTGTTTTAATAATGAAAAAATTAATTTACTATAGGAGGACAATAGATACAAAGTAAAAAAAGGAATGAAATTTCACCGAGTAAAAATACAATTGCTCAAGGTACCAAATCATAAGCGAGAAGTATCAATTTCAGAGACTGACTCAGTGACATACGTTCAATAATAGCAAAACCATTGTGTGATAAATATTGATAAATTCAATGCTAATTATAATAAAATTAATAATATTGCTTTGTAAAACTATATTTGTACATATAAGTTTAAAATGTTGCTTTGAGTAAATTTAATAATTATTATAAATATAAAACTATTTAACAGATTTATAAGAATAATAATATTTTCTTATAATGATTTAAAAATGTTGATATTTTTTTTAAATGATTTAAAAGCATTTATTTTGAATTTTACACTAAATATGTTAAGTTTTAATTACCTACCCAATGATTCTCATTTGTTTATTGAACCTTTCAATTGGAAGAACCATTCGTTTAATTATTGTCTTAATGATTATTATTATTTTGATGAGCAATTGTTTTATATAGTATAAATCTACTTATTAGAATTTTGAAAAATTGAATGTATTTTAGGGTCTATCTTGAGGATTTATTATTTATTTGAGGATTATGCACACATGATATGTATGTTATTCATATTAAATAGTTATTATTATTAATAATAATAATGCAATATTTGAATAACTGAAGTGTGTTAAATAATCTTTCCTCATTTGAAGTCCCTTAAATACAGCATTGATTATAAGCCAATTATTTTAATCTTTAGTTAACCATACTTATTGAATAATTAATCATATACATTTTGTTCATCACTGTATACATTTAATATGCACAAACTCAATAGTCTTTTAGAAGTGTGGTAATCAACCACTTAGTCATTTAAAATTTGTGCAATTTTTTTTGTTTTGTAATAATTAATATTAACAATTAAGTATTTATGGTATATATTTAAAATACTCCTCATTTATCTTATTCTTTTTATACATAAAAGGGTAAATATTAATTAGATGACTGATGCATGTGTTGTTGCCTATGAATCATATAAAAATATTAGGTTATTTATAAATGTCATAAGAGTTTTTACTGATTTAAAATGGTAAAGTGGTGGAAATTTCAACACTTATCGAAATAGTAAATTCTCAGGGGCATTCTATTTATTTAGATGGACAAATGGATAATAGACAAAAGTAGTTATATATTAGTATTTTTTATTTTGTACTTAAGTTTTTAATGTATTTAAATATTCAAAATCAAATGGTTAAAAATTAATAAAAAAAAGTTTATATGTATTTAATATATATTTAGGCAATCCATTAACATACCTGCCATTTTTTTTAATAGTTGAATCAATAATAATTTTTATTTTGTAGGTAACAAGATAATTTTTTATATATTTAAGACAATATTAGGTTCGATTGAATTATATATAATTAAATTGAATGAAATACAGATTGTAATCAATAGTATTGTTTTATATTAAAAACATATTTTATTTTTATTTTATGGTCCAATCATGTTAAAATCGACAATCTTAGGTCTCGCTGTTCTCCATCTCATTTTTGTTTTAACCAAAGAAACTAATTTAAGTCTCACTATAATATTTAAGTTTTAATGATTGTTTTAGTGCAATAGTGATGTTCATGATTGTAATATGTACATAGAGCTTATGTATATAAAAATTAATTATAAATATATACAATAAATAGATTATATGTATATTTGTATATTATATTGTTAATTTTTTATTGTTGAAAAACAAGTAACTAAAAATATATTTAAGTAAAAATGTATATTTTTTTTGTATTATATTATTGTCATAATTTTTAATAAAATTGGCTGTGTGTATTTTTTAAAAAGTTGTATTTTGTGATGATTCATATTACATTAATATGTTGGATTGCAACTACTTGAAATTTGAACAAATATTTCTTTAGTACAAACTTAAATTAATACTCATTTAAAAATAGTTGTTATAAAATATATTGTATAGTCATTTTTTAATCAAGTGGTACATTATGATTGACATTTATATTTTTTCTGATAACTTAATTATTTTATAAAATTTAAAGCAAGTATAGGTAATAATTATATCTTATTTATAATTATTAGTTATAGTTAGGTAATCTTTTAATTACAATATTTATTATATAATCTAAAAAGAAAAAAGAAAAATTTTCTGTAGGACCCAGTAAATATTTTGTTTACATTTTATTGAAATGTTTTTATATCATGTCAAATAAGGAAGAAAACTTAAATTGTCAAGTGACTTGGAACTTCAGAGTATGTTTATAAATGGTAAAGAAATCAATGTTTAAAATATCAAATTATTTATGATGCAGAAATGATTGATTTTAATCAAGAGAGTCTTATCATTTGAATGTAAAATTGGAGAAAAATTCAAAAGTGAATAAATAAGAAGTGTTAAGTTATAAATTAAATGACCTAAATAGTATAATTCAAATTTTAGAATAGCTGATCTTTAGTTACTACACCGGTGTGTTTTTGGTAGGCGGGAGAGTAAAAGGAAACAATTGAAAAAGTTCAATGAACCTATTATTTGTAATTCAAATCAAACGTATTCTGTGGTAAATTCGCATTTTGTCTTTTGTCAAGTGCAAAAGGTGTAGGTACTATTAATATATTAAGAATCGTTTAAATACGTGTGATCAAAATCAATTTTGTTTACAATACACGTATGTTCTTAATCGTGAAAAGTGGTTGAATTCGATGAAGAATGCTAGACAGATAAATCAATAATAATTGTCCACCAAAAAAAGTTTCAGGAAATAATCCTAAAAAATGACGACTACCGACAAATTATCCGAACACATCCGTGTGCCAATGTGTCAGTTTAGGTAAGCGGTATTATAAAACTCAAGTATTTCAATGACGTTAATCACAATTGACGAGAAGGTGGTCAGTCCGATTTTACTTTATGAGCTTCGGAAACTCTAACGGATTCGCCGCACAGGTGAGCGCTTATGCCACTATCACTACGTTACACGGCGCACTGCTGCCGGTGGTTTCACTAGTGCGGTATATCTGCGCGCGCGACGTGTTATCAGTTATCGATTTGTCTGGACCGTAGAGTGAGTACTTTAGAGTGCCACAGGATAGACGCACAGGATTCTCTCTCCGTCTCCATCTCGCTCTCTTCCGGCACCTATCCTTTTCTTTGACGGAGAGAGTTCAACTATAGGGTGTTGGTTCTAAGGGGAAGGGGGATGCTAAACGGTACACCGCGCGATTGGTTCGAATCAAAAATTTGTCGACCCACTCCGCTTCTGTCATCCTCGTAGTAATGTATTATCCTTGTACCTTGAGGGACGCCGGAACATTGATATGGATATAATATCATATTGAGCCTCCAGAGTATTCGATACTAACATCATATCGAGTATCCAGAGAAATTTACAATAATCGATCAGTTGAGTGTCTTCCATTTTATGCCCATAATTCTCCGTTCGCAGATCAGTGTTACGCGCGTTTCGAGTATAAGTACTTTAGCTCAACGCTCTCGAACCACCGCTGCCGACCAGTCTTGCTGTTCTGTGGTTCTGTGTCCATTGGATCTCGACTTCTGTATTACCAGCCACTACGGTACACTGTCTCCAGAAATACCATTTTGAAAATGGAACAGCAATCATTGCCGTCGTCTTCTTTAACTGCTAGACGCCAGACATCTGTGGTAATGTGTTTATGTATTATCCATTTCAATCATTTCATCGGTGCGGTTACGTTGGCCAATGTTACCCATTTAGGAGTTGATTAACTTTTTGTAGTAGTGTCTTATTTTTCAGATTTTCCTAAAGATGCTTTGGTATCTGGATTGAACATTTTATTTTTCCCTTTCAGCTTCACAGTTTTAATAAGAGTTTCCTAAATGTTCAATCATTTTTAAATTTACATTCTATTTCACTCGTTTAGGAACTTGCATTATTTATAATGATAGGTATTAGTCAACTATTGATTTATATTCCTTGGTTTGTTTGTATTATAACTTATATTTGACTTTTTTAGATCTTATTTCTACAATTAACACTCCCAATTCTAACTAGAAATTATATATAGTAAAACATAAATAATAATTGTTATGGAAAGTTTTTTTCAACAATTTAGTTTATTTTTGTTACAGAAAAGAAAGCAAAATCGTGTTATTGACTTGATTATGAAGCGCTCAATAGGAGCGATATCTTCTATAGAATATAAACGACGTACGATTATTAATGAGATAAATTATGTGGCATATGCAGTTAATAAAACATCCTTGCCTGTAATGTATATTAACCCAAATGGTAGAAGCACTCGAAATTTTGTAATAGATGATATTCTTGGTATGGAAGTTAATCCAACAGAAAGTAGTTGGTATGTATATTTTATGTTGAAAACTGAACTCAATTTCTTTTTAAATTTCTTTTCATAAATGTGTATCATACTCTAATACTAATTTAAAGTAATTTATTATTCAAAGAATATTTAATTGTATTATATACTATAAAATTTATTTATTAATGCCATACTTTTAAAAAAATGTAATTAAATTTGCCACCAGTCTTATATATAAGCTCTTAAAAAAATATTTTATTTAAACCAAAAAGAAGTTGATAAACTTAGTTCATATACTAAACCTTGCTTTTTAAAAAAAAAAAAAAACAATTAAACTCAATAAATTTTATTCTTTAGCTTACTAGTCACATCAAGATACAACAGTGTAGCAATTTATAATGTATCTCCAGATGTTATAACTTTTAATCAAATCAAGCGAATGACAATTCCACATGATCCGATTGATATTAATGGAACACCTAATTCAGTTCATTGGCTTTGGGATGGTACAGTATTTTCTGTTTGCACTTTGGACTCGGTACATTTTTGGGATTCGTGTTCTTGTAAAATTATGGAAACTGTAAAAATGCCTATCAGAGTATTAAACCATGTCATTGCTGCAAAGAAATATAGTGCAAAGAAATATGTTGCAGGTACTGATTTTAGTTTAAATTGTTTTTTTGGAAAATTATGGTCTTAACTATTGAAATATATATGCACCATAAAATTGCATTGCTTTAGGCTTTAATGGATGTGGTACTCATAATTATATATGACTGATTGCAAAATCTATTATAATTTTAGTTGCAGCAATAGATGGACATGTATTCATGATTGATATGCTTCGTGGTATTGTTGTAATGACTATGAAAAATGTTGAAAATAGACCAATAACAACTATACAATGGCACCCAACAAATGAATTACAATATATTACTGGTAATGATAATGGAAACATATTACTATGGGATCTTCGATTTCAAAATAACTTTGTTTTAAAGTATAATGATGATGATTCCTTTTCAAAAACAACAAGCCATCCTAATCCAGTTATTGGTTTGCGTTTTTATAATAATGGAAACAGTATTATATCTGTCGATAACATGGGAGGCATCAGAACTTGGTAAGTATCTTGGTATACTAGAACTAGAGCCTCTCGTTTGGAGAGGCAATATTTAAGTATGAATTGGCTCCCCTAAAATATTTAAGGAGCAGCAATATTTTTATGGATTCTAAATAATCTAAATTTTTTTTCATTCTCAATGGAAAATTATTTTTTAATAAATAAAATTATATAAAAATAAATGTTATACTATAAAATAATATTAAAATACTATAATGCTAAAAAGAATAAATAAATATTATTTAGTAACACAAAATTTATGTCATATTTATTTTTATTTTTTAAATTTTTTTTTTTATTTATGTATTGATTATTTTATTCGACATGGTATTTTATTGAGATATAGGTTTAATTTTGATTTTTAAGGGGATGATGGGACATTCAGACTAATAGATACTACATTTTTTAAGGGTACCACCATCAAGAGAATTTTCTATAACTTTATTTATATAATTATGACTGTTATTATTTTGGATTTTATATTAATTACCATCAATGTGTAATAGTGTACTGAAATGGGGAAAATTAATTGCGAATGACTTTTTAATGAATAGTTGGAGACACTTATTTTCGGTTTTATACTTCAGAGAAGAGGAGTGGAGAAATGTTGTTGCCCCTGGGTGGAGAAATCTTAAATACGGCCCTGACTAGAACAAATTTTAATATATTTTGTTATATAGAACATACATATGTATGATGATGCTTTTGATTTCTAATTAAAAAAATAGTATGTATATTTCATTTTTTTTGAAAATACTATCAAGAAATAAGCTTAAATAAATGTTGTTGGTGTTTATATTAAAACATTTGTACACATTTCAAATTTATGGGGTTTCTTTGACTAATTGCAATGGTTAATTCTTTATTAATCAATTAGTAGTTGTTACTTTTTGTGCAATAAATGTATATTTATATCGTTTTTTCAAATAACTGAGTCAAATAAAATATATTTACTGAGTATAATATAAACTATTGTATTAATTTCAGGGAAGTTAGTACTGGTAACATGCGTCCAAACTATTATGAGCCAGTTACACTGTGTCGACTGAACAAAAGCCAAATTTTCAAAGATTTTCAATTTGCTGTTACTGAAAATTTGAAAGAAGACATTGCATTTATGCCTTCAGATAGAGGAATGAAAATATTTGACATAGAAAGTGGTGAACATTTACCCCATTCAGATGACATACCACTACCAGTAAATTGTGCCACTTATGATACACATAGATTTTGTGTTTATGGAGGGTCTAATGACTTAGTGAAATTGTGGGCACCTGCTCGAAAAATTTATGTATAAATATGTACTCCGACAATTTAATTTAATTTTTTTCTCTATGTCGATATTATGACATAACATATTATATTAAATTAGTTTATGTTATTGTCATAACACAAAAATAAATAAATAAATCTACAGTCAAACATCCTAGTTGGCCAACCATTCAGCTGCGGCACTTTTGCCTAAGTGAATACTATGCACTCCTCCTGTATATTTCCTCGGTGGGCAAGATTCTATGATATATATATATATATATATATATATATATATATATATATATATATAAAGATCTCTGTTTAAATTTATTTTTATTTTCAGTTATTCAATTTATTTGTTTTAGATTATCCAAATACCCAATATTTAATGTACTATAAAAAAAAATTATAAGTATATAATTATTATATTGTCAACTAAAAACGCCAGTAATGATTGAAAAAACCATTTGTGTATTAACATTTTTAATAAAACTAAGAATTGTTTAATTTATTCTAATATACTTGATTGTTTTATTAATAACTCATTTATATGGTAATTGGCTGGTTTATAATGGTAAAATTATAAAAAAAAGAAATAGTTTTGTAATGATAAGGAAATACTTTTATATAAAAATTATTTAAGTAAAAACGTATTACAACAATGATAATGACAGTAATTATGTAACATAACTTGTATAATTTTATATTTTTACTAAAAGGACTAAGGAAAAATAACATTGCACAGTGCAATAGTAGATCAGTTAGGTTTGATAATTGATGAATGATATAGATTAAGATTTTATTCTTAAGTTATATAATTACTAAAATTAATTTAAAATATAAAAGACAGGATACATTTGTATACCAGGTTTGTTTTGAAATTGCTAAATCAATGAAGCCACTTATATTCAAGCTTCAATTAAATAATATTTTATTTATTATTTAACCATTAGTAAGTGTATTTTTTTTTATTTAAATCTTCTATGAGATTCCTGATACTTTCAAAAATAGTTTAAAACGCACTATATAAAATTAATAACACTAATATATATTTTAAAGTATTTTTATAATGCAACAATAATATAAATAAATTACCATAATTATGGCATACACCTTAAGTTCTTAAAATATAAAACATTATCAGTCTTGTTACTTAAAGAAATTCAGTATAATAGTATGCATGTAAAAATAGTTATTTTTGTTTAAAACTTTCATTCAATGCATTTGTAAAATCTTCTTGAGTTACAATTAAATGATCGTCGAATACTTGCAGTTTATCTGAAATAAGAATGTACAAATTAACTTAGAATATTAATTTCAGCTTTAGTAACTTAAATAACAAGAATACATAGTTATTTTTTTATAATAGTATTTTTTTTTCACAATAATATTAAAATATACTAATGGGTTACCTTTGTTATTTACTATTTGCTGTTGAATAACTCTCCTTGCACTATGAAGCCAAGCATTGTGACACATACCATACAATTCAGCTCCTGTTACTTGTTGAGGTAAATTATCGATAAGGTCTTCTAAGTAAACATTTGAACTCATATTAAATCTATAGGAAATGGTATAATTAAAACATAATAGTTTAGTAGATATTATAATATACATTTTAAAAAATTACAATGCGTACTTCTTAGTTAAAGCCTTTAAAACATGAAGTTTAGATTCTTTATCATCACAGCCACCAACATAAACACTTTTATCAAGTCTGCAACAATATAAAATGGTTATTTTAATAGCATATATTAAAAATTTGCTAATTAAATACCTTCCAGGTCGTAAAAGCGCAGAGTCAATGAGATCTGGTCGGTTTGTAGCACCTAATATAAATATTTGATAATTTTCTGAAGTCAATCCATCCATTTCAGTTAACAATTGTGATACAACTCTATACAGAAAAAAAAGATACTATTAATTGATCAAACAATAATTCTAAGATAAAAAGTACCTATCTCCTACTCCACCAGAATCTCCATTTTGACCACGTTTAGGTGCTAATGAATCAAGTTCATCAAAAAACAAAATACACGGTGTGGCTGAACGAGCCTTGTTAAAAACTAAAACATATTTTTAAATAATATACTGAAAATAATTACATAAAAGTAATGTCTAATAAATAGATTAGGTATATATTTACCTTCACGAACATTTGCTTCACTTTGTCCAATATACATATTAAGTAATTCGGGACCTTTAATTGACAAAAAGTTATATTTGTATTCCGTTGCAACAGCTTTAGCTAATAATGTTTTTCCAGTGCCTGGTGGCCCATATAATAATATTCCTAAGTTTAAAGTTAAAAATTATTGCATGTTTAGTTAAACAAAAATGTAAAAAATTACTGGATATTACTCAGTATTTATAAAATTATTTCAATCCTTTTAGACAATAATTACTTCATAAGTATTTAAAGTAATTTTTAAATTATTAATTATCTTGGAATATTTAAAATGTTTACAATTTTCTATTGCTATAAATTATATGAGGACAGTCTAATAAGGATTTTTTTTATTCCAATAACTTAATTAATATTAATTATTCTGCAATGTTGACAAAATATTTTCAATGGAAAAGTAAAATAATTTTAATTTATTACCAGATCTTTTCATATGAAGTACTGATGGTCTTAATGCTGACATAATTTCTTCTTTAACATTTGCCAGGCCCCCAACATCATCCCATTTTACAACTTGTATTTTAGGTGCTCCAATTGACTTTGAAAACATAGCATTTATTGTATCTAGAAAAAATATAAGTACTTAGTAATAAAACCTCTACATATTTATATAAATAAACTTGTAATTTATGAAAAATATAATAGTTATAAACATTTTAAATGCAAATATACAAACTTATTGAAAACATTATATCAGGTTCATTCAGTGTTCTTTCAGTATATTTATTTTGTGTGCGCATTTGATGCCTTAAAAAATATCATTTCAATTATATTTTTATTTTTGGATTAACTAACTTTTGTTTTTGATTTACTTTGAAGACATCAATAAAAGAGTCATATAGTTCATATAATTGAAACCAGAAGTATGATCTAAAATGTTTGAAATCATTGTGTCATCTAATGCAATCGAATCTCTTTTCAAAATCCATTTTAACAGTTGTTCACGATTTGTTTTACTTAGATTTCCAACTTTATGACATTGTAGAAATAATCTTAAAAACACTGGACTAAGTTCTTCTTTAGACTTTGCAGTTGCAATAATTACAATTGGTTTAGATGTTTTTATATGTATTTGTTTGCTAAATATGTCTAAAAGTTCTTGTTCTAAATCATTAGTAGAAGACAAACATAAAGCCTGCAATCATATAAGATTTCATGAAAATTATTAATATTTAAAATTAATATTATATTTACTTCAATATTTTCTAAGTGCAGTAGACAAGGTGTCATTTTTCGGATATCATCAAAATAATATTCAATTTTTTTTTTTAATTGAGATATATTATTTGTAGGCCAGTCGAAACAACATTTAGATATATATTTTAAACCAAGATACTGAGATACTGATTCAATTAATAATTCTTTACCACATTCATTAACTCCACAAACAAGAAATATTGGTTTTAGTGAATGAAAATCTAAAAAAAAAAAAAAATGTATTAAAATTAAATTTATAAACTAAATCAGAAATTACATTATTGTTATTATTTATCAGAAAAACCAGACACATTTTAATGAAAATTTATTAGGTAATACATTAAAAGAAAATATTGAACTCTTATAACCTGTATGTTTCTGTAGAATAAATGGTTTAATCCAAGACATTAACAATTCTCCTTCATCATTCATTCCACCAGGAATTACATTTAGTATAAAATCTTTATAGTTGTGAATATTTAGATTTTTTAGATTATTTATACTATATTCTTTTTCTGCAGGCAAATATGTGTTGGTGAAACATTTTACTTCATTTAATTTACTGTATAAATTTGATATATTAAAACTACTTTTACAATTGTAAAAATATATTTGCTCATTTTTTCCTTCCAGTTCGATAATTTTTATATAAACAATTGAATTGCTAGATGGTTTAGCTAGATATTTAAATTCTGGATAACATTTTTTAACATCTAATTTTAATAATTCACCAATAGAAACAAATTTTGGAAGAGAAAAATAATTGTAAAAGACTTTATCCAATAATATTTGTGAACTATCATGATATACTAATGGTTTCACTACGGAAATTGATACTTTTTTTGTGATTTTTGGCTCATAATCTCTTAAAGGTTTTATAATTCGAAGCATAATAGCTTGAGCAGTATGATCACAATTGCTCAGATTAAAAATATTAGTTGAAGTCAAAAGACACTTGGACTCTTCGAAAGCATTCAACACTATTATTTTATTGTAATATAACACAGGAAGAGCACTAGACTCTGTAGTCTTAACATTAACTAACACCCATTGCATGTTTTTTAATTTTAATTTGTTCAAAGTTTCCTGACTGACAAACAGACATTTGTGAATTTGAAGTGAATACTTTACAATTGATTGTTCATCATAGCACTGTAATACGAGTTTTTCCAATATATTGTCTGGAACACACTCAAAAGATATTTCTGAGCCAAAGAGTACCCTAGTCTGAAGATTGTGAAGTAGAACTTTCAGTATTTCTTGAGATTTGATTCTGGTAAAACATGATTTCAGTACATAACTTATAAAAGAAATGTATTTAAACAGATATAGTCTTTGAAATCTCATATTGCTTTCAGTTGATATAGAGAAACAAGTAACGTAAATGAAAACAAACAGTAGTGAATCACTGAAGACTGACTGAAGAACAGGAACACAGCATTTATAATTTGGTTGTGATTAAGAGTCACGGAAAGTCGAATTTCGCACGAACAATATTGGTTTTCATACCCCCGTAACACTGTACGTTGTGAACTAACTAATAGTATGTTAGACTGCCGGATGGTTTACGGATCATTTAAACTTTGGATTTCTCGGTATTCAATCCTTGACAGGAACAAAACTGATATAGAGAATAGAAACACGTATTATTATTATCATCGGGTTGTCTCGTGAACATAATAACAATATTTTATTGAAGGACCGTCATCATTGTTATCAGCAAACCGTTTTTGGTCCCTTTTATCATTTTTTCCTCGTCGTTCACTCTTGGAAGAAACGGGTTTGTAACTCCTTTTTTGCTCTAACCCGTTATCGCTATCATGCGTTACGTTAATATCAGTGCTGGTGCCGGATCATAGATGTTTGGTGCCGGAAGAAAGTCTAATTTGTTATTATTCGTGTTCATTAATAGATAGTTAGTAGTTACCAACACGTGCCAAATGTGCGGCATTAGTTCAGGGTGAGACCTAGGAGGGAGATAGATCTAGTAAGAAAAAAAAGGGATCCAGAAACCGCCAGTGATCATAGCGATCAACGGCTGTCCAAGTAATCCGTCCGTAAGTCTGTGACCGCACGTTTGTCGGTGCCGCTACACCAGTGCACTGAGTCCCGCCGACACATAGGCACTAGACGTTCAAACCATCTATTCACAATGTCTGTATGATGCACGGTTTGTGTTCGCCTTACTAATGTTACAATGTTACCATACAAACTCAAAGCTTTGAACGACTGTTCATCGGACGAGAGCAGTAATAATGAAGACTTACCTGTCAAAATCACCAAAGAAGCGTTGGTAAGTAAAATATTCCATACATTTTTACATTAAAGTCTGGTGGCTAGTTTTATTTTACTTATTTTCACATAACTTCCTCTAAACACCAGCCCAACAAATTATAAAGTACCACATCAGGTACATTTCAAAATGAAATGAAACAAATTTAATTTAATAACTGCAGTAATGTATTGGCTTCATTGATTGTTCGCTTGCTGTGTGTGCTCTCTTTGAAAATTAAATAAAAAATATAATTTGATTTATTAAGAAAAATTGTGTCCAGGTAGGGATAATAATAAAGTATTTACTATATCCATGGTTCTAACTTTCAAACTATGATCACTTTTTTTAATAGGGCAATGCGTGATTTTTAAATGTCAATAACATCCAAATTAAGTATAAATGGCAACATTTTTCACGCATTCATAATCTGCATAAGTACTGCTAATTCAGAAAAAAAAACCTGTCAGGTAAAGTAGATTTATTCTATAGGTTTTCAAAATGGAAAGGCTACTTTTTATTTTGCAGAACACATGTTTGCATTTTAATTTCTGAATGAAACGACAACAGTAATATCAATACTTATTTTTATTATATTAATTTTTTATTTATCAATTTCACTATTTAGGAAAGAAAAAAAAATTCAACCGAGGTTTTGGTTATGGGTCCAGCATTCTTGTCAAATAACTATTTGGCATTTATTAAACAATGACAAATACCCTTTGATTAAATTGTCTAATGGAATCCGTACAATATGTTTAACTTAACTATCTCTGCAGTAGATATATATATTCTAAACTTCCATGATTAATATAAATAGCCTTGTTGCAGGACTTAAAGAACTCGTCAATTTCAAAAACTATATATTTATCAAATAAACAAATATTTGATATTTATTTCTGAAAGTATAAAATAAAGTACTTAAATGTATACACCTGATTTTTAGATCACTTTGTCGAACAATGATGGTCCAAATTATGGTTAGAGAAATGTTAGACTTGCATGTAGAATCTGTAACATTGCTTTATTAAGAAATTTTATTTTACTCCTACATCAAATATTTTTAGAAATGTGAACTGATCCACCTGAAATTTTCTATTGAGAATTTTTTTCTCAAGAGCAATGGTACATTGGTTTTAAGTTCAGTTTCAAGTTAAATAGGTCAATAAAACAATGTAATTTATCCATCTCAGTATCTCAAACATCCTAGAAATGTTTTTCTTTTTTAAAATTAAGTATTATTGCAATATAATTATAATTATAAGAGACAGGGGCGTATTTAGGGGGGAGGGGGATATGGATGTTAAAACACTCCCCCATCAACCAAATTTCATGGTATTTCACCAAATTGCAAACTTACAGTATAATTTGAATAAACATTGTATACAACTTATAGATTTTACATAACTGTTTTAATATAATCATTTTCATTAATATAATAATTTATTTGAATACATAGTATTTATTAACCTGCTGTTAGTCGCGTCATGGTCAAAATGACCACACTCAAATATTATGACTTTTGCATAATTTATTCTTCAACATATGTAATTAACACTTTTTGTACCTTTTTAAAAACTTATTAGCTATTATTACATATTGAAAACTATTCATTTGAATAATTATTTCCAAAAATAAATAATATTGAACAATGATATATTAAATTGCGGTCATATAGACCAACCTGCGATTAATCACGTTCCGAAAACCGATATCATTTCAAAATCTACATTTTATAAATTTTATAAACTTTATAAACGAATTACAAATGAAGCTGGACCATCTCGTGAAGAAAAATGCTACTATTGTGACAGAAAAAAAAAATAGAAAAACGAAAAATTAAAGGAAAACCTGCCAAAATTATATTTGCAAATAGCATACAGTAACATATTGTCGACAATATTTTTGACAAAAACATTTAAAATTCATCTAACAATTTAGATTAATGGAGCAGTATAAATAAAAAAAAAAATTAACCAAATCAATTTTTTAAGTATAATATTATATTATATTCTATTTCATAATTTTTTTTTTTTTTTTTATTGTACACAAAAAAAAAAATCATTTTGTTTGTAAAAATACATATAATAAGTATTAAATATTTTTTTTAGAACTAATAAATTTTGTGAACATTTTCTTGCATATTGATTATAATTAAATATTAATAAAATTAATAGATTGTATAAAATAATGTTGGTGTTGTGTAAAATTATAATGCGGTCAAAAAGACCTCAGCGTGACTAACAGCATAAAATATGCTCGCGTGATTAACGTCAGGTTAATGTAATACGGGGAAGGGCAGAGCCTCTACATATCATAAGTCTATTCAATTTTAAAACACCCCATTAAATAAATTCTGGATACGCCACTAATAAGGCATAAATTGGAATTTTAATTTAATTGTATTTTACAGCTAATAATTTTATTACAACAAAAACAATTATTTCAGGAAACAAAAGCAGAATTACAGTATAGCCAAGCTCTACAATTTTTAGCTAGAGATAAATTAAATGAAGCTGAAGAACAATTGTCTCAATTATTGGAAAGTGACATTATCAGTTCTGTAAGTTTACAATAAATCAGAAATATTAGATTTTATAAATAACTCTTATTATTTAATTAAATATTTAGTTGCATACTAAATTGGATCAAAAAGACCAATCTCAATCATTATTAGCTCATTTGAAATATTGTTGCCTTACTAATTTAGGAAATATTTTATTAAAAAAATCAAACTATCATGAAGCTTTAATTCATTACCAAGAAGTAAGTTATAAAGAATTATTTGGTACTTGTAAATACATTTTCATATCTAAATATGTTTAGGCCTTAAAAATGGATAATACAGATTTGAATTTGTGGTACAGAATTGGACTTAGTCATAGCAAGTTATATCAAACTGACCAAGCAATCTCAGCATTTTTAGAGGTAAATAAATTACATTTGTTTAACTTACATGGTGCAAAAAATTTGGCAAGTTGATAATTCTTCATATACAGGATGTCCCAAGAAGAAAACTTTTTTTAAATTAGCTAAAAAAACATTTTATTTTTAAAACAATTACAAAAATGGATGTGTGCAATCTCAGTTTAACATTTGGTTTACGTTTGAAAAATAATATCATTCAGATGTCCTCTACCAGCTTATTGACAGGCTATAATGCAATTGAAAAAATTAGGAATAACTGATTTACAGTTCTCTTTGATGATATTCGCAATGACATGTCGAATTTCTTCTTATAAGTCACTTATGGTTCTCGGTTTTATTGTGTAAATTTGGGATTTGACAAATCCCCAAAGGAAAAAAATCACAAGATGTGATATCACATGACCTTGCTGGCCAGTTCATATCATTCTGATGTGCAATGAGGCGACTCAGGAATACTTATACATCAGTTCAATGGTCTTTGATGCACTGTAGGTGGGGATGGCAAAAAATCATTGACTATCGATATATCTCGTAATTTCGATACATTGCATACCCAATATTGATACCATGATATATCGACGACTATTTTATCGATGCATCGATATATATTGAAAAAAATTCTAATACTAAAAAAGATAAAAGGTTTATGGACTTTCACATAGGTAATAGATTATAATTTATTAATACTTACTATAGGATTAATGACCAATAAATTGATTAATCAAAGCATGGCTATATTTAACAAAATTATAAGATATTTTATATTTATAAAAACAGAACAATTTTAATAAATTATAATTGCAATTTTTATATATTTCTGTATACGTCTGGGAAATTATAATGAAAATATCATTTAAAATTAAGTACAAAAAAAATTTAATAAATTTAACATTTATTAAGTTTGGAACCAAAGATCATCATCAATGAAGTTTAAAAAAAATAAATTTACTCAATCTCTTTCCTAATAGTCTATTCCTTGATTTTGAAAGCGTTAAGCTAGCCTTTGAAAATAATCTTTCCAAAGGAACAAACGTACCCATGATGGACAAATATTTCCGAGCTGGTACATATAAATCTGGATATACAGTTTTCATATCTTCCCAGCACTTAACTGGATCATCTTTTAAAGAAATTAAAGGCTATGATAGGTAGACATTTACATTGGTAGTTTCTGACGAATCTGTTCTCGTTTGTTTTCTTTTATATTTCCTATGTACCAATGTTTTGTGGTGTTCCCATAAATCAAAATTATCAGATTGCTGTTCTTCGTCTACACTTGAACAATCAGTTGAGCTTGTTTCCTGTACTGATTGATTTTGTATAAGTAAATAGGTCAAATCATTTTAAATCAATAATAACTAAAGAAATATATTTATTTTTAGGGAATTAAATGTAATCCCAACCATTGGCCAACACTGGATAAGTTGATTACTTTATTATATGCAAGCAATGAATATGTTTGTTGTATATACCATATAAGTATATCTCTTACTTTAGATTCTGGATATCTTAAAGGACATTTTATTAAAGACATTATTTTTAAAAAATTTCCATCATTAATATCTTATTTTAAAAGTTATTGTACTGACGGGTAAGGAAAATTATACTTTACTTTTTAATTTTAAAAAGATAATTTGTATTATTATTTTTTATTTTTCAGTGGCTTAGATGTCAAATGTACTGAAACTATTGATGAAAATATACAACAAAAGGTTTTGAAAGAAATCGAGGATGTTAAAAAAAATGATCCAACATTATGTTTTGGAAAACCATCATTAAATATAAAATGCAAACCAGTTTTGTGTGCAAAGCCTTTAGAATTTAAAGGTTTGGATCAACTTGGAAAGTGGTTAATTAATATTTATGATAATTTATTTGAAAATTATGAACATTCGGTAACTATACTTTTTTATTAGAATTATGTTAAACATAATTAGAGTATAAGAAAAAAATGAACTAAAATAATTTCCTCAATACTAATTTTAGTATTTTTTCACTAAAAGAATGTTAAATTCTCACTTTCAATTTGTGATATTTTATTTTTTTTTAATGAAGTTTTCTCTTAAATATTTATTGTAACTATTTTTCTAACAAAATTACTTTTAACTATTAATCTCTTATATTTTAACAAATGAAAGATAAAATTAAAAAGTATTTTTTCAAAAAAAAAATTTAATATTGAAATAGTTTGATTTATTAAAAATTAAAAAATTGTTCATTAATATTTCGAATTGCAAATAAATAAGTATTTTAAATTATTTATTTATTATTTATGTACCTAATTCGATTTAGAATTAAAAAGTCACAAAACCAAATGAAAAAGTAGTATAATATCATTATTTTTTTAAATTATTTTTCTAACTATTCAACAAGTCCAATAAAATGTTTGTATTTTGCATGTATTAAACATTTGTGAATATAGTATTGTTTTGTGAGATTGAGCATAGTGTATTGACACTATGAAATAGTGCAAAATCAATTTTTATTTTTTTATTTAACAAACATTATAAAAGTCTTAATTTTGATCATTTTTAGCTTTTATATGAACCTATAGAATTCATTCTTGAATCTTCGACTCTGGATATAAAATATCATATTAATGTTGATGAACATTTTAGTAAAAAAGACTTTGAAAAACCTTCATTTAAACTTGATGGTAAATAAACACAGAACAAAATGTATTCACAAGTTATATTATTGTCGAAAATTAAATTTTAATATTACTCAATATTTAATAGTTCCTGTAACAAAACGAAGAAAAAGTTCTCCTTCGATAACTGATCCTTTAAAATTAAGTCGGAGATCAGCTCGAAATAAAGCAAGTGCTAAAGTTAATGAGTCAACTTTAGTGAAATCAGTATGGAATATCATGCCTCAACATTTATTGTATGATTTATTTTCAAAAGAAATTCATTAGCAATAACTCTATGAAATTACATTTATTTCAGGCTTAATAAAGATAGCAGTGATAAATTGAATATAAATTCAATCAAATGGTCTGATGATTCCATGGATACGATGGATTTATACAGATTATATGAATTTTCAGATATTTTAAGTGATGGGTATACTGAAAATTTATTAAAAAATAATATGTCTGAGGAAGAACGCCTTAAGTAAATAAATAAATAAAATAAATAATAATTCTATCAAATATTTAATTTTTAATTATTACTAGACAAATAAACGAAGAAAATTATTTTGGATCAAAGTATGAAGAAAATGATTTAAATAACTTTATTAAAATAAATGACAAAAAGTCAATTTCTGATTTACTTGATATTTATTTGGTAATGATTGCTAATAAATGGTCAAATGTTTGGCCTGCTGATTTAGCGCAAGTTTATATAGACGTTTTCAAAAGAGTATGGTAAGAAGTTCATGTAAATTTAACTATTTTTTATTCTAATATTTTATGTTATTTAAATAGGATTCATACAGGAAAACAACATATAACTTACATTTCTGATTCAAACTTAAATAATTTAGATAAAGAACAACTTAAACAAGTAACAAATGAAATTATTTCCATTCTAACCTATGGAGAATTAATATGTGATCTTTATTTTCAATTAAAAACCAGTTTTAAACCATTAGAAGGAAGGTATTTCTTCAAATTTCAATTATCATTAAAATTCTAATATTCATAATTTCTAAACCAAAAATTCATTTTTAGTATTATTGGAGGTGACTTTTGTTCCTTATGGATCGGTAGTATTAATGACGCACTCTCAATAATAGATTTCAAAGAACACCATTTATCAATTAATATTCGGTTTTTGTGGTTAAGATCATTATTTAATTTGCAAGATAAAGAAACAGGCCTTACATGTGAAGTCCTTGATATGGTATTTCGTGATTTATTTTAATATACCTATTTATACCATAAGTTCTGTCCCTACTTATCAGTTTTATTAATATTTCACAATAGCGCTATAAATTTTTAACATTTTTTTATCTTTCAGAAATAGTAGATACAACGTATCTATTATTTCTAATTAGTATATTTAATCATGTCATTTAATGACAATCCCATTAAAGATTTTTAACTTGTTAAAACCACTGAAAATAACAAAAAAGTTTGTTTATGGAATCATTAAATGGTTACACGAGTTGAATACTAAAGATGACAAACCAAGAAGTAGATGTACGTGTAAAATAAGGACCAATTAAACAGTCAAAGTTGTCATACACAAAATTCACGAAAATCGACTGCGCAAGTAAGTAGTCATGGCTCAAGAAATGAAAAATCCACTAAGAACCGTGTTATATTTAGGGCGTTATTTAGTTGAATTTCTGTTAGCCGTATCAAAACACTCATGGTTAACTATCAAAATCATATTTTTGAAATTGTAGGGAAGCCTTTAAGTGATATCTTGTTTGTAGGAAAGCAAATTGGACCGTTCAGCAAGATTTAACACCTTCACATAAATCTAAAACGATACAACATTATTTTTAGATCAATTTATTTGAATTTATTGCAGCTCAAGATTGGCTTTCAAAAATTCCAGACCTGAATCTTAATTATCTTAACTATTGATTATGTAGTTTTTTAGAGGAAAAAACCTTTTGTTAACCCTATCAAAATATTAAATTACTAAAATCTGATTTTGTAAAATCAGTTGCCTCAGTACTGTTAGAAGTGGTACGTGCTCTGTTAAACAAATGGCTAGATAATTTGAAGTATGTAAATGCAAAAGATGGATAGTTTAAATGGTATTTAATTTTTTTTTAGTTATTATGTTTAATAAATAAATATAGGATTGTTCTTTATTTGCTTTGTTTTATTTATTAAATGTACACCTTTTTATAAAGGATAGAACTTATGGCAAGATTAGGTATAATATTTTTGTGCATAATTTTATTAAAACTACTTAATAATAATATTATACTTTAGTTATTGTGTGTCATTGATGACTTAGATGAATTTGAAATTATCTTACCAAATTTAGAATATTTTTACCGGATAAACAAAAAAATAGCTGAAAAACTTATTATCACACTAAAAAGGTTAGTATTGTCTGCTTTTCTTTTTAATTGTTTATTTATATATTTTGTTGCTTTCAGAAATAATTTATTAAGTACTGTTAAAAATTTATATGAGTTAAAAGAATATCTAAGTGTTGTTGATATTTTAAAAGAAACTTTAAAACCGCAAAGTCGTACTTTCATGGAGATACCAAGTTATCGCACTATGACAAGATTTAATCAATATATATATATGTTAAATTCATTCTTAGAATTGAAAAATTATTATGTATGGACATCCTGAATAATTTCATTGTTCTGCTTTATAATTAACAATATTATTTATTTGTTTAAAGGATTTGTTTAAATGGTGTGAACCTTGCTTATATGAAGGTATTCTACAATATCGTAAGAGTCTAATTGAAGACTGTGACCCAAACCAAAAAACTAATCAAGCCAAGTTTATAAATAATATATTTTATGCCATGTTAGAATCTATTAAAATAGAGGGGTTAAATGTTTGTAAGTAGCAAACATTTTAAGTCATAATATTTTTTTTTTTTTCATAAGTACATTGTTTTTTTGTGTTATAGTTGAAAATTTATCTCAAGGGTTTAAATCAAGACTTATACAATCAGTTATAAATCTATTATCATATCTAATAGAAACTCCTGATAGCAACCCTGAAATAGATGCTGTATCTCCATGGTTGTTAATCTATAATTTATTAAAATTGTAAGTTTCTTTTTATATTCATTAATATTGGTGTGTTGGCAAATTTTGACAAAATTGATATCAATGTGTTTTATTTATGTTGTTAGCAATTAGTTTTAATATTTTTTTTTTAACCACCATAGTGTTTTATAATATTTATTCTGGTTATTTTATTATGTATTGTGTGTGTATGTGTATATATATATATGATACATACATTACATGATGTATTGTGATCATATGCGTGTCTACAGGTATTGCTGGGTATGCTATAGCATCATCTGCTTTTTTTTTTTTTGGTGTAGACTTGTTATCATGTGATGAAATCTAATTCTAAAGTAAGGATTTACTGATATTCTTAATGGATCATCGACTACAACCATAGATTATTGGTTGGTTGGTTGGATTGGTTAAAGAAATTCTATAGATTAAAGATTTTTTAATGTTTTGCTAAAGTTTTAATGAAATATTTAATTCCCTCTCACAAGTTATTCATGTGAGGAATCTTTTTGAAAACTAGCAATTGTAAAATCAAAACTTTGAAATACTATGACTCAAAATAGACTTGAAGGACTTTTATTAATGTTTGTTGAACAAGATCTACTAGCTAAAATACAATATGCTGCTATAATCGAAGAATTTAAAAATATTATTCCTTTTAACTTTTGTTTTATATTATAAATTTTTATATTTATTAGTATTTAATTTTATAACATTATGTATTTTTTTCACTAGGTTTATATATTTTTTTATATTATTATATTTACAATATATCAATGTAGTTCATCATTAAACACTAGCACAGTTATTAAATTTAATGAGAAAATGTACTTTATTACTATGTGAATGTCGTTATTCTATAATGTAAAATGAATGAATATAATTTTTAAGAATTTATTAGGAATATTTCAGACTTCAGCAACATCTGCTATAAAAGTCTGGCCACGCCTATGATTGTGATATCATAGTTTATAATACATTAATTATTCTTTTAAATTATTAATAGTTATATTATATTTGGATTGTAGCTTAGAAAGACTAAATATTTCATATATTACTTGTTATTTAGCGAAGAATCTAAAAATGATAATTCAATTACTTCTCAAACTACTACTATTCCACACTCTTTATCATTACTATTTCTTGGTCATGAATATTTGGGAAAGTAAGTTTTAATTGGAACTTCATATATCATTATAGTTATTTATATCTGTTTTATTTATTTTTAGGAGATCATGGTGTTGTTTTGAAGATGGTATTTTACTATTCCTAACATTATCTGAAATAGAACCATACATCCATTTAGATTTTTATACTGTATCACTTGTACAACAAGTTGATCAAATATTTTATTGTTTATTTACTCGTTTAATCAAACGTAATAAGCCACGTCATGTGCAGGTAATATAAACTGTTTTTAAAACTTTATTTTTATTATATCTTTTATAAGATCTAAGATTTTGAGCTATCTTAACAACTATTATTAAATAATAATCAACCTAATCAGTTAGGAAAACTGTTTCTCATGGCGGTTTTTTCATTTGGAAAGCGTAGCCGCCAGAGATCAGGTTCAAACCAGCACCTGTGCATTTAGATATAGCCAAGGTATAAGGATACTGCTCGGCCTTGATTCCCCAGAATTTTAATAATTTTGAATTTTATACAAAAGCAACTAATTAATCAATCTTATATTATCATTACATACTCTGTTATTATTCTTTATGTAGGATCATAATTCTATGGGATTAGCACTAACATGGCCACGAGCAAGACAGTTAATACATTTCTATCAACCTCCAGAATTACCTAGTTATGATGGTATTTCAAAATCATATACTATTAGTTCCGATACTGAAGCTTTGTTTAAAAAAGTTATAACTCTCATACCTGAAGAAATTAAACCAAGTAAAGTTAATTCAAACTATATTTACATATAAAAAAAAATAATTCGTTTTAATAAACTTATTAAATTTTTTTTTCTATTTCAGACAAATTGATGGATGATTTAATGTCATATATAAGAGGAGAAAATGACCAGCTTCCAGTAAACGATAATCCGTTACCTAATGATGTAAAAGATATTTTTTATTTAATGGCTGATTATCATTTTAAAAACAAAACTTGGGTAAATTAAAGTAGAAATCCGTCAGTTAAGTTAAATATGTTAATTTTAATTTTATATTTTAGAATCAAGCTATTCGATATTATTTGCTTGATCTATGCAGTAATTTGGATCGTTTTGATTCATGGGCAGCATTAGCATTAGCTAGAGGTAGTCAGATAGAAACAAAATTAAATTCAGTGAGTTCAAATTTAATTACATTTTTATAGATAACGTATTAATATTTTTTTATGATATTAATTTATTTTAGTGCGAGTCAATTAAAAACGAAGGTGATATAATTCAAAAAGCTCATATGGCTGGTCGATGTTATAAACACGCTTTAAAACTTAATCCAGAAAATACTACTCTTCTCATTGAATATGGAACATTCACTTATAGTATTCATTCATTTTGTTCGCGCTTATTAAAACAGGTGTGTGTTAAAATTACCATAATACATTATTTTCACTAGTCATTCTTAATTTATTTTAAAATATATTCATGTACATAATTAACTTTAGTAAAATACGCATTATAAAATATAATTTTATATGATAAAGATCTATTGATATTGAAAAAAACTGAATATTTCTCTGGTTATTGATTTCAGTATTATATAATAAACATTACATGGTTTTTAATAACATTATAAATATAATTTTTCGATTCAATATATTTAGCTAATTATATTAATATGTTAATGATAAGCTCTGCATGGAACTTTTTTTAATGGCAATAATTTAAATCATCTACATATTTGTAACTTATCTTAAATTTGTGTCCATTTATTTTATTTCTAATGTAAATTATAATTTTAGGTATATACCATGTAATATAATTTTTTTATGTTTATTTTATTTTTTCATAGGAAACTTCTAGTATGAGTTTACAAATGTTTGGCGAACTTGAACAAGAAAAAGAAAAAATGATTAAAATTGCTAGAAAATGTTTTGAAACAGCCAATAACGTAAATTTGAATAAAAAAAGGTATTCAATTGTTTATTTCTTCTACAAATTATGGTATTAAATTTTAGGTTTGGGACTGCACTGATTGTGATGACCAAGATGAACGATGGATGCATCATTATGTTCTTGGGAAAATTAATGAAAAAAATGATGACAACTCAGTACTATTTATGGATCATTATCTAAAGGCTGCTGAATTCTTAGATTCTTATGGAGCTATATTTCCAAAACATATTATATATACATCTCCACAATATTATTCAATTGAAGTGCTTGAGGTCAGTACATTATATTTAAAAATATCCTTGTTGGTTTCCAAAAACCTATTTAACTATAAAAATACAATTGTTTGTATAATAAAATGTTTTTATATATGTGAAATTTATGTTGTGAGTTATTTTTTATTAATTCTTATAAGTACAAAATTGTATTGATGTTTAAGTTATAAATTCTTGTTACAATCAAATTATTTAGTTAAATATTTTAAGGATATTGTACCGAATATGTATAATTTTTAATTAATAATTTATTTTATTTCAGATTTATTACAGAATTCATGCTGGAGCGTTGAAACTATTAGAAAAATACGAAAACCAATCTTCAAATGAGGAACTATATTTGAAAATTGAAAAAGTGTTAGATAAAATTTCTAATATGTCCCCTATAAGCGATAAAAATAAGTAAGTTTAATTTTTTTGTTAATACCTTTGTAATTAAATTTTTGTGTTTATATTTAAAGGAGATCCAGTAAATTGTCAAATATAGATGTGAATAGTAAAAACAAAATTAAAAAGGTTTGTATTAAAGTAGGTGTAAACAAAATAATTTGACTTAAATAATCCATATCAACACATTTACGTACTAAGTACATAGTAATTTTAACATTTTTTTTATTTTAAAGAATGTGTAAGAAATTGAAAACAATTCATAAGATTTGTCACTGTCACACTAGTAATGAAATGGCTTTAAATCTGTTGCTATCAAAACGATTGCTTTTTCACTACCTGATTAATGTATCTTTTGTACTATTTTTGAATTTCTTTATAAGTTTTTGGCAAATACAGCCGGTGTTGTTTATCCCACACAAAACATTTGTACTATTTACATGTGTACTAACACACAGAAAATTCTACAGCTATTACACTCACTATTTGTACAAATTTTTATATTTTTTTTTATTTACTCCTACATTATTTTACTACTGTAAATTTTGTTATTTCTATTTAATTCACATATTATGTTATTATAATAACTGTACATATATTTATTATTTCATGTGTTCATATTTCTTTGTTTTCCTACAAAGTAGAAATCAAATTAAATTACATTTTTGAAAAAATGTAAATTTTTTTTTTATTACTGGTATTTGCCATATTGACTTATTCAACGGTATATTAGAAAATACTATTTTATTATATTTTATTGCTTATTAGATCAATTTATTTTCTATAAAATTATAAAATTAGTTTTTTTTGTCTAACAATAAAAAAATAGTTATTTATGATGTTTGTTAATTTTATCATAGCATAAAATAATAAACTTTTGTAGAAAGACATCGAATTAATTGTAAAACAAACTTTAAACGACATTATTGATCAAATGGATGTGGTCCAGCTTGATAAAGAAGAAGATAGTTCAAAAGTAATTATAAATAATCCATGGACAGTTGTTGATGTTTATACAAAAAAAGATGAAATGGAACTTGCTAACATGAATAGCGCAGTATGTAATATTGAATTAATGTATATAGATAATAGTATTTAATTGTATTTTCTAAATAATTAAAAATATAAATTTAAGGACATGTCAAACATGCCTAGAAAAAAAATGAAATTTAATAATGATTTACCTAATCGAGATATAAGAGACCGTAAGTTAAGCATTATTCTACATTTATTAAAATTTTTTATTTATTGTAAATTAAAGTACTTCTTTTTTTTCAAGTTCGTGGGTTATTAATTCAAAGATGCCTAACAGCTCTAGAAGATTGCATAAAAAGATTTCCTCAACATTATAAATCTTATTATCGCTTGGCTCATTTATATTTCCGTTCTCCATCTCATAAAAATTATGAGAAATTTAAGGATTTGATGTTTGGTGAAAAGGGATTATTTGTTGGCCAAAGACCTAACAACTTTTTCCATGTAAGTTCTTTTTTTTAATTTAAAAATTTCAAATTAACAATCATGAATTTTACTACAGGGTGTTTGGAGAATTCCAGTTAGTGAAATAGACCGTCCTGGTTCGTTTGCATATCATATGAGTCGATGCATACATTTAATATTAGATTTCCTTAAAGAAACTGGTGACCACAAAATGCTTCTAGATTTAGCAATACAATTGAAGTTTACTCCTGAACTCGAGAAGTATGTTATAAATTTTTAAATAGTGTAAACTAACTATTAAGTTAATATATTTCACTATAGATAATTAACAGTTTTAATAATAATTCTTGGTTTTTAGGAAATATTTACGTGATAATGAACGAGAAGGTATTTCAAAAGAGGCATTGTTTCTTAGTATTCAAATATTAAGGAGATTAAAATCAGAATACGCTAAAACTAATAATCGTAGTAAAAATGAACTTCTTCTTATTCAAGTTTACAAGAGTTATAAACGTGTGTTCAAATGTTGGCAGCAAAGGGACAATACTCTCTCAAAATTATTATTGAATGTCTATCAAAACATTGTTGGAACTAAAGTAAGATTAAAATATATATTTTAAACATTTATTTATTCTACAATTTAATCTGTGAATATTTATCTTCAAATGTACCATATTGTAAATTTAATAAAAAGAAAAATTACATTTTTATTATTTTTTGTAGCAGAAAATGGTTTTTAATTATTATCAAAAAAATCTTTAAATTTGATTCGTTTTTACAAATTTAAAAATTTAAATATGTTATAGTTTATTTTATAGATATGGGTTAATTCTTCTTTTTTTTACCCTACAATTATCTTCAAAATGATAAACTATTTTATTCTTTATTATTCGTTCATATATTTTAAGTTACCTATAACTGTAAACTTTCATTGTTAGGAAGATGTTTCCAATGACGTGATAATTAAATACTGTCAAAAACTGCAATCGAAAGAAAAAGAAATTGAATTCCAAAGCAACATTGTTAATAATGAAAATGTAAGTATCAATTAAAAATTAAACGACACAATCGATGTATTATTATATTATCTTAGTAAATAAAATTAGGAGTTATATTTATAGTAGTAAATAGGACAACTAAATAAGAGTGCTAATAAGGAACAAAACTTTTTTAATTAAACTTTTTTAAAACAAATTTAATTTCAATAATCAAAGTCATAGGCGCAAATAGGGGGGGGCTTAAGTGATATTACCACCCCCTATTTTACAATTAGCACCCTCAAATAATGTTCGTGTTTATGTATCAAAAACTCATTTTTGTCATCAGACATTTGACTATTAGAGTATAAAACTGTAATGAAATATAGATGAAAACAATGTTACTCGACAAACGTCAATTCACATTTTATCGAATTCACCGAAACCCTAATTTAAATTAATTTTAAAACCGAAACCTTTATTTTTATTTATTTAAAAATCGGCTCATTAAATCCTTATAGTTTTAATATAAATTAAATACCCAATAAATATAGAACTTAAGCACCCTCAGTTTTTTTATTGAAATTGCGTCTATGATCAAAGTACAAAAAGAATTAAGATTATTAAAAGCCTTGTAAATACTTTTTCTCTGGTCTCGCTGGTATTTTAAGTTATTTTATTGTAATTTAAAATCTCAAAAAAATAAACTTTTAACATGACTGGTTATGACTGATTATGTGTAGAAAATTTTTTAAAATATATGCTAGAAATCGTATTTATCTGGAAAAATATTTTACCGTAAACGTATTTTGTTGGAAACATATATATTGTTAAAAACATAATTTGTCTGTTACATGAAAAGTATTTACCATAATTTATTTTTTTAGAAACTATATATCAATATATAAATAAATAAATAGTTTATATTTAAATAAATAAATAAATGCTTAGCTTGGAGTATTATAATATTTGTAAAGTACGACAGATTTCGAATTAAAAATTAAAGGTACTCGTATTTAAAACGTCATTAAGGTCACGATTTAATTTACCAACCTGCTTACAATTCGTAATATTTACACTGTTTTCATTAATAAACAAAATGCTTTATTACATAGCCAAGTACTAAAATATTTTTACTTTTATTAGATTCCAAAATATATAATTTGATCATTTTTTAAAAGGTATAAAGTAGGTAATTTATGTACAACTTAATAAAACATTTTTCAATGGGTTAAATAATATACTTTTAGTCATATATTAATTATTGTAGGTACTACCTAAATAATAATAAGTCTTATAAGTACATGTTATTTCATTAGAATATGATGTGCATGTATCAATATAATATTATACTATACAAATTATTAAAAACTGGTTAATAAGTACCTATTTTAGTATTTAAAAATTTACAACGTGTATAATTGTAGGAAGGTATAATTAGCTTAAGAAATATATCCAAGATTAACGCATGAATAATGTTTTTAATTTTATTTATTGATCAAAAAATCTCCTGTATTTTTTATAATTTTAATGTGGATTCTTTAAATACTAATTTAAGTAATAAAATAAAGTTTAAATAATAAATTCTCTAACGCTATTCCAAAAATATATTTTCATACAGAATATTTTCCCACGAAATATTTTTCCATATCCAAACTAATATTGGACCAAGAAAATACGTTCCGACAAAATATAGCCCCCGGTATATACGAACCTTATATCATAAAAAATAGTCACCCTTAATAGTTGTTCTAGTTATAATCACGTATATAATTTTTTTTTCTGATTTCTGTATTCTATGCATGATTTTTTTTTTTACTTTTATTTGCATATAAATTTTTCTTTGTTAGAACTTAATATTTTATTATGTTATTGTTTTGTAGGATCTTCTCTCGTCGGCTGTCAGTCCATCAAAATCCGTATGTAAACTGGGTTCTGCGAAATCTATGTCAAATTCATTATCACTTGACACCCAAAAACAACTTTACTCACATCAGTTGCCAATGAATACAGAACTATCTAATCAAATAATGTCCATGTTGGCTCCCTATTCACAATCACCATTATTGTTTCCAATGCCCATGGAAACGTGTAGCTATAGCTATACATTGCAGCAAAAATTACAAGCAACGAAACAGAAATTAAAACGAAACAACAGTAAAGAAAAATCGGAATCGAAACGGTTGACAAATAATAAAGCAGACAAATCAGAAGCAAATCGATTGATAAACGGCCGATCGAAAAAAAATACAGGAAACAAGAGTGGTGGTGAATTAAAAATCGCGAAGAACTTAAAGTCAGTGCACGGTGTCAAGACTAAAAAAATATCTAAAAGTGATCGTTTGGAACTTGAAAAGACTTCGAACGAAAACAGACCAAATGAATTGAAATCGTTCCCATTACCGGATTCGGTGGTAGAAATTAATAAATTACCGTCCGCAAAGAACGCGTACAACTCGTTTAGTGAAGACTTTGCCGCCGTTGCCGGTCCATCACAAAATTCAAAATCTATCCAAATGCACTACGATAAACCGAATGAAACTGTAGCCGCTCATCAAGCAATATCGTCGACGGGGAGCGTCACTGTCAGTAAAGTGAAATTACCGGCGGCAGCGAAAATCGCAGGCTCTCGTAAATCGGTGTACATAGACTTGGATTGTGCTGCCGAACAAGCTCGTTTGAAATCAACCATTCTTCAAAAAATTCCAGAGAAAAAAAATACTGTTCCAGTTTCGTTGAATCCAGCCATGTTGCTATCGTCGTGTCCGGGATTGAGTATTACGCCCATTGTTAACGAAGTGTCGGTAATGCTATCTCAAAACACTCCGACGACAATTCCGCCGCCGTCGAAGAATTTCCATTTTAAACAGCTAGAACATCTCGGTAATAGTTTAACGATAACAAAAACTGAGAAAAACGGAAGTAAAAAATCATCACCAGAACTGATCATCCTTGATTAGACCTAATATGATACAATTGATGTCATACACTTTTAAAAATACTAGTCCAATAATATTTTAAATATTAGTTTAGTTTAGGTTATTTATTTTTATTTTTGTGTTCTGAATGGATGTAAAATAGTAATATATTATGTATTATATGTAGCTTTATTGTATATTAAGTATCTACATCATAAAAATGCTGCCCATTTTTTTAAATTTTGTTCGACATCTTTCGTTTAATAATGCTAATGTTTTCTTAGCTATTCTGAAACCTAAGTAATTTATGTAATTTAATATATTTTGATCTAAATAAATTTAATATATTTTTTTATAACACAATGTATAGTTTTTAGAACATGAATTTGTGAAATTGTCTTATCATATAGGGACTGATATTAATATCCATTGTAATTCCATATTTATTTGAATATTAAAAATATAAAATTATTTTTAAAAATTAACCGTTAGTGCAAAGAAACACATGGAAAGTGCACTTGCCTATATCAATAGGAATAATTATTAATTACTAATTAACATTTGTGTCATTAAATTTCAAGTTTTAAAGGGATTATTTATATACTGTCTGTGTAGTATTGAATTTTTTTTTTTTATCGAAAAAAATTAAATATATTTACAATCTGTATTTACATGTTAAACAATAAGTAAAATTGATGACTGATTAGCGGGAATAAGAAGTCACCCAGTGATGGCACCAGTATTTATTTTTATTTTTTATCCAGGTTCAAACCCTCCCCTCAGGGCCAAAAAAAAAAAGAAAATTGTTTTATTATTGATGACGTGTAATATATTCGTAGTTTCATTATTACGCTTTGAACTTAAAATATACAAATATACAAATACTATGATAATTAAATAATTATATTGATAGGTGTTTGAAATGTTTGAAAAGTTTTGTTAACTATGCTATTTTTATATTCCAATAGCTATTAATTTACTGTAATGTAAAAGTAAACTGTAAATTGGTAAAAAAGTTGTATAAAATAATATCTATAGCATTTATTTATCTTATTTATCTGTGCAACAAAAAAAAAAGATAACGATTATTTTTGTTAAATACCCCCCCCCCCCCAGAGCAAGATTGAATGTACACTGCATATATTATACATAAATCTACATTTAAAAAAAATAAAAATTATTTAACTTAAGTAAAATAAGTACTTATTATAAGTAAATTTTATTACAAGCTAATAATTTACTTTAACTAATAATAAATACATAATTAATCTAATCATAGATTTTTGTCTGTCATAAGCCAATTATCTTATTTTCAAAATGTATACTTAATAAATATTAAATACTACTCAAGTAATTTTTATATATATATATATAAATTATGCTTAGTTTTAATTATTTATTATTATTTATTATTTTTAATTACTTTAATTTAATTATTTAAATAATTTTAAAAAATATAATGAAAATTAAATATATACAATTAAAAAAAAAAATTGATATGGATATCATTGTAAATAAATATAAATATGTTATTTCATTGCAGTAACAATTCAAAAATAAATCTTCTTGAATTCAGGTTTTAAACAAAATTTGTTCATAATAATTGATGACCATTTGTGGGAATATTCTATTCATAACTCTTGATTCAACCACTCTGATATCTTTAGAATTTTTCCATTTAGTTAAGAATAGTATATTATCAAACTCAAAAATGGCTCCCACAATTTCTTTTATTTGTGAATATAACTGATAATTGTCATAGGAATCATTATTAATAGTGGTCAATGGTTCAAATAATCTGTGAACATAATATATATATTAAAATTTCATAAAAATTTGTTTAGTAAAATTGTGAAAAGTAAAGCAAATAAAATATTTAATCAAAAATATAAAATATTAATGTGTATAATATACATAGCATACTTATATTCATTAAAACTAAATTTCATTCGTGATATTTATATTTCTTCTATTTTTATGTCTTGTATATATATTTATTCTAATATACATTGTTCCACGAATATATAACTGTGACAAACGTGTATCTCCAAAAATAATCAATATATATTAATTAATTATTAAAAGAGGATTTATATTTTTTACGGCTATAGGAACCAAACACTTTCCGCCCCTACAATGGGTGAAGAATTTATATCATCCCTTCCAAAACATCTAATCTAAATAATCTAAATATTAAATATATAGACATATATACCTACATCCATTTGAATTTTTAGACAATTTTTTCGCTTTTATTAATTAGTCTATTTTGAAAAAATATCAATGGATGTCCACTAAATATTAATTATAACATAAATATAATAAAAACAGATTTTCACAGCAACAGCCTAGGATTATTTAAATATAGTCGATTTAGTAATATAGTGTAGCTTTATTTTTCTCCGAAATTCCGACATCAACGATATCCGATAAAAATAACTATTAAACTAACACATTATTTTATTATAGAACAATATAATGACTTATAACAGCGGTTCCCAAACTGTGCACCGTGATGCCCTAGGGGCACCGCGAGCACTTTCTAAAGGCACCGTGGTCTACGGTTCATAACAAATAGTTTAAAATGTTTAGATTTTTTTCCCCTTATTGTTTTCGTACAAACTTTACAGCAAATAATGAAATATTTTCTATTGTATATTCGGACATTCTCAATTTAACCTTATAATATTTTCATGTAATAATTATAATAATGATAACAATAATTTTATTTATTTAATTGTTAAGTTTAAAAATTCATTAATTTATAATTAAGTTAAATTTTAATAAAATTAATAAAATTAGTTGTCAATGAGTATTTTTTTTTTGTCCTGTCTTTCATGTTATTCACAGCAGGGCACCGTAGCTAAATTGAGTCCAAAAAAAGACACCGCGGAAAAAAAAGTTTGAGAACCGCTGACTTATAATATTTTTGTAAAATATCATAATTTATGAATTTAATCTTTATCAATTTTTTTTTAAATTAATAACTCTCATTAATTTGTGTACCTACACAACATCAATTAAAATTAATCAATGATTTGCACATAGGCGGAAATTGGAGGGGTTTGAAGGGACTAAGGTTTAGCATAGAATGTCTTATCGTATATGTTGCTATAATTCTCAAATATTTGTTATCGTTCAATCAGGATCGCGTCGATCCGTCATGACTCGTTACTAAAAAATTAGACGATAACAAATAATGTAAAAGTTGAGCATAACAAGAGTATAAAATTTTTCCAGTTAGAGATTGACATTTTATGACAGTATATGTTTACACTTAACAATTATTATTACTTATGTACCTATGTAAAAATTCGATTTGGTTTTATTTAGAATCACCGTAAAAATATTGCTGCCCCGTTAAATATTTCAGGGTCTATTACCTCCCCGAATCACTCCTTAAATACGGCACCGATTATCACAAAAAATTTATTATTTAAAATTATTTAGATAATTTGTCTTAGATAACCAATTTTTTTAAAAAGATAAATGTTTGTATCTAGATAAATCATCTAGATAAAATGCACAACGCTAAAAATATTTAAAATAAAGTTAAATTAAAGACTTACGTTAATTCTAGCAGTTTTGAGGAGTCCATGATCAGCTCGCGAATACGGTATGATTGTGTATGTAATGTTTGCAAGACCAAATTGCAAATCAATAGAACAATTTTGTAAATTGAAACTAAATGGTCGAACATAGATACGTTTTTATTAATCTATTCATGTAACCCCACAGAGTACTATACATATATAATCTGTGTAAATGAGGTTTAGATATATTTAAGGTTAATGGTGAAGTCGTACGAACCTACGGTTTTGCATTTCAAACGAAATACGATTCATTCGGGCAGTGTCGCTATATGCATAAACAAAAATATGAGTTTTCCCGATATATTATAATCGATCGAGCACAATTTGTTCAAGTTTAATCGAGAAAATATGAACGTGAAGCGAATTGCGACATCTCACGACGATATCAGCGACATTTGTTCGAACTAGACGACAATCAATTGTAGACGAATTGTACTTGTGTCAGTTTACATATCTCCGAATACACCATTTGAAAAAATGTTTCGTCTTAAATCTAATGACGCACAGTCCTAAGGAATGTTCGAGCAGCTCGAAAAGTATAGCAATCACGATTTACCCATGCTCGTTGGCAGAGACTTAAATTTAGATTTAATCTCGTAAAAAGTATCACTTATTAAATTCTTCATGAAATCATTATGTACGTGTAGCATGCATAAAGAATTAAGTATCTTATCTGTCATTGTTGATCATAACTAGGTTTTCACCCTTCGTAATTAACTGAATGACCCTTCAATGTATCCAAAATATACTTAGAATATTCAATATCTATTTGTGCTTTATAATAGCTATACCAAACCTTAGATTCCGTTAAAAAATTATCTAAAAAACAGTTATATTTCTAATGAGTGATGTATATTGTCGTTCATCAAGTATTCCGGTGATGATTGCAATAATGACTAAGACACTACGTTTTCTTCGGAAAAACGCTGTTTGATAGATGATAATAATAAATCGAGATATCGAATAAAAATAGTAATAATTTTGAGCACAATCGACTGGTACATTTGCTCTATGAATTTATTTCTTAGTAATCTTTGGCATAGTTAATTGAATTTCGGATTCACTTAAGCTTTTTGTATGTTTTTCCAGAGAACTCTAAAGGTAGTATCTGCAGATTCTCAATGTTGTTCAAATAGTTTTGTGAGCTTGATAATTTGATTTTTGATGGTCATCAAGTTTTGGTTAACTCCTTGGAGCACACTGGCAACTTATTCAAGCATGGAAGAATATTCGGCCATAATAAATAAGCAAACCAAAAAAGTGGAATTGATACAAGAGTTAAATAGCTGAAATACACGTTGTTTTATTTTATAATTTACATCACCACCTTTGGACAACTTTTATAGTGCTTCTAATACTACATTTATATTTTCATTAAATACTCTAATGCTTTTATATTTGGTGGTTCAACGTGTTTCACAAAAAAGATGAATATTTGGAATGTGTTCTTGTGGAATTCTTCTGAGTAGATTTTCTCAAAAAAAAGTTTATTCCTATATCTTTTATTGTTTCAACTGTATTAAGAATTTCTGAAACATCACTCAAATCATTAATTACTAGATTCAACTTGTGTGAACCACAGTGAAAAAAATTTGCAATTGGGTATTTATCTTGAATTTGTTTTCTAACTCCACTTTTTTTCGGCTATTGTAGAACAGCCATCGTATGCTTGACCAACCATTTTAGTTAAATCATATCCAAATCTGAGAAGAGATGGAATTTTTCCGAACTTAACTGTTTTAGTGGTACGAACCCTAAAAATTCTTCTCTAACACAAAATTCATTTGTTGATATTTTGTGCACGAACTTTAATTCTAATGATAATTGCCTTGTGCCAGATATGCCATAAAAGTCTTATAGTAGTTATAGAAAAAAAAAAAACTCTTTTTAATGTCTGATTATATCATTGCATATATTTAAAATTTCATTCTGCACCTGATAAGAAATATAAGTGGCATTTGCTGGAGAACTCTGTAGGTGGTAATTTAGTGTCATATATCCAGCATATACTCTAAATTACAATTAACTTTTGAAGATATCATTATCGTCTGTATTTCCTCTGAGAGGAATGATTTTTTACACAACAAAGAACTATGGTTTTTATGAATGGAATAAATGTTTTATGATTAGACTACATTTTTTTTTACTCAATAATTGCAAAATACTTTTGTTTTTATTTTCTACAATTTTACAAAAATCATTTGCTTCATTTGTTGACTCACAATGCCATTTAGATTTAAGATGTTTTTTTTACAGACTGGGTCAGCTTGGTTCTAAAGGGCCCAGGCAGGATTTTATTTGGAAGGGCCCCAGTTACCATACTACAACATTTTTTTTATTATAATTAAATTAAATAAATCATAAATATTAAAAATGGTTTTAAAAATGTAATGCACTATACATAAGAGATTCTATATTTGTAAATTACAGTTGTGAAAATTTTTGTACTTTCTTTAACATTCTCTTACCATAAAATGACCTTGCACTCCTCAATTTAAGTAAGGTTTGAATAATACGCAATAACGGCATAAAACTCCTTTAAGTTTTGCGGAAATGAAAAAAAAATTGTCATTTAACCACTGATAACGAAATGGATGGCCTCCCGAAATTGAGTCTTTATTAAAATTAAATGATTTTTCGGTTGTCAACAAGCACTTGGTAAAAATAAGATTGGTATCATAGGCGCCGACTTTTATATTTTAGCACGGAGGCAAATAAAATATTTATACTATTGTTCATGAATATTATTCCAATTCTCTTTATTGGCTTCAGATAAATGAAAATAAAAATAAAAATTACATGAAATTATGAAAATACAATTTATTTTCTAACTTAATTACAATACATTACATTTTATGATGATAATTTTACAATCTAAAATTATATTTTTTTCAATTTAAAAGTATTTCTTCTTGTCATGCACTTATTTATGAACATATTTCCTATTTTGCTTAGGTCTAAAGATTCTACTACTATGTTATGGCAATTTAGAAGTGCCATAATTTTTTTTTAATAATGAATTTAGATCATTTAACCTGGTCTGCGTCATGGTACTTCTGGTATAAGTTTTTAACCTCCTCAACATAGAAAAAGATAGTTCGGTAGTACATGTAGTAACTGGTACTGTTAATATCAATTGTATGCATTTCCTGAGATCTGTTAAATGAATGACTAAATACGATTTATTTTTAAAAATATTTAATATATCTGCGAATGATAAAACAATTAATCCTTGGCCTTTAATTATATCATGAAACATATCTCTATGAAGTTTTAGTTTATCAATATTTATATCATCCTTGTAAAATGTACATATTATTTCGGGTGATATTTTTGAATCAATTAAAAACATTTCCACATTACATAAGAATGATCGAATTTCAGAGTTAAATCTTAGTTGTAATCCAGAAAGTATATGATCAATGATTTCTTTATATATTTGATTATATTTACTTTCAGGTGAAAATTCAAAGGACTTTGTTACTTCGTCTTCATATTTTTGAGGTTTTTTTCGTTTTCTAGATTCCTTTGGTGCATCTAATTTTAAATCTGACCATTCATTCTTTGCAGATTTCCATAAAATGTGAAATGTATCTCTTAAATTTGAAATAGTATCTTCTAAAGTATTCAAAATTTGAACAGAAAGTTTAAAATTTAATGATTTACTTTGCAATACTGTATTTGTAATCTCCATGTGTTTAAAAATACTTATCACTATTTTAAGCATTATAAAAGTATCTGCAGTTTTTAATTGTTTGAAAAATTCATTTGCCTTTGAACCTGCATCATTGTGTTCAGTTTTTGAAAAATCTGACAAAAATGTCAATAGCTCATCGTAGTTATCCATAACAGAGCACAGAGAAGTATATCGTAACGTCCATCTAGTAGGACAAAATGGTCTTAGAGATGTCATATTTTCAGGTCCGTGAAGTTGGCCGTGCAAAGTTGGCCGCCAAAGCGAAAATTTGGTACATAATTAGTAAGTCATTAGTAAGTATTAGTAAGCATAAATTCAGAATTTGTAAGTACAACCCACACCGATTATCCCTAAAACTAAATTTCCGGCTATCTTCTCGGCAGCCGGAACTTTTTTTTATTTTGAACTTTTGGCATGCCTAAACTTTAGTAAGTAATTATTAAGTATTTGTAAGCATAATTCCCAAATTTGTAAGTCAACACTTACTCGATTATCCCAAAAAGATTGCCAGCCGGAACATTTTTAAATTTTAAAGTTTTTTTTTTTTTAAATATTTAGTTGGTAATTAGTAAGTATTTGTAAGTCATCAACCGAAACTTTTAAGGGTGTACTTTTAAAGTTGTATCTAACCAAATTTTTGCAAGCCGGACTATTTTCGAATTTTAAAGCTTTTATTTACCTAATATTTAGTTGTTAATTAGTAAGTATTTGTAAGTCACCAACCGAATTTTTTAAGCGTGTTCTTTCGTAGCGTTTCGTTTAAGTAAATATTTTAAAAGGGGCACATATAAACTCCTGCACATGAATCTATTGTAATTATAAACTCTACTTGGAAAAAAACAAATAAAATATAGGGTTCATGGAAACTCCACCAGTGAAAAATACACTTTCCTCTTTAATGGTATCAGTGGGAAAAACACTACGGATGATTATGTTCATCAAAGTATATATCATTGGGAATACTTTTTTGTGATATAACAAAGATGAATTAATTTTTAATATTAATAAATGATAAATTTCTACTTATTGTATGTGGACACGATATTATATTCATGTTTTAATTAGCGTGATAGTATGTAAGATGATTTATAACTTGCAAAATTTCCATATACACAATACAAAAAATTATTGCGAGTTGACTTAAATTTTTTTTGTTACCTAATATTAATTATATTAATTTTATGATTCAAAAAATAATATTATTCATAGAAGTATATGAAGTAACAATGATATAGTAATAATGAGTAGTAAAAAAATGTATTATTTTCTAAGTACGTTAGTGTTTGAATTTCAAAATAATTAAGATAATATTATATTTTCATTGGCATTCTTCTTTTAAATATACCTCTGTATGCCCAAGAGCCTTTAAAAAACTAAAGATGACTCTGATCATATATCATTTATTTTAAGAACCGGAAAATCACTGTCAATTTTTTAAAGAAAAAATATTAAATAGAATATGATATTATACCGAGTTCCACTAGGACAATTTATGACTTAACCCGTTGTTGGTCGCATCTTTTATATGTAGGTACTTCTTTGGTGACGTGGTGAGGGATTCTCTCACCTTTTTTAGTATGTCAAATATTGTGTTTTAAATTACCAAAACACATTTATTATGTAATTTGTCTTAACTATTCTGTTATAAGCACTTATAAACTATATATATATCTCAATATTTATATTTTCTTTCATACAAAATACATTACAAATTACATTTTGACCAGCCGAAAATTAACATTATTATTGTTATTACAAAAAAATAAAGAAATTAAATGTTTTATTTTTGAATTTGCAATAACAAATGCAGGGATAGTATATCGTTGTAGAATGTTTTAAATATGTTGCGCAAATTAACTATAATAATAATACATGTCATTTGTCGTCGAACCAAAGAGTTGCAGAGTTCTTGCTCTAATTGTTTTAAAAATGTGCGTCATGGAATAACAATATTAGTGTTTGATTAGTAAATTATTTGGATGTTTATTCCAACAATGTTGAGTAAAGAAAAAAATACTGTCAGTTAGGTTACATACATCTCGGGTTGTTTCTTGAAACTAAGTATTCGCCTTTTATCTACACCTCCTTTTGACATATTATAAAATTGAGTGATTTTTGGTAATTTTTTATCTCCTGAGCTCTGATCAATGTCACATTATGTATGCATTGTTGATAGCATCATACATTTTTTTTCTTTTTTTTTGGAACATATGACAATAAAAGACAGTTATTATCTTCAAATCCAAATTTTGTACTGAATATTTGTCGGTGTTTTGTATCTAAAAATATAACGGTATCTCCCGTTTATTTTTTTTCAGTGTATACCTACCATAGTAGTTTTATAGTCTTTTTAGAAATTCGACCGCTAAAAGGATTGAAGTGAACCAATTATCAATAATAATATTACGGCCTGTTTTAGCAGTTGGTTTTATTATATGTTTGACAACAATAGCTCTACTATTGTTTTGTAAAAATGGTCAAACAGATTCTTTGCTTCGGTAAATTTCCATATTTACTGTATAATATACACGCGAATGTACCAAAACAATCTTTAAAAAAAATCTTTATTCCATATTTATTAGTTTTGTTAACTATGTAGTAACGAAATTTACATTTTCCCCGGAAGCCCTCTAACGTTCCGTCGATTGTACAATATTCTCCTGGTATATAAAATGATGTAAACAATTTACGAATTCATCAAACACCGTTCTAATTGGTGCCAAATTGTCAATTTTTTTTCGTTCATTTCGATTGGGTATGTTATCAAATCGTAAAGCTTGAAGTAAAAGGTAAAAACTTCTTTCAGACATCACAGCACGAACAATGTCTGGAGCTAATCCATCGTTTGCCTACAAGTTGGAAAGATTTATGTGGTTACTTCGCAAAATACCACCAATATAAAAGAGACCGTAAAGTGCTTGAATTTCATCTACATCAGTATCTAAAACATCTTTGTCTCTTTGATAATTATCATGAATTTTTGGCAAATATATATTGGTACAAATAGTAATTTCTTGTAAACAATCGTTGGGGATAAAAGTTCCCAAGAGTAAATTATAGTTTCAGTATTTTTTGCTACCGATTTCACGTCAGGAAGGTTCTACTAGAATCGATACAACAAGACATTTCAGACTCACTTCCATTTTCAATAGATTCATCATTGCTTTCTAGATCATCATTTTGTATTTATCCCTGACTGTAAACTTTATCTTCATAAAGTAAAGTAGATATGTTATTATGCATAGTAAAAACTTCACAAAAAAAAATGACTTGTTTGGTCGCGTAAAGAGATTTTCTCTTACGCGTTGGACGGATACTGATAGTAGATAATCAATTAAAATGTTGATTAATACCCATCTATATTTAGATTAAACATATCTGATAAGGTATAGCATAACTACTAGATAATAAAACGATATAAGAAACAGTAGTGACCAAAATAATATTGTCGTGAGATAATCTCTCACCACGTCACCATTGACGGGTTTTAAATTAATTTTTTTTTTTATTGACTTCTAATTTTTAACTGAAGACAATTTAATTAATTTAACTTAACTTGCACAGTTAATTATTTTCATGTTGCCCACCTTTGAATATTTATTTCAGATGGTCGGAAGAAAATGTAATTATGACAAAAATGATTTGTTTGAAGTTCTGCGTATATTTAAAACGGATACATTAAATGCATTAGGAAAAAGTACCGATTCATTATGGGAAAGAATATGTAACCATTTCGGTAACAAAATTAAACCAAGTGCTTTATATACAATTATAAAATGCAATAGATATAACTGCCACGAGGTTTTAGGCATTAATGAGGAAGCCTATTCAGATAATGAGGATTCCACTTCAAATGATACATGCATTTCTGATGAACCTATTGATAATCTAAAATATGAAAATATTTTCGAAATAAATTATCACTCTTGGCTATCAATGCTTTCTACTGATAAGTTATCATTGAAAACCGGCTGGACGCATAAAATGTTTGAATATATTTTACCAAAATTGGAAAATAATTGTATTTTAATGTTCAAAAGGCACTCACTAAACCCTATGAGTTCTAATAACTACTTTGGATGCCAAGGTTATTGCAAAGAATGTAAAGCTACTAATAATTTACGTTGTATGCAATCTCCTAAAGAAAACGAAAATGTAAAATTGTATTATACGCTGAGTAAGGTTAATGAAAAAAATCATACATATATATCTAAACGGCCTTTGTCAGGAACAGTAAGAGAGGAAGTGTCCAAAAAAATATGCGATGGCAAAATGGCAGTAAATTGGAGGAGAGATTTTATTACTCAAAATCAAAATACTCGAACACTTTATTCCCTAGACATATTACGCAAGAGTCGTCAAGAGTATAAAGAGAAGACACAGTTTAAAAATATATCTTCAGGAAAAAATGTTTTAGAATCGCTGCAATGTTTAAAGTATGAGGAAGAATATAACACAAGTATTCATAAAATCGGACTTGATCCATTTCATGTTTTTTACTGGACTCCGGCACAAACTATAGTTTACAACCACTATATCCAGAAAGAAAATAACAGAATATTAATAATTGATACCACAGGGACGTTATGTAAAACAATCGAGAGATCTTACAATAATGTTTCAAGTCATATTTTCTTATACCAAGGAGTCATACAAACTGGTTTACCTTGTGGACAATTACCTGTCACACAAATGTTATCAGAATGCCATAATATTAATCAAATTAATTATTGGTTATCAAATTGGATGACAAGTGCCAAAACTCCAAAAATTGTCATTTGTGATCATTCATTAGCATTATTAGGTGGTATAGCAAGGTCAATAGCAGGAGAAGTAAATTTAAAATCATACATGGATAAAGCGTTTTCAATCATAACTATGCAGTCAGCTATAACTTTAAAAACATTTATTCGGGTGGATTATGGACATGTAATGAAATTCGCCAGTAACTGTATTTTAAAGAATCGAAAGCCAATGTAAAAAGGTTTTATCTCAAGGTCATATCCAGATTGGTGTACAACAATTGAAAACGCTGAAGCAATTATTCAAAATGTATTAATAACATCTAATAGTGAATACGAAGGATTTACCAACAATGATCGTAATAGCCCTAGTGAAAGCGAAAATGCGAAAATGTATTTAAAAAAAGCAATTGCAGGAATGAATGAAATAGTTATAGAATACGAAGATGATAGTTTAATAGCAGAAGGTCTTGAAAACGAGGAAAATGTTGAAGGTTACTTACATACATGGATATTAAACTTAAAACAGATCGCAGAAGATAAGTATGTAACAACATGTAGTGATTTCATTTATGAGAATAATAATTATCATTTTTTACCTTCATTTACCAAGTCATTTATTACATTCTTAAGAACTTATCCTTTGTAGTCAGCTATAATGACAAACATTTTAATGTCTCACAGTTAACTGCATCATCTGCTAGTGTGGAAAGCTATTTTAATGATTTAAAAAATAGATCATTCCACAATGAAAAACTGCCAATTCGTACGGACAAATTTATATGTAAACATTTAAAAGAAATTGAAGGTATGTTAAAGTTGTCAAAACATGATGAGCAATACAAACAAAATAAAGACCTTTTGAAAGAACCAAATCAATATTTATTTATAAATATATATTTATTTTGTTGTTATAAAAAAATTATTTTGTTAAACACTAGCTATCTATTTATCATAATGTTTTATCCAAATATATATAATTTTATTATGATTTTAATAATTTTTGTTAGATACAACTTTAAAAGTACACCCTTAAAAGTTTCGGTTGATGACTTACAAATACTTACTAATTACCAACTAAATATTTAAAAAAAAAAAACTTTAAAATTTAAAAATGTTCCGGCTGGCAATCTTTTTGGGATAATCGAGTAAATGTTGACTTACAAATTTGGGAATTATGCTTACAAATACTTACTATTTACTTACTAAAGTTTAGGCATGTCAAAAGTTCAAAATAAAAAAAAGTTCCGGCTGCCGAGAAGTTAGCCGGAAATTTAGTTTTAGGGATAATCGGTGTGGGTTGTACTTACAAATTCTGAATTTATGCTTACTAATACTTACTAATGACTTACTAATTATGTACCAAATTTTCGCTTTGGCGGCCAACTTCATGGATCTCATATTTTCGTCTTTTTGATTCGTTTTAAACCAAGATAGTCTCTTAGGTGATTGTTTAATTAATCTAATTAATTCTCTTATAAAATTTAGTATATCTCTAGCATTTTTTACATTTCGCATCTTGGCTAACAAGATTTAAAAAATGAGCTTGACAGTGAACAAACAATGCTCTTGGTTCAATTTCTTTTATTCTAGCTTGTAATCCTTTATGAATTCCAGAAACATTGCTAGCACCATCAAAACATTGTCCTCTAATATTATAAAAATCTAATTCTAATCTACACAAAATATCTTTCACAATTTTGAAAAGAGTATCAGAATCAGTTTTAGGCGTTTCGTAAAAACCCATAAAATATTCTTCGATTTCCAACGATTCTTTGTCCACTGTTCTTAAACAAAACGAAATTTGTTCTTTGACAGTAATATTACTAGTTTCGTCTAATAAAATGGCATAAAATGTGTTTTCTTTAATTTGTTTGATAATATTTCTAATGACTTCTAATGACAGCATGCTAAGAATTTCATTAATTATATCGTGAGAAATCCACTTATATTTTGTTCTACCTAACCAGTTATTTAATTCAGTCGAATCTTCCGATCGAAGTTTTAATAACTGATTTAAATTTGCAGATTCGTCTGTATGCCTTCTTAATGCTAAGCCTTGTTTTGCCAAAAAAAAATACTGAAGATATTATTTCATCAAGAGCTAATCTAGATTCTTCCATAGACTTTTTATGACTATCCGATATTTGTGCATATACATTTGCATTTGTTTTAATAAGAGTTTTTAACTACATTAGTTTTGTGCAATTCTGAATTTTCGTGCATATTAAACCTTTCAACAGCTTTTTTCCAGTTATTAAAACCCTCGGAAATAAATACAGAAACATTATTATTACTATTATTACTCATAGATTTACACAATTTGCAAAACGCTTTATCGTCGATTTTATTATGTTCTAACCAGTCGTATTTATTTAACCAAGATACTAAAAATTTTCTTTTTTTTTGAAACATCTTTAGAGGACGAATTATTTCCACAATCAATTTGATTATCACAATTTAAATTTATGTTAGAAGTGGAAGTAGATGAAGATAAACTATTATCAGAATTAATAAGGCTATTAGAATCAGAATTGTTTTTCGGAATAGTTTTTTTTTTGTACATACTTCCACATAGACATAATGAATTATTTTGTGTCTGAATTACTTATTTGGCATGCCCTTCAAAAGTTAAATAATTTTTAACTCATATATTAAATAATATGGTCTATAAAGAACATAGAAATTACCTTAGTGTTGTCAATCTGCGAATAAAGCACGTACGCTTCGTATGGACAGCGACAGTAAAATGATCAACTACTGAACTACATAGTGTTATACTCAGTATTCAGTTATCAGTACTGTATAAATGTAGAATAGTCAATATAATTTAGAAGAAATGAAAATACCATAGTACAGGTTATAAATAATTTCAACTAAAGATATTGTTATTAAGTTTCAGTTCAGCTTCAGTTTGTGCGTGTGTATAAAGTATATATATAGTTATCACACAAGTCTTTCGTCATTACCGTGACTATTAGGCATTTCTAATTGGAGCTATATACATTACACATATATATATATATATATATAAATGTACTTATACGTTATCTATAATTTGTGGTATTTTATGAGTTATGTTCAGCTATTTTTAGATAATTTGTCCTTTTGATAAACATTTTCATATCGATATCGAAATTCAATAGCTTATAATAATAAGTAATAACCAAATAATTTTTTTCACAAAAGCGAAGTGCTGTTTCTACGTTTTACCATCCATTAAAATCGAAGAACGGGGGCAACGCCCACGTTAAAATTAAAGTACAGGGGCAATTGCCCCCGTGTAGTCGGCGCCTATGATTGGTATTGAATAAAATATACAAACTCTGTAAAACACTAATATATTTTATAAGGTACTATTGTTGCGTGCGGGTAATTCAACTGTTGTGATGAAAATGTGATAGGATAGTTCCAATAAAAATACTCAAACTAAATTAAACTGCTTATTGAAATATTTCTAAGTACGCTTAGAATTAAATTAACAAATATACTGGCGTGAAGGTGCTCGCTAAAACACGTCTTAAACACTTCTGAATAGTGGTCTATTCCCAACCCCCTTAGATACTTAGATTTTGTGGGAATCCACCTGTATGGCATTGTGACCTTAATCTCTCGACTCGGACCTGGTCTGAGTAAAGGTCTATTCACACTACAACGGAACGGAGACGGGACGGAATCCGTAGGGAACCCGTCCGGTCATGTAACAAATATTGTTTCTATGTTTTTAAATGTAAGCGTTCATATTTATCCGGAACGATAACGGAACGGTGCAACGGCCCGGGGACGGGCGATAAAAATATTCTTTGCGACTATTCTTAAACGGGTTTCCGTCCGGATTTTCCGTCAAATCGTATGAGAATCGGCATTCGGCGGATCGCATGTAGTCAAAAACATATTATTTGTTCATATAATCACAATTATGTACCCACAGATTTCTTGTTTGCTTTTTTTATTTTTTCGGATTCTTCTTCATCTAATATTAATGCAATCATCGCCAGCTCTTCATTAGAAAAATTAGCCATTTTCGATGTTTAATAAACGAGAAATAAGGTGCTTACAACTGACACGTTAGGACACAAATGACTTACATTTTTGAAAATAAGTTCATTAAATATTTAATAATAATAGTTGCTATCTTTAGTCATATTGATTTTACGTTATCTATTTAATCTAGCCCTGTCCGTTCCGTTTAGTGTGAACGCAACAGAACGGGTGACCCGGACGGATGAAATTCCGGCACGGTTCCGTCCCGTTGTAGTGTGAATAGACCTTAATCCGACAGGCGAGCCTTGTCAACTTGGATTCTTACATAATATTATGTTCTGCTAATAATAATAATTTAGTACCTCGACCCGGATCTGGTTTGAATATTTAAAATAATTCCCTCGTCGGCAAGTTAGCCTTGTCGATTTAAGATATCTCGGCTCGGACCTGGTTTAATGTTTAACTAATCCTCCTGTCGACAAGTGGGCCTCGTTGACCAAGTCTACTTTTGTATGTTCCATTACTTAACTGGTTTTGATATTTCTTAAAATACGATGTGCCCTCATGTTATTTACATCTGAATACATTATATTATATTACCCACTGGATTATGTGATGCTCCCATGTAATGACCTATATTGTGTATATCTGTAAGAGTCGTAAGGACCTACATTTATGTATGTCCGTAACACCTCCGCGCGAAAAGAAATATTTCTGTCCTCACATAGAAATCTTTTATAATCTGCCCTAATTTTTAATATTTTGTTTTACAATTTCATTTTTTTTTTGAACATGATATGATATGGTTTACAAAATTTTTATGATTAATACAATGTTTGAAATTTTACATGATTATTAGATTTCTTATAATTTTGATTTATACATTTTATATAATGTGATTAACAATATTAATATATTTTATATATATATATATATATATATATATATATATATATATATATATATATATGATAATTGAATACAATATGAAAGTTAATTACCTTAATAATTATTTGAATATAATATAATATTAAATAATTTATTATAACATAATTTACATTAATATATCTTATACTAAGTTTACGATTTTTTTTTTTTGTTTTTGTAAATACTTAGTATTCCTAATTGTTATTTCCCATTCCTTATAATTATTAAAATACATTTTTTTTTCTTTTAATAATACTCTTAAATTATTGTCCCATACCCTTATATTTATTATAAAATATAATTATATATAATAATTATTATTTTCCTTATTCCTCTCTCTTCATGATTTCCTCACTTTTAAAAATGTTGTTACGTGCCAACCGATCGATCTGATAATTCAGTGTCAACGTCTCAGTCAACACGCTTGGTTGTAGGTGTAGTAAGGAATAATTAAGACTTTTTAAAATAATTAAATTTATTTAACTCATAAAATTATCCTAACTACAATTCTGTAAATATTCTAAGTAGAAATTATCTAAGTCCTAACAATTGTTACTTATAAAAATAATATGAAATATTTCTAAGTGAAGGTGCTCAGTGCAGCATAGCCAAAACTCGTCTGAATAAGGCCTGTTCGGGACCCACTTTTATATCTGATATCTGCATGTGTGTGTGTAAATCTTAAATGTGTGTGGGTAAATGAAAAATGATAATTTAATATGATAAATGTGATGAGTCGTTATTGATTCTGTGTGTGTGTGCTCTAAAATATGATAATTCTCTATTGATTCTGTATGCGTGTACTATCTCTTGACCAGCCCATACTTAATACAAGATCCAGGATGTGGTCAACTACCCACGTGTATGTGACTCCGATATTCATATTCTTACTTAAACAGATAACCATGTGAACAATTTAACTTATTCATACGTCTGGTTTCGATGTTCATGAGAAACTCTTATAATGTGTGTTTTATACTTTGTGACTACGCGGGACGCGACAATATATTCAAATGTCTTAAAAATTATTTTACTTTAACTGTCCTGGCTTCTATACCCTCGCTCATTTTCCCTTTTTTTTTTTTTTTATTTATTAAACTAAAGACTATTTGCACTCACGCCTCTTCTTATCTGTAATACATAAATTTACTTTCATTATTTATTCTTATACTGTATCTACATAACTTAATTAATTTTTTAGGTTTAATCTTACTTATTTTGTAATTAAAGATACACTTTGTATAAATAACATCTGTTACAGGATCATGACAGTGTGTTATATCGTGTTCTTTATTACAGACTAGATCATGAGTTTCTTTTAGATTCAAAATTCTACAATTTTTTCTAACATACCCTATTGTTTCATTATATGATAACCTGTTGTTAGATTTATCTATTAATTTTAAGTTAAAAATATTATCATTATTATCACTATATTTTGTAATGTCATAATTTCAGGTACCCTTAATTTTTTTAATATTTTTATGTCCATTAACCCATTTCATGTAACAATGACAGGTTGTGTATTATTCGAATACAAATATCTTGAGATGAATACCGAACCAAGACTTGTTGCCCCCTGGTAATTAACACTTATGTCAATCTGCCCCAATAAAGGTCTCAACACGTCTGGTTTTTTTCGGAATATTCCCCCTAGATACCGTTTCAGTCTATCTACATCCTGTCTGTTGAAAATTCTCAACTTGTTGTTTTCTGTTTGGATTATTGGTCTTCCTTGTATTTTCACTGGCTTGTATTTGTCCAAACTATGACACATTGACCCTGATACTAGCAATAAATCCATTTTGTTAGCAAAACGTATAAGTAAATAAACCATAATGTTCTTACAATTCTGAATGAATCACATCCTAGAAGGCGATCAATTTTATGTATCCGTCAAATACAATGTTTCATTAGAATAACTTCATTAAAAATTCAATAAATTTTCTTATGTCTATCTTGACGGCTAAAAACCAGAAATTGTTACCTCATTCTCGATTGCATTGTCACTGGTGAAACAGATTGCAAATGTCGCATATAAGATTATTGTAACAGTCTCACAGTGTTCAACTAAACAAAATTGAATATACAAAATCAATTGCCTTAGTTACTATGTAATTATATTAAAGCATACTAGGTTTTTTTTTTTTTGAGGGTCATCTACCTTATAAAAAGGACATTTAAGGGCCGCCTCAGCATAAAGGTTGGAAAACACTGCTCTAAATTATTTAAACTTTAAAGTGAAATTTTAAAACATAATTAATATTATAGACTGAGTAAAAAAGATTCCTTCGTAAATTCAATAAAATGAAAAGAATATACTATAGATGACTGATATTTGCAAATAATAATATTATTCTGAATGAAATAACATTTCAAAAATTATAAATCAAATTCTTGGTTGTTTGCTGATTAAATCCTTATCTTTAACCAAGAATTTTATCAAGATTACATTAATTCTTAACCATATACTTACTTTATTATTATTATTATTTTTTTTTTTTTGTGAACACTGTCTCTTTTATCAGTTATATTGCGAACTTCACATTAACGTTTTAACGGCTAAGACAACTATCAATACTTCTAACTGCATCTCTGAAATTATGTTCTTTATTTAAATGTGATTTATTTTCATGTTTATATTATTTATTCATTTTACGTGTTTGACCTGTATTTTTTCTAATACCGAACACCGGGTACAGTTAGTCTGTTGTGCGCATTAATTACGAATTTAAAATACATCCTCACATTGATAACTTACTCGCGAAATAAGATATCGTTGGAGTAATATACATTGTTGTATTATATTTGTTCTATCCTAATTCACGAATTTAATTTTAATAAAATATATTAAGTATAAATATCAGGTATGTGTTCCTTGAGGGATTTTCCCGAATTACGGGATCAAAGTCTCACAGATAAAAACGCGTCAATGAATATAGTCATAAAAAGAGTGAAACCAGAGGTTAGTACATCAATGTTAAGTTTTTTATGATTCTTTTTGGTCTTTGTTAGAATTAGTGCCCATTTTTTTTCTAATTGAATGCAATAATTTAAAGAATGTGGCTATTGATTACGATGACATTGAATTAAAACAAAATACATTTATTACATTTATTTTTGATTGTTAAGCGTACTTGTTCATAATAAATATTAATTTAATACAAATTTTCTTAATTATAGGCAATCAATTATCCAAAAATTGTAGTGCAGTTACTAGTTGATCAAAATCCAGGAACTTTATTTTTACCAACTTCAGGACTAAATACATTACAAAAAGTTATAAATAAATGGTTGGTAAATTTTGCTATCACAATGATAATATTAATAGTTTAAATCAATATTTTGATCAGTTATATATTTTTCATCGAACAAGTAAATAATTATCAGAATAATTGTATTTTTACTTTTGTTATACATATAAAAAATCATATTTTATCACCTTTGTTCTTTTATTCTTATAGTGCTGAAGAAGGTTTTTGGACTGCTTATGAAGAATTTACTCATTATATAAAAAATAATTCTAATAACATATCAATCATTGTATATCCATTGAAATTTATTTTAAAATTTTCACCTCGTGCAAATTTAAAGGTTACCTATACATTTAAATTGTATTATTAATTATATACATACATATATCTACATGTATAATTATATTTAAATTTTATTTAATTTTCCTTAACTTTTATTATTGTTACAGGGCCCTGAAAACTTAATATTACCAGATATCAGTAGAACAAAATTATGGTCTTCAAGTGTAATACGTTGTATGTCATGGCATCCACAAACTGTTAAACTTGCTGTTGTATCATCTCATGATATTATTTACGTTTACAATCGCAAAGGTTCCGAAGCAAGAATAAAAAATAAATCTCAATATGCCATATTATCATTAGCTTGGAGGTTGTAAAAAACATTTATTAATCAATTTTAAACCATATTATAATTAACCTTCAATATTTTAGACCATTTAGTGTTGGTACTTTGGCTGTTGGATGTGAAAAAGGAATTTTTATCTGGACCATTGAATTTAGTAATATTCACATAAGACCAGCAGTTAATAACAAATGCAAATTGGTTAGAGATAATCATAGATATATTACTGGATTATCTTGGAATAAGATGGTATATATTAACTCTATTATACACTAATTTTTAATTCATTATTTTAGTATAATTTCTGTTTGGTTTGGATATTTAAAAAGATGAACCATCAAATTTAAATTTGGGAAATTATTTAATTTATTAACTGTGAATTGATTTAATTATATTTTCTATTTCTGATGTACCATGTCTTCAGTAGTTTGTTGAATTTCTGTTTTTGAAACATTAGCACACTACTGAAGACTTGTTTGTATCCCAAAATAGTAAATTATAGAAATACTTAGTTGTATCATGTAATGTTTTATTTTAATTAATTAATCTAATTTTCAGGGTGATCTTTTAATATCTAGTGCAGTGACATCTAAAACCATGTATGTTTGGAATTATGCTTTTGAGGAGTGTGTGCCGTTACACAGAATAAATTCGGACACATTAAATTTTGTTCATTGGTCACCTGATAATACTAAAGTTTTCTCTTGTTCAACTAATGAAACATTTAGGTAATTTTGATTGATTTTTTTTCTATCATTACATTCTATTATTCCATTTATTTGTGTAGAATTTGGTCAACTGATAAATGGACCGCAGATAGATGGTCATTGAATAACCGATCTAGAGTGCAGTGCGCATGTTGGTCACCTTGCAGTTCAGTGTTATTATTTGCGACAAACTCAAGTCCAATCATAAATGCTATTGACTTCCGAAAATCAGATGTATTTAACGGGTCAACAAATTACAAAAAAGTTGCATGGCCTGTTATTGACTTAAAAAGTGAATGTGTAAATGACAAAGTGTAAGTAGTCATTAATTAAGTATTTAATGTTGTTTACAAATATGAATTGTTTTTGACATATATGATATTTCAAAAAATATACATATAACAGCTTATATAAAATAACATTAAATTCTTTTATATTTTAATTATTTTTAATAACATTAATTTAATGGCATTTCAACTATTAGAGCCTAAATGTTATAAATTAATTATTGTACTCGTATTTACATTCTATGACTATTTTAAAATTTAAAAGTATCAAATTTACCATATTTTCTTCATTGTTAAAAGACAAAAGATGTAACTTAAATATATCAATTAATTATTAATTATTTTAATCTTTATACTATTTATGTTTTAGAATTGGTGGAATACCTTTAGATATGTGTTGGGATCAACATGGTAAAAGGTTAGCTATTACTTTTAAGAATAGTAGTGCATTGGTTGTATTCCAAACTACTATAAGTGTTGCTGTTGTTGACTGTATTCCATTGTAAGTACTTGATTAGGCGTGTAACTTTTCTATCCAAAATGTTGTAACACTAGTTTTGTATATTTAAGTTGTATAATACAAGGCCGTCTTGATGAAGAACCTTCTACAATTGCTTTTCAACCAACTTATGAAGAAGGCTCGTTATTGACAATTGTATGTACTACATAGAATTTTTCTTTTTCTATATTTTCAATACTTTGAACTGTAAATTTCTACAGGGCTGGTCTAATGGTAATATTGAATACGTACCATTTACGTATAGCTGTAAGTCAGTACACGAACCTGAATTATCTGAAGCAAATATTTCTAATACTAGTAAGAACATTTCTGGACGAGCAAGTCTGGCTGCTTCTAATTCATTAATTGAATATTTGTTGAATTAAATTGAAATGTTTAGGTAGTTTTATATGAATTTTTCTATTAAGCTTATTTAAAAATATTGAATGTATAACATTATTTTTTCATATTACTACAATATATGTTTAACTTTTTATGGTAAATACAACTGTATTAATTATAAAAGAACGTTCCGTTTCTTATATTATAATTAAATTTGTGCTGAAAAAATTAGTAAAATATTCTTTCATTTCTAATTGTATTTTTATATAAATATATATATTGTAACGTAACCAAAATCAGAGAACCATTACACAATAAATAAAATATTTAGTATGAGTGGATATACAAGTAGAACTGATATTAGAAAAGGAAGGTAATTATGTAATTATGCACTCCGCTATCAACATGTAGTGAGTTTAACAGTCACACTGATAAATGTCAGTTCCAATTACAAACGTCCCTAAATAATTGTCTTATAACGTTGTGCCAAATATACAAAATTATCTTATTCGGATAATAAAAAGCTGCTACGAGATATCAAAATGATACTTCGTCTACAAACTTAGGGTCAACTAAAATGCCCAAATCTATTTTTTTTTTTTATGTTATCTAAATAATTTTGAAAATACCATATTTTTTTAATCCCATCTAAATTGTTTTGAATGTTATCAAACTTCAAATCAATATCAATTCTTCGTAACAATCAATTGTTTTTTATTAAACATCAATCAAATCTTTAGCTTGGTAAAAAGTTCAATCTTGGTAAATTTTTTTCTAATATCCTCTCTAGTCCTTATATAGTGTAATTTCATATATAATCTCGATATCTTCAATCATTTTACCTAAAATTTTTACATTTCTAATTAACATGTACTATAACAATACTAACTTGACTTTTACATTACAATACATAAAAAAAAAAAAATATTTATATTAATTATTGAAGAAAAATAAAATACTCTAAATGAAAAAAAATACAAAGTAATTAAATTAATTTAACCAGTAGTATTATCTTAATATATATAAAATAAATAGATGTAAAAATACATATTAAAAAAAAAAACAAGATAAACTACTTGACAAGATATGCTAAGTTAGAATAAATAATATATTAATATAATAAATAATTTCTGTGATTCATTTAGAATTAGTAGATAAGTCATTTTGGGGCAACTATTTAGTTAAGAGTTATATAGTAAACAATAAAAATAAATGTAAGTTATAAATGAGTAGCTAGCGCAGGCTTATGCAACTCTATGATAAGCCCCAAATTAATAAAAACGATTTTATTGAGGAACGAACAGGAACTAGCACCCTGCTACACTCTAATGATGAAATACAAATACATTTAAAATGATTAAATTAGTATGTTTATTTATTTTGAAAAAATATTGATATTTTTTTTGTATTTGTTTTAATTTTTTATCAATTCACACTCCTGGACCACTTTCATACACATACTCAGATAATATTTAATGGAATCAGAGGCGGATTTCCCATTAGGCATTGTAGGCAGCTGCCTAGGGCGGCAAATTTTGTAGTGTTTTATTAAAAAACATCAAACGATCAAACATATAGTACATCGTATATGATATTCAGTATACCAATCTATTTTGGTTCATTATAATTTATAGTCATTACCTATAAATATTATAGTAAACAATTATATAGAAAGCAGTTTTTGATAATACTATATATTTTATTTTATTTTGTAGGTTTTTATTCAAATTCAGTGAACAACCATTGACATTTTTTTCAAAGTAGGCTAAATAACTTCAGGCGAAAAAAATAGTCTAAAAATTAAAATGGATGTCCACTACTATTGTCTATATATTAAATATTTAGAGTAGGTATTTTGGAGGGGTATTGTAACTTTTTCACCTATTATAGGAGCGGCAAATTTTTGGTGCCTATAGCCGTAAAAAAGATAAATCCGCCTCTGAATGGAATACTCAAAAATGTTATACCTGTGATCTGAAAATGGAAAATTAAATCTATGGAAATGTTCAATTAAATTATCAGCAGTTTTAAGTACACATCTGACTTTGGTAATGGTATGAATGTGAGTTATCAGTTATGGAACTGATTTGGAACTGTGCTAGTTCCAAAATTTGTCCGTAATAAAAGTTTGTTTTTACATCGATAGTTGCCTGAATTATTCCAAGACAGTGAGCTATTGGCATCTATGAGGATGGTTCTAAACTAATTACATAATTGCTAACATCAAAGAATAAAGAAATATAATTAAAAATAATAATTTTACCATAAATGGAACATTGTGCAGTAAAGGACTAAATAAATTGCAATAAAGGGTATACGACAGCTCTTATTATATTTACACTGTAGTTTATTATCAAACAAATTCTCAAATTCTTAGTAATTAATTAAGAAAATGGATCAATGTTTTCAAATGTATAATACAAAAAAAAAACCAAAGCTAATTTTGAAAAACTTATACCTAATAAAAGAATATAAACAAAAATTTGAGTTTACACTATTTAATAATGCAAATTACAATATTTAATAAATAAAAGTAAAAAAAGAAATTGAAGACATTAAACTACAATAATTTAAGTATTCAAGTAGGCAAGAATAAAAATTACTTAATGAGAATCAAATACAATGTTGACAATTGGGTGATTTTTAAAAACATATTAGTATCTTGAAAATTACAAATAATGTTTCAATTATCGAACATTTTTCTATATAAATAAGGCAAGTATCTGTTAACTCGATATAATACTAATAGAAGACATTATAAATTACGATTAATTACTTAATTTTAAAGTTCCATCTTAGAATTGTCTCTGATATTTTCATTATCACATTCACAATCTAATTGGGTCTTTGTATTTATAACTGCTTCCATATCGTCACGAACTTCAACTGTTGATATCAATAACTTGCTATATTTCTATAATCGAAAATAAATTTTAAAACAAATGTTAAATCTAATAGAAAATAAAAAGGAGAAAATTTCAATAACTTGAGTATATGCATTTTTAAATCATTACTATAAATGTTTCAACTACTTACTTGAAATAACAATAAGTAATATCCCAATATGTCATGAGGTGCTAAATTTTCTCTTGCATATTTTTGTCCATTCAATGATATTGTTTTGGCTTTTTCATCATCATTAATCATAGCTTTAATCAAATCAACCAAATTACCTAAATTCCTTTTAATTGGAATATAATGAACCCATGGAGTTAATTCATTATAAAAATGTTCATAATACTCTGAATCTTGTTTGAAAACTAATGAATCGCCTGCTATTAGATATGGAAATCGATAAGCTGCTACAGTACCATCAATATTTAACTGGTATTTATACTAAAAAAATTAAAAATTAATAATACATTAAATATTTAAATATAACATTATGACATACATCAAAAAATTTAAAAAAAGAAATTGGTTTCTTTCCAGAACCATACTTTTCTTTCAATTCTTTATAAAAAAAGAAATTTGTTATTGAAGCATTGATAAGATCTGAATGTGATTTACTTAAATCCACTAGATTCAAACGATGTTTGCTTGAGTCACGACCCATCCAGAATGCTTTTTCAATTTTTTGCGACCATGGTTTCTCAATATTGCCTTGAATTGACAACATGTCTAAACTCACCCTTTATATTTCAAAATGTATTTTCATTAAAATTAGTAAAGATATTTTCTCAATTAAAATTTAGTTGAATACTTACCTTCCCATATTTTCGAGAGATGATTCAGTAATATCATATGTAGGCATAACAATATCCATAGTATAGTTTGATCCACACCAAGAAAACAAAGGAAATCGATTTTTAGGGGATGAAAGCGGCCAATCTCCTAAGTTCACAAAAAATTCTAAGTCTGGTAAATATACCTGAAAAATAAATTGTTTTAATGCACTCACATATTGATTTATCTAAAAAGATGACATTTTATTTTTAAGTCTTGGCTATTATTTATTTATGAAAAAATAATTAGTTCAAATTTTTAAATTATAATTAATAATACAAATATATTTTTACTATTTTCTTAATATTTACATAATGATATTTATGTAATAATAAATATGTTGTTAAATAATATAACAATAAATATTCTAAGTTCCAAATATCTAATTAAGTAAATCTCATAACTTACAAAAATAAAAGAGCCAGATATTTGATTTAATTATTTATTTATTTATTTATTTGATTTAAATAAATTTAAAGGAATTTAAAAGAATTCTTAAAGATCCATACCTTTCTACTTAATGACAGTAATAAATTATCCATAAACATTTTAAAACCGGTATATTCACCATAGCATTTTCGGAAAATCTGTAAAAGTATAATTTATTCTTGCTCTATTATTTTTATTTCATAACTCAATATATTAAAATATTAAAAAAATAAACAAGTTCTCACTAAATTGTTTTTTACAACATATTGACAAGTGCTCATACTGTGCGAGTGTTGACTAAAAAATTTAACCATTTTACTAAGTACATTATTAAAGTCTATTTTCTTAAAGTGACTAAGATCAGAATTGATTTGCTTAATATCTGTTTTACATCCAGCTTCTGATAACCAAGTATCAATTGACATTTTAGAACAGTCACATTCATCTGGATAGACTGGACCTATATAATAATAAATTATTACATGACTATAATAATATAAGTTATATGTTAAAAATTGAAGTACTGATATTGTTTGAATGATGTATTATTTCTAATTAGTTGCTTTCATGACAATATTATATGTAGAATACAACAATAAATAATTCAATAAATGTTAACAGTCTTAAAATAACAACAGCAGTAGGTATTTAAATGACACCAATCTTTAACACAATTATACCATAATATTGATAATAATGGTTACTTACCTTGGTAAAAATTATTTACATGTTTTTTATGTGTCTTTAAATCTTCAACTAGTATGATGAGATCATAACATACTTCATACAATTTGTATCGAACTAAAAATGATGCATCTTTTCTGTCCAAAATATTTGTCCAAATACGACATTTATTTCCAATTTTAGTTTTACCACTTATTATTACATTAAAATCTTCTATATTTAATCTAAAACATACATGGTAGAAAAAAAATAATTAAAAACTGTCACAAATAATAAATAATTAACATTTATTTTGTAATAAAACATATGATTGAGAAATTCAATCTATAAATTTTAAATAAGTGTTTCTGATAAATAATGTGCATATAAGTAATAAATATATAGACAATAAAATGCCATTTTAAACTTCTTATTTGACAAACAATATTTGTATCATTGTTTCCACACGTCATGAATTATCTAAGTCACTTACTCATCCTGATTGTATTTAATGTAAAAATAACGAGCAGGCAAAACAATCTTAGGATTCAGACCAGGTCCCCAAACAATTGTGTTGGCAGAAAGTAATCCATAAAATTCAAAAATAACAAATAAAAGAGTCAATAAAATACCATTAACAATCATGATAAGTAAAAATGAACTACTTTTTGTACATCATATTTTAATAATAATCGTTAAATAAGTCGAGTATGAGTAAAGGAAAACTACTTGCAACTAAAATTTAAGTAAATAGTAGTTATTGTATTAGTATTTTTTTTTTTCAATACATGTTAATCTCTTATCATGGATGTAAATGTTTACTAACAGTGTGATAATGAAATTAAAATATTAACATTGTTGCGTTACCAATGTTACTTAAGAACCATATGCAAATATTATTACAATATTATAATACATATTAATTTCAAAAATTTGTATTAGGAGTATTCTGATGTTTTTAATTACACACAACTGGTAAACATCGTGATAAGTAATAATGCCGATTTAAGCAGTGACACTGAACCATGTATCAGAAAATTTAGGATGGAGCCATTTCTATGGGGCCGAAACTTGGTTGTCAAACCGTATGAAAGCCTCATTAACAAAATTAAAGCTTAACATCCATATTTTTAGAATAAAATTATCTATCCCTCCCCTCCATTCGGTACGCCATTAAGGCTGATATTTGAATATTAGGTTTGGCCTTTTTAAATATTTTTCGTCCGACCACAATGTTTAGAACTTTAGCGCCACTGGATCTAGGTACTGGAAGTAATAAAAATGAATTTTTTTTTTCGAAATCGTCTGCATAGCGATGCATACTAAACCTATTTCTTAAGGAGTAGTATGGGCGGGTGAATAAGTTTTGATACATCAAATAAACAAATATTTTTCTATGGAATAAAACAATTCTTGTTGTTAAAGTGATTATGAATAATAATTATAATATATATAATATATACTTCTTAAGTACAGCTTTTGAAACTGTGATCACATGTAACTTACTAAGTAGATAATTTAAAAATACTTTTGTGTAAGTATCTTCTATACTGATTAGGTACCAGTATTAATAGATTACCTATAGACTATGCTCAGGGCCGGATCGACCCGACGAGTTACCGAGTAAAACTCGGTGGGCCGCGACAATTTTTGACCTTTTAAATTGTGAAATTTTCATTTCAGTATTTTCTAACAGAAAATATTAATAGCTTGAAGTTGAAGATTAGTTCACCTATTGAAATATGCGATTAAAAAAAAATTGGACAAGGGCCGCCAGTTAGTAAGTGGGCCGGTAACATACAGAAAACTCGGTGGGCCGAATTTGTCTTATCCAACCTTGGCTATGCTATAATTGAAATTTATAGTAATTCGTTTAAAACGTAAAATGATTGATAATTGTTTTTGACAGAAAGCCCGGGTCTTTCTGATATCTGGATTGCACTTGCTGCAGCTGAAATCGGAATCCAATTTTCACAATACCTACTTTCAAACATCTGGAGTATACCTTGATACCTTTCTATAAATATATTTGTTTTCTTTGTTATTATGGTATTTGAAAATCTATAATACAATGGTCAATAAAATGCAAACTAAATAAGTTTACATGATAATAATAATAGTATAATATAATAATTTATAGTTTTATATATTTTTATTAATTTTTTAAAAGATTCATACAATTTTTCGACACAACCAAAATGTAGTATTTGTGATGTGGTTTTTTTCCCATCAACAAACTACGAGAACAATTTTGGTAAATATGTAGACACTAAAGACTAATTAAGTTCATATACCAAGAATAAAATTAATTATTTAAATAACACTTGAATTAATGTATTAGTTTCTTATTGTGCTCGCATAACATACCAACATGGTTTTTTTATGGCATTCTATATACGATACAAATTGTAAGTTATATGGGGGGGTCTAGGAGTACTGCCCCCCCCGAGCAAAAAAAAAAAAACAGTTTTATGTTCTGCAACATAGTTAAGTAATAAGTACAGAAATTATACATTTATAGTAGGTAATATTAATCTGACAATTTATTTTTGAAAATGTAATCTATAGGTCTATTTAAAAATTCTAAAAATCAGAATTTGAATAAGTGTACCATTAAAGAGAAAAATGGGGGTGAATATGCTTACAAAAAATCACTCTGTATTTATTATACAGTGATAGGATGATTGTTATATTATTTATTAGAATAAAAAGTAAAGTATAGTGGAGTGGTTCTAAACAAAAATATTGTTGATGTTCCAGAAAGTGAAAAAACAAAAAAAAAATCATCACCAATACCAGGTATATCTGCAAAATTTATTACATCTATTCATTTTTAATTTTAAGTAACTTGTTTCAATATTTTTGTGAATTTTATTAAGTGTTATATTATAAAGATATGCTTCTCAACTTTTGAGAAATAATGATAAATACAAGTTTTTTTTTTCATTAAGGATACAATCTAGCATTTATTTGGTAAACATAAATATTACATTAAAATGTAATACCTTTGAAAATATAATTTAAAATTGTATAATATTTAATTTACCTAATACAGTAATGTAAAATTGTCATATACGAGTATTAATTTTTTATGTGTTTTGACAAAATAATACTCATACCTAATAAATTTCACTAGCTGCAGTTTAATCAGCTTATTATTAACTAAATTTTGAAAATAATTTATACCGCTGTTATTTCTCTTATGTGATAAATAATAAATTATTATTTCAGTAAATCCAAAGAGCGAATTTAAAATAATTATTCAAAACTATATTAATAGTAAATGCAAAATGCAGATGAAAAAAAATTAATGGAAATTAATGATTTTAATTTTATAAAAAGTAAGACTTAATTATGTTGATAGTTGTCCAACTATTAATTATATTATTTATCTTGTAGTATCTGATATTGATAATGATCCTGTTGTCTTTAGCAGTATTAAACATCATACCCCAAAGCTCATTGATTTTTTTCTTTAAAAATTGAACATCACAACCAGGGCCGTATTAGTGCATAGACCAGTATTTCTCAACCAGTGTGTCGCCGGGTAATTCCAAATATGTCGCGTGAAGTACTAATATTAAATGACACAAAATGTACAAACATTATTGATACATATTACAAAAATTAAAAGGTATTAGATATAATTTCTATTATGAATAAAAATAGATTATCAGCTACTGACATTTAATCAATTTTATCATTATTGCAATTCTAATTGATAAACGTTGGCTTTGAGATTCTAAAAAACTATAATCAAATCAATTTGTGAAATCAGTAAATATTTCAGAGGGCGACTTCCGAGTGCGTCCCAAAATGTCCCTTATTTAATGTTCCGAATGCGTCCGGAATAAGGTCTCGCCCAAGTGCGTCCCAAGAGAAAAAGGTCACTACTTTGACGAAGCCCAAGTGCGTCCCAGTTCATTTAGAGTTACCCAGGGTGCACCACGAGGAGGTGAACTGGCTTACACCCTAAAAATATTTGGTTAGTAAATATATATATATAAATAGTATAGTAAAATTTAATTATTTAGGCTTACATCCGTTTTTAAAATATTGGGTTAATATTAACTATTTTTTGATTGACTTTTCAATGCCATGATTTTCACATAATCATGTCTAGAAATTTGTTCAATTTTGTATTTTGGTTTATTTTCTTCAATGAATTTAATATTTTTTTCATTGACTGATCTAATTTTTTTAGGTATATGATTGGAAGTTTGTATTAAAATTGTTGTGTTTATTTAATTTTTTTTTTAATACTTCCAAGAAGGAATATATGTCGGGATGAGGTGTGCAAAAACATGAATTAAATTTTGAATGAAAGCTTTCGCACGCATTTGTTGTTCGTTTACTGTGGCTGCTCATTTCTGCCCATGTGTGAGGAGGAAAGTCTGACTGTTGATCAATGTAGTTTTCTACAAGATAATCCAAAAACTGACTTAATTTTTCATCATCAGGCTTGATAGACATAAAATCCTCAGTAAAACTTTTTTCAATATCGTGTTCATTCAGCATGGGTAATACAAATATATTCTTTAAAATCTGTCCTATTTCTGATACATCATCACAATAATGAATACTTAAACCAAGATTCTGTAATTTTCGCCACCACGCCTGTCCCAGATGAAACCGACAGCCTTTTGTAATATCTGGCCAAACATTTTTTGCACCTATATGAATAGATTTTTCAATATCTGCATACATAATTTCGGGGTATAAAGACATAAATTAAATTTTATACATTCATTTTTTAACGCCAAAAAACACGAAGAATACGATTCTGTTTGTTTATTATTCAATAAAAAAAAATACTAATGGTATATAATAACCATTATTTAAACCATGAATGGTAAAAAGTTGTAAAAAATATTTTGGATAGTACTTAAATGTACCATCTACATATATTGTTTTTACGGCACATAAAGTAGCTAAATTTTTTTTACATGAAAACATAACCAAGTTTTTATTACTGTCATTCACTAGAAGAAATGTTTCATTATCAAATGATTTAATTTCTAATGAATTTAATGAACTGTGTACGTCTTGAATATTAGTTGGTTTTTTGGGTAATATTGAACGGCGAGCAGCATAAATCCCTTTTCGAATACAAGATATATCAGTCGTCGTTAAAAAATCCGTTTTTTTATTTTTTAATTCCAGATGAATTAACTTGAATGGACGTTCACAAAGTTCTTCTTGAGCTTTTCGTTTTACAGAGTTCCTAATTACTTGTCTCATCATTTTTCCTTCAGATTCTATTTCATGACTGTGGTTTAAATTACAATCAATAATTGTCTTCTCACTCATATCTGTTTTCATGTAAGCAGTAGGTACATGTTTTTTTTACTCAGCACCATCGTTTTACATCATCATTCAACATTTTATGAAATCTCATTTTATATCTCTTAATAATTTTAAGTTCCTTACCGTGTTGGCTGATCATATTCGACGGCAACAACATCGACATCTTTCAAATATATAGAACTTACGTTATATTATGTAATAATATTAATTAATATAAAATGTTAATTAAATATATTAAAATGATAATGTTAGCTGCATACCCATCACTACACATACTGCACGTGGTTGTCGAAGACTAGTTACGAATAGTATGTTTCTACGTTTGGAGTATAGTGTAAATGCAAACAAACACGGTGCAATATTAGTTATCAATTTATTTTTATCCATAAAGATAAATATTGTTAGCAATAATATCGCGGACGCGCATGGGATATCCAACATTTTTAGTGATATGAATGCGGACGCAGTTGGGATATACCAAAATTTTTAGTGATATGATCGCGAACGCAATTGAGTTATTAAAAAGGTACGATATGATTAACAGGACGCATTCGGGTGACACCCATTTCAGATAAGGCACAAGAAGCAATTTTTTATATTGTCCAATTGATAGCTCAAAAAAAAAAAAAAGGTAATTTGATTGCCAAGAGTCTTATTAATTGATAACTTTTCATCGCTGGAATTTTAAAATGTTTGATTAGGCGAGGAATCCATTTAATCCTAATTTAGAAACCTCACATATTTTATTAAAAGGGCAAGAAGAATTAATAAACGATTGTACTGTTCAAATGAAGTTTAATGAGCTCGGGCTAGGTGAATTTTGAATTTACACAAAAAAAGAATATCCGAATTTAACAAAATTGGCACTTTCTGTGTTATTACCATTTTCAACGTCATATTTGTGCGAGATAGCTTTTTCTGCATTGAATTAAATTAAAAAAAAAAAAAAGGGAAGATTAATTAATGTCGAAGAAAAGTTGAGAGTAGCCTTGTCGAATATCTTACCACATATTGATACATTATATAAGAAATATCAGTCACAAATTTCTCATTTAATTGCTGTTTTATGTTATATTTTTCTTTGTTATTTTTAAGTTTACATTATTAATTAATTATTAATATTTAATATTACCCATGATTCCTATTTTTATTATTGTGTGTCACAAAGTATGAAATATTTTAAGAGTGTGTCGCCATAATACAAAGGTTGAGAAACTCTGGCAAAGGCACTGCCTAACCACAAGACACAATACATATGATATGTTATTTGAAGTATGTAACAGATGGTTAAACTAATCTAACAAATGATAACAATGTGTGAAGAACGCTTAGAATCACTCGTGATGATTTCATGTGAAAAGGATATCCTAATCGATACAGATGAAGTCGGAGACGGCCTGGCTCACCAGGATACCTATCATATTGGGATTTGTCATTGGCCTGACGGCCGTATCACTTTTTTTTGTTAAATAATTAGTTTTTAAAAGTAATTTTTACACTTTAAAAGTTGTCTAACATAGATAATAACATTTCAAAGGAATACCCATGACCGTCGATAAAATAAAAATAGACTATAAGTTGAATACACAAATAAATATAAAATTGTTGTATTATTTACAACGACGCGCCTGCTGAAAAGTTAATATGGGTATTTTGGGATACAGAAAAGCATTATTATTATTGTGTAGGTTTCGTCGACATGAATAAGGAGCCGGGGTTGCTGAGAAATTAAGTCATGTTATGTGTAATAGTTGAAGAAACTGTGTTGTCACAAGTTATAGATAAAATAAAATATATATAGTAATGCGTATCAAGTCTTAACAGTTGCTTATAAGTATTTATTGTGTCTTCCTGTTACCCAAGTTGCCTGTAAATGATCTTCTTCTACTTTAAAGTATATAAAAAATAAGTTAAGAAGTAAACTTATTAATGAAAATACTGAAGCATTTACGTTAATGTCAGTTGAAAACGACATTTTGATAAATATTGATAATGATCAATAAGTATATTATATTACACGTTGCACAATAATATCATACACGTTACGATAATCGCTTGTGAAATAATATCAATAAAAGTTGTACAATCTGTCGTACAATTAATTGTTTCGTGTATAGTGCGCTTAAGAGGACAAATCAATTCATTCTCTACGTAATAGGTTCTTATAAATACTTATTATATGCTATACAATACATTTCATTCTGTGAAAATGGAAATGTGAATTCATCGGTTCTGAGTAAATAGCTCAGAATGTGACCTATGTACCTACCGTCTATATTGTGTACAAGTGCCATTAACAGTTAGATAAATAGTTTTGAATTTATGTTACATCGATGCTTTATACTAAATAGATTTCTGTATGCTTTGTGCTAGATAAAAAAAATGCACTTATACAAACAATTTTATCGGACCGATTGTAATGCGTCGTTTTATTATTCCCCATAATTCATATTGTCCGAAATCTCATCATATTTCGACATAATATGTTCCTAGTGATATTCGCTTGACGGAAAATGCTATCAGCTATTCAACCATAGGTTCAGTCACTTTATTTGTGTCGTCTGTTTAGGTCAAGTATCGATTACTGCAATCCTAACATTTCACAATACCACAATGGCAGAAACGATTCGAGGTAATTACCGTTTATGGCGCTTGTATCGATTCTGAACTTTTAAAGATATGTTTTAAATTTTGATTTCATCGATGTCTGTTAATCATGATGTACAATGTATGCACATATTGTCTAACGTAATTTATTTTTTGTAATATATCATTCGATACTCGTTTATTATTATTGTTTTAACTTATTGTGCGATTTTTTATTGTCTGTATCTATACATACACAACTAGAGGAAGAGGCTTGTAGGGACCAGTCCTTTAAATATTTCCAAAGGCCTTCTAAATGGAAAATAATGAACCTAGAAACTTATTTTTTTGTTTGAGATAATTTTATTCAATACACAAATATACAATTTTTTGTTAAAAATCCCGGGTTTTCTGTATAATCAGAGTTCTTTTATTTAGTTAATTGATCTATGAATGTAATAGTGTATAACAGTCGGTTTTATACTGGGTTTTGTATTTTTGACCAATTTTCTATACGATTATATTCAATGTTAAATTAGGAGGACTAGTTCTCTAAACACTTGAAGCTATATCAGTGAGTAAAAAAAGATTGTACACGTAAAGAAATTAGTAAAATACAGGTGTGAGATCGTAGCCCCTGCGATTCTATTTTTTTTTTTTTTGTTACTTAGAGCCCTTCCCTAAAATGTAAGCCCTAGTTTTGCCTATGTTTACGTATTAAAATAAATGTAATATATTAAAATAAATAGTATTGATATTAAATCAAAATGCAATTAGAATATTATTTGTTACCTATTACATTTTTTTACTTATTTAATGGAGTTTAATCGAAATCACTATAATTCCTGTAATTTTATGTATAGGACATAGTAAGTACCAACATTACGGCTACACAACAAATATCTTATTTAAATGTTTCTGTTATGATTTTTAATTTTAATAAGAAGTATTCTTATTTCACATCGTACGTAGTCGTTATAACAATGTTTTTCATTAAAATGTAATGCTCTGTTTTCGATAAAATCGTAGATATTTATAGTAGGGATAGGTACTGAGTGAGTGAGTTGATTTAAAGAATTGATTATTTTAGGTGAACAAGTTGAATCAGTGTACCAAAATTCAATGACTCAATAATTAAATGTTACCCACAAATACATATTTATATTATTGTGTATATCTGTAGTGTTATCTCCTAATTCTTATCAGTTCCTGATTTATCATTTTGTCAGCTCATGACTTGTGAGTTGTGTCAATTAACTACCTATAATATTATATGTGGTTCACTGAATTAATTATTATCTAAAATAAGACATATAGTTGATAAGAACTTTTTGAGTTAGGAGTAGACTCATTGAATCATATCATTGGAATAACCTTAGTCAAGTGAATTGTATCATTAAATTGAGCCATAATTCCCACCTCTAATTTACATCAATTGTTTTAAAAATACTTAGTCTTGAAGTAAATTAATGGTTATACTTCATGAGACTACACTGTTTTAAGTACTATATAGTATGTATTAACAGGATCGATGATCCATGTTTGTCTCATGTAAAAGAGGTAAATAACTTATTAATGATTTTTAGCGAAAGATATTTATCAGTTTTATTCGCGTATAATTGGTTTATACTGTTATTGAATATTGAGCACTGCCTTGATGACCTTATAATAACCTATTAGACCTATTAGAGATATTATACATACTTTATCTAATGTAACACATTAACTTAATAATCAAAAATAATATATTATATAATATAATATTCTTGAAAATAAAATCACTTTGTTGTAATTGATGGACACCTATTACAAAATATAAACACGTGTGATTGAAATTAATATTTAAATATCAGTTTTCAGCTGAAAATCACAACTGTCAAACTCAAAAGTCACCAAAAGGCGACTATATAAGAAGGGACACTTTACCTGACACTGATTTATCAACAATGGAAAAATCAGAATATTTGACTTCAAACGACAACCGGTGTCGCAGTCCATCTGTTAGTAGACAAGATGATCCTATAGTCGTGGACGTCGAAATTTACGATTGTCCAACAGTACATACACAGAGAGATGAAAATGTTTTATTGGAAAACGTAGTAGTCAACCGAGGAGTAATACATGTGAGTGTTGGATTTAGTTTATTAATAGATACAATACGAATGCAGTAAGTTGACTGTTCAAACATTTCGCATACATACAAAACATAATTTATTAAATAAATATATATATTATATAAGATGACAAATAACTTCTCAATTAATAGATAAGACATACATTAATATATTATTATCATTGAAGTCTAAAATTTACTCTATGAGCTTGTTGAAACGTTTCAAAGTTATATGATTATATTTAATAAATTACATTTTTATGTGGTTTTACATACAGAGTGATCCATTTAAATGGCTTCATTCGTTATCACACACAATTTTAATGATTTAAATTTTTATAAAAATCAAATATATATCATTGATGATTTTATAAAATTTTTATTTTTTACTAGTTCTTTTACATATTTTCAGAAAGATATTGAGAAAAAAAATGTTGATGTATGAAATATTCAATTTTATTTTGTTTTTGCTATTGATTAATAAAACTTAAATAATTATTATTATTGGTATAAATAACTAATTTATTTAAGTTAATTAGATTCAATTACTTAGTTTATTGTAATTGGTTAATTTAATAATTCGTAATATAATTACATCATAATTGTTATGTTAACCAATTTTAAGATGAACAATTAACTATAGTTAAAATATTAAAAATAAAAGATTTTTTTTATAACTAGGATAGAGGACTTATAACATTTGTATATTTGTTTTACACAACCAAAAAAATAGCAGAGTACGAAACAAATATGTTTCATGCCTTTACATAGCTAGTCTTGACATTTTATTTTGCATATAAATGCATATTTTGAGTTTTCTTTGATTTTAGGGCATATTTCTTGCATTTTATACTTTTAAATGCATATTTTAAATAATTAATAATTTTATTATTACTTTTCCATCGACATTTTTATTTAATCTAATATATAACCAAAATATTGTTGAACTAAAAATAATTTTAATTTTTGATCATATTTTTCCTAGAAACACGTCTTGATAATCGCCAATGTTAATTTAAGTAAAGTTCCTGGTTCAATAGGAAGAGTAACCCAAGAAAAAATAGATTATGTTTTAAAAAAAAATATCAGATTTTAATGTTTAATTAAAAATTATTAAAATTTTAAATGACAAGGAAACTTTAATGATGTTCTACTTGGAAACTTCTGAGTAATTGATTTAGTCTATTTTAAATACACACAATTAATTCGGTCGATGTAGTGAGATTGTTTTTAATGTTTAAAGTACTGTTCGCTGACAACAAGCAATTTTACCAATTCAATAATTTGAAAGAACATTTACTTAATTATCTACTGGTTTTAATAATATTTTTCTTAAATACTAGAAATTTTATTTTTTAAGGTCGGAAGAATTTTCAAGAAACTCAATTTTATAACCTATTTAGTTAAAAATGATTTATATATATTTTTAAATAAATTAATTTTGAAAAAATATAAGAGTATATTTTTAGTGTGTATTATAGTGTTTTTAAGTGTATAAGTGCTTTCATATTTAGTGCTATTTTAGAACTACAAGTCCTCTGCCTTATTTATATCGTATGAAATATTTTTAGTTGGGACTCAATTATGTTTAACATACCTTAAATAATTATTTTTAAAAGTTTTTCTGATTTATTAAAAAAAAAAAAGGGAATATAAAATTCATCTTCAGAAAATAATTAAGTAAACTCATTTTATAAAGTATACAGAAAATTATCAATAAGAACATATTCATTTTAATTGTTTAATTTCATAATTTGATAATAAATAATAAATATTTAAAATGTAAAATTCTTCATAATATTTTCTGGAAAGCTTTCCCCATTTTTATAAATTTGAATTTGAAATCAAATAATATTTTTTCACAAAATTTTTTAAAATTTAAGAATGACCAAAACAAATTTAAATTAATAAAGCAAAATAGTTGAAAAATTCGTCATGAATTGCTGAATGTATACGGTTATTCGTTATATCACTGATTTTATGTATCATTATCATTTATTAATCTTCAATAACTACGTCAATCGATTAATTGGTATAATATGTTTCTATGAATTTCTATCTTAGCAATTTGCCGTATGGTACAGTCGAAAATCAGTTATCCCGTTGTCGTATTTAATCGGCATACCGTTTGGTTGGCTGTTGCTCGGTTCATTCCAATATTTTGTGTGCGTCATCGTTCTAGGTGACATTTTATTAGATCCGTGGTACTTCACGTGTACTTGGATAGTAGAAGTCATTTCCACGCTTCCTATTACCTTATTTATCATAGTCGCCAAATGTCTATACGTGCGTATGGTAAGTGTGCGAGTTGATTATCGCATGAGACTTTATTTATAATTTATTATATTAATATTCATAAAATATGTCTTGTCAAGGTTGTAAAACGAATGGATCATAAGATCACACTAAAACTACGTTTATAATATAGACTTATACCTTGCTGTAATACAAATTCAATTCAACTCTCTTTTTAAGACGTTCATGATTATTTTTGTTTTGCGGACAGGCAACGCCGGTGGGAGGTTTTGCAGAGCTCGAAGCAAATTTTTTCTCGTAAAACCAAAAACCTTTTTTCTTGAACTTCTTAGTACTCATATGACATATTTTTCTATTTTACATGACTTATGTAAAAATATTTTTTTAATCGCATATAATTAAACAAAGTATTAAACGTGAACTCTTAGATATGTATTTTTTTTTATTACATACAAATTTTATTTTGATCGTATATTCTTTAAATTGTCATATTAAAATAAATTATATACAAATTACATTTTTAAGCTAAATACAAGTTTTACACAACAATGTAAAAAAAAAAAAAATATATAATCAGCTCATTAAAATCTAATAAGTCAGTTAGTATAAGTATAATAGGTCTTGTTTAATTGATAGAGTACATAAAATATTCCTAAGTAGTTTTTGATTATTTTGAATATATTTGGAAAATAATTACATGTTTTTAATACGAAAAATTTTTAAAAACTGTATTTTCTTTAGAAATCATAGAACAAAAAATTAAAAATAAAAAACAAAATTATAGGCTTACAAATTATTAAATCCTACGAAATGCATGAGGCCCCTAAAATAGAGGGGCCCTGGGCAGCTGCCTTTTCTGCCCTACCCATATGCCGGTACTGTGGAAAGAACAATAGTGTATATATTGTGTACTACGCAATAATACGAATAATATTATAGTATTAGTCATCACAAGGCTCGAAATTTGATGACATTAAAAACAGTAAAAAATGACCTGAAAAATATGCAAATATGGCATAAAAATGACAAAAAATATCCTTAAAAAATAACTTAGAAAAATTACAAATAATTGTTTTAAATTAATAAAAATACATTTTTTTTAAATATCTTACTCTATTTTACTTTAACATTTTATATAAATCTTATCTTATAAATCTTTTATATAAATCATAACTTACAAATTACTCAAAATATGATATAAAAAATGACAACAAATGCCTTTCAAATATGAAATAAAAAAATTATAAATATTTGTTTTATAAATTTATCAAAGCTTACAGATTACCAAGAATCAAAACCATTGCATTGTATATTACAGTGTATTTGATATTATCAAAAGTAAATGAACTGTGATTATCTGTTTATTTATTTTTAAATTTTTAATTATTTATAATTGGAAAAATTTTTCTCCACTTCCACTGAAGTGATTGCGAGACGCAGACGACCATTTACCGATGTTTTAACTTTCGCCATTTCGAAAATATTACGAAAAAATAATTAAATTTAGATATAATAGGTATTATCATTGATTATCAGGGCTCGGAAGTTCTAGCAAATACATATTTTTCTGGGTTCGTCTTAGAACATCCAAAGTAAGATACAAATATGTTTCAAACTACTTGGATATTATACACAAAATTTAATTTTGCTATTTTTTTGCATATTTGCAGGTTTTATTGCTATTTTGTTGATTTAGGGTTTATAGTGCTATTTATGGGTATATTTTCACATAATACAGGAAATAATCACATTTTGCTGTTAATAATGATTTAATTAGTTATAGTTTTAAAAATATTTTAATTATTAGAAATAAATAGACATCAATTATTATTTTATTTTTTCATCGACAATTTGATGTACTAATGTTAGTGACTAAATAAAATCATTTAATTATAAGTACACTTTTACAAAAATATTTAATCAATTTAACATTTTTATTAAGTTTATAACTCAATCAATCCAAACGTTTATGAGCCAAAATATTTTTAAAACGACGTTTAATTTTTTTTCTAATAAATTTATAAATTTTTAACATAAATACATATTTTTTGATTTTTCGTGGTATTTATAGCGCATATTTTAGAGTTTTTAAGTACATATTTAAGAGATAAAAAGTAACATTTTTAGTGCTACAACTTCTGAATCCTGTTGATTATAAATAGTTATAATCAATGGTATTATTCACTATAAGGCTGTGAACACATGGACGCGCGTTAGCACGTCACAAAACGCGCGTATGACCGTTCAGATGGCTGCGTGACACGCGCGTTGTACGGGAATGTACTTGTCAAAAACTATATTACTTAGTACAGTTCAGACTGTCATCAAGAATGGATGTGATAGATGTTGTGTGTTTATGAGTCGTCCACTGAAGGATAAGAAGATGCAGACAAATGAAGGAAAGGAAATATTGGGTTCATCCTATTTTAAAAACAAGGCTTTCTTTTAGTCTTTATGTCACATTATATCCTAAACTAAGATACCATGATGACACAATTTTCAATTACTATTGAATGTCCATTAGTGTATGTCCAAATAGTTTGATGACCTATTGGCAGTGGCGTTCGCAGGGAGGGATGATGGGGGATATATCCCCCCGTGGCCTTTTTTTTTTGTCTTAAACGTTTAAAAACGTATTTAAGAAACACGACGGGGCAGTCACGGTTAAATGGATTGGCGTTAATGAACATACATCTAGATATTCCATTATCTACAGAACAAATAATTTATGAATTTAATGTAAAAGCCAGAAGGATGAATTTCCGCCGGTGATATACGACTGCGGACGGTTCTTTTCGGGGCGACCTTTTTAATCGAAATTAAATACCAAATAAAAAACAACCGATAGGGAGACCAAGACAGCGATGGACTGACCGAATCAAAGAAGACCTCAAGATTCTGGGTATTAGAGAGGGAGAACAACTGGCGAAGAACAGAGAGCTGTGGAGAGGCGTAGTAGAAGCGGCGATGGACCTTCAAGGCCCGGAATAAGCCAAAAAAAAAAAAAAAATTATAGTTTATCAATGGACCCCCGAATATAACACTATTGCGGACACATGTTGCCAATTTTAAAAATAGAACTTCGATAATGTGAGAATGTGGAAATTCTGAGCGTATTAAGTTTAGTATGCAGTTACAAGTCACTTTTGTTAAATACTGCAGTTAGAAGAAATTAAATTGAATAAGTTTAAAAGAAACTCAAGCCTAAACTGAGACAATAATCCATAAACAAAGGCCGAGAAAAATCGGTGGCAAAAAAAGATTTAGATAGAATCAACTTAACTATTCAGAGCTATAATGATTATAAAAATCACCAAAACGTGATACAATATTTAAAAAAATTAGTTGTCATTAAAGGGGGAAAAAATATAAATTTTTAACTTTAAATGTTTATATTATATATTATTATATTAATAAACTGCGTCACACAACTTGGCAACGTTTCATTAAATTTCGACCGCAGTCGCGTCATTTTTTGAGTGCAAAATAATATCTTTTGTTATATAATGATCGTCTGCAATTGGATTGCAAAAAAGGTAAAGCGTCCGTAGTCGTGTTTCACCCATTTCCGCCTAGATTGATTTTTTTTTTGTAAAAATAATACATTTTTATTTATGACATCCTCCCCCCCCCCTCATACCAAATTACTGCACACGCCACTGCCTATTAGAGATAATTAAAGACTCTACTTTACAAATGAAAGGAAATTATAAAGGCAAGACAAAATTATTTGAATAATTTTATTCTTTTGTAAATTTTAATATAAGTGTAAATATAATAAAAGATTAATTACCTACATTTGTTTTTTTCTTATCTGAATCCTCAGGACCACTAAAAATAAGCACCAACTCTTCCCAACTTCTTCTGATTATGGTTTGGTTTGAGTACTCATGCGTTTTCATGTCCTGCCTAACCTGTCAAAAGGCCTGCCCTTTTTTATATTTCATTGATTAACGTATCTATTTAAATATTCATGTTTAAAAAAACACTTGTTTTCAAAAACTATAGATAAAAATTTGATCGTTTGCATCTAAACGCGTGTATCAACTAAACGGTCCGATTATAATATATATAGTATTTCAATCCGTAATATCCGCGCGTGTCTCACGGAAATAGAAACTAGCGTCGTTATCGCGGTCGACGCGCGTTGATCGCGCGCCATGTGAACGATGATTTGGAAACGCGTATACCTAAATACGCATGATCAATCGACGCGCATACACGCGCGTTAGCACGACACAAAACGCACGTATGACCGTTCAGATGGCTGCGTGTCATGCGCGTTGTACGGAAAATTCTAGTTAAAAACTATATTACTTAGTATAGTTCAGATTGTCATCAAGAATAAGTGTGATAGATGCTGTGTGTTTATTCGCCGTCCACCGAAGAATGAGAAGATGCAGAAAAATAAGGGAAAGGAAATATTGGGTTCATCCTATTTTGAAAACAAGGCTTTCTTTTAGTCTTACATTATTATTACATTATATTTAGTGTTACATTATATCCTAAACTCAGAGAGCACCATGACAAATTTTTCAATTACTTTAGAATGTCCATTAAATCATTTGATAACCTATTGGAGATAATTAAAGACACCTTAGAAATTGATCAAAATGTCCCATATGGCAGGCCTTTTTTCTATTTCATTAATTAACTTATCTATTTCAATTTCCATATTAAAAAAAACACTTGTTTTCATAAACTATAGATGAAAATTCGATCATTCACATCGAAATGTGCACGTCAACTGAACGGTCCGATAATTATACATGATATTTCAATCCTCAGTGTCACGCGCGTGTTCGCGCGGAAATAGAAACTTGCGTCGTTATCGCGGTTGACGCGCGTACACACGCGTTGATCGCGCGCCATGTGAACGATGATTTTGAAACCTGTATATCTAAATACGCGCGATCAACCGACGCTCGTGTATGTGCGTCCATGTGAATCTAGCCTAACACGACAATAGCGAATGTAATCGGTGATATAAAATCGTACAAGTCTTAAGTTGTTGGAATAATGGTTGACGAAGAACGATAAGAAGTGAACTAGTGTGAAATCAGTAAAAAATGACTAAAAATGTGGGAAAATGACATATATATTTCAAAAAATGAATTGAAAAATAATAAACACCAAAAAATGGGAAAAATAATGCAAAATAAAAATTAGTTATTCGGATTCACATGTTAATGAAACACATTTGTGGCCAGGAAAGAATCTTCAAAAAAGTTCCAAAAAAAAAAAATGTAAAATGCATCAACTTCCGAGCCTTAGTCATCGCTGTATACATAGTAATAATCAGGGCTAGGATTTGTATGCAACAGCATGTTTTTTTTGCGACTTCTGATTTTTGATTTTGTCAGTAATGTCGACGAATCACCTCATGATGAAATAAATGGTGATATTTTTATTTAGCATGTTTTTGCATATTTTGGTAAATAAAAAGCATATTTTACAATTTTTTATTGCATACAAATCCTAGCCCTGGTAATAATCTAATCGAAATAATTTATTTATTGATTATAAAGATAGGATGTGGTTTGTTTAATATTTTTGTGAAAAAATTATGTTTACTTTCAAAACTAACTAAATAATTAATAACAAATAATGATTATGATATAGTATGGATAATAGTCGTGTACATAATAATTTAAATTAAAAATAGGTGCATCACGTATGATGTGATGAGTTATAAGTATCATTTATTTTTAATTAATTTGGAAAATAATTATAAGGCTTAGTAAAAATTTGCAATCAATAAATACTACGAAGAAATACATATTTTCCTTATTTTTAAATATTTAGAATATCTAATTTTTATTTTTATTTTTTATTACCAGATTATTAGGTTTATTCTTTTCAAGGACACCCATAGGAAAATTCTCATGGGAGGACAACATTTTAATTTATCAATATATTCATAAATAGGAATGACCCACGATATAGAAAGGGGTTTACAATTTTACATTATACTATTACATTATATATATCAAACTGGGAGACTATAAAATAATAATTATTTAACCAATTTACCATAAAAGTAATTTATTGGAATTTTTCTTTAATTAATAATATAAATTGGACACTTAAAACATTAGTTATACCATTGATTATAAATTATATTATAAAATTTATAATCAATGGTTATACCTATTTATTAAAATATTAATTTACAAATATTATATAAATATTATGGTTGTGTACACATACACATACATACCGTATTTCTGGAAATACACAATATTTTCAGAATTGATAATTATTCATAGAATAGAAACGAAAAAGCGTATTGTTATTTATAGCTGATAACCTGATTTTCCAAACTAAATAGGTTTTTTATAAATAAATTATAGATTTTCATATATTAAATTAAGTTTTTTAATTCTATTTAAATAAATATTTTCTGATCATAGTAAACAATTTTCCAACATTTTTGACATTTTTCAGGGGAGACATGTCCCTCCCTTGCCTCCAATATGGGCGCCCTTGATTCTTTTAATTATTCTTGGGAAACATAATTTCCGATCTTTTAAAAATTTTAATTGGTACCTAAAATGGAAATCACATTTGTATACAGAGACAATTATGCAAATACTAAATAATATCATACAAATCTATATTTAAAAAAAATACATGAACGTATTCTGATAATTTGTTACAGTTTTATAAGGTCAAAGTTTAATAACAAATTATATAATATCGTTACGTGACTTAAAATCATCATATTATTAGGTCCTTTGCCTAGTGTATTTCAAATTCTTTATTTTTCTTTTTTAAACAATGAATAAAATGAAAACATTAATATTGAAATAATTAAAATAATATATTAATTAATATAATTATAAATATATTATTCATTGAATTTACATGAAACATTCTTAAAGAGGAAACCATACTAATGTATTTTCATTTTTTATCCGTGTGACTTGGCAAAAACTAATTTGGCTGATTTTAGTCATAAAGTACGTAAATACCATATATAGCCATAAAGTTAATATAAATTATAGGAAAAAATAAAATAATATTAATTATATTTTAATAGTAGTTACTTATAAGTTATAAGTCTTAGACTTTTTAATATATAAGACTTTTGAAATATTTTCTTTATAAATGGCTAATGTATGACTCATATCGTGTAAAAATGTAAAATGGTTTATTTTTAATTTAATCTATAAAAAATTATATAAAAATTATATAATGTCATATTATGTTAATAATTGTACATAATTCTTTACGTTTTTTTTTTGTCATTAAATTAATGATTGTTCGTAATATTAAAATATTTTATTGAGGTTAAAACTAAACAATTATTTTCGATATTATAGTTAAAATAACTGAATTAATTTTATACTCAAATTTTAGGTCTTTGAAATTAAGACTGTAAATTTTATAAGGTTTAGCTTAAAATTTTATATTCTTGAAAATAATAGGCTTCACTGTAACTTTAAATTTAAATAAAAACTGGCAACCGATAATTTATAGTATTTTTGAATTATATCTATTACCTTAATAAGAATAGTTAAACAACTTATAATTAAATTTAAATTTTCAGGCGATAGAAGTTAAAATTTTACAGCTATTCGTAATCTTCATCAGAATTATATCATTCTAAAATCAAAATATGCTTCGCTTCACTCAAAATATAAAGTAAAGTACCTTACTATAACGTATTATTTTTTTTTTTTAAATGCTACATAATATATAACAAAATTTTAGAAATATTTTGTATATAAAAAGTAAATAATAGTAGTAATGATATAGTATCATATTTTAGAAACTGGGCATCTATACATACATCATCTAATAGGAAGTTCTAATAGTGGAGTGGTTTTACACAGTAATATTAAAAACACTCGTAAATCAATATTGTGATTTGAATATGTGTCGATCTGTGTTATTTCAAAATCTATCTAGACGATGCATGGTAGTAACAATTACAAATGGACTAGTCTATTACCCGAAATACATTTTTATATTCTTACTCTATTTTGGTTGTTTACCAATTACATAGTAATGTTTTTTATTTTTCAATGGGTTGATACCCATTTAATGTATGAATTGAAAAATTCATTTTTGGCTGTAGGAATTTATGCTTAATACAATACTACTAGGTGTATGTAGTGTCGTAACTTAATTGCACGAGGCCTATGTGAATAAATATGTTAAAATCTTGAGACCATTTATTATTAAACACTTTTGAGTATTCGACCTTTTGAGGCCCATAATATATTATGAGGCCTGAGACCTATGTGCAATACACACTCTACACACCTGGTTTTTACGGCACTGGGTGTATGATAATTAGCTTTATTTATCTATCATGCATTATTATAATTTGATAGTGTTTGAAATTGTAACCAAAACATTCGGAAATTTACAATACTTAGAATAAAAAATATGATTATTGGTTTTACAACAATGACAACAATATAATAAATTGTTATGATTCTATATATTTGATTGTTAATAATAATTTTAATTTTAGGAAATATTGGAATATTGTGAAACAATTACATGGGCTCATTTTACATATATAATATTTCAAGGTTTGGCAATTTTGTTACTTTTACTACCAATTAGCGATTTATTTAAATATGTTTTCGGTGATTTTTCACGGCCAATCAATTTTTTAATTTACTGGACGGTATTCGCTTTTCCACATATTATGGTTTTATACTTTTCTTCATTTGGTTGTTGTTCCAAGGTATAATCATAGTTTATATTTACATAATCATTTACAAATGACGTTAATCAATAATCATTGTAATCATATTTAGGAAAATTATATACATAAATAGATTAATGAAAATATCTATTTAATAGATGTATTTGAATATAATACCATTCATTTTAGAATATGTGGGTACGTCATCATTACATTCCTTAATTAAAATCGGTAGCGCTAATATGCATGAATTAGCTAGAAGTCCCTGTATTATAGACACTTCTAGCTAATGTTGAAAGCAATTATATATAGAATCTATAATCTTTGCTTTCAACTTGTTAGAAACAAGTTTTTTTACAATAGAAAATATGTGCTATCAATATTAATAATATGATGACATATCTGTAGTATATTATAAAATCAATGGTAATGCAAGTAATTTTTTTAGATAAATAAAACGATCAGATATTAAACATGATATAAGTTTAAAAAAGTATGAATAAGAAAAATAGTTTTAGATTCCGAAAAATAATAATATTAATAAAAAATCTTTTGATCTTAAAATAATTTATTAGTTTTTTTCCTTAAGAATATTTTTTACAGCAATAGAAATATATAAATTCATTTTATTTTAAGACCAGTGGCGTTCTAAGGAATTTTCAATGGGAGGGCTCTGAAAATTTACTAGAATACAAAAGTGGGGGACTCTGCCCCCCCACACCCCTCATAGTCATAATAATTACAAATTTTGTACTGTTTTAAAAAACCACATTATCACAAATTGTCACCAAATTGTTAAATTGATAGCGTGATCGTGTCATAGAACATGTTCTATGGTCGTGCTTCAATCCAACTTGATAACCGTGATACTGGTTATTAATGACGTTTAAACCACTAAATTATAATCAATAAAATCAATAATCAATTATTATTAAACTACTGGAATAATTTAAAAAAAATACGGCCAATGGGGGAGGTTCAAACCCCATGAATCCCCCCGTAAGTACGCCACTGTTTAAGACCAATTATGTACTAGGTCATTTTTAAAAGTTTTAAAATTCTTAAAATGTCTTCTTTAAATTACAATTTTTTTAAATTATATGTAAATAAAGTCGATAAAACTAATATTTAAAGCTTTAAACTTATTTTTATTACTTTTAAACGTGTAAGTATTTCGGAGCCGTGTTAAGTATCTAAACGCCCCGGGACAAATTTTTTTTGCTCCCCTCTACGATTTAATTACTAATTGTTTTCTTAATATATAAATCTCCATGGAACATCATATTCCCACATATTACGAAAACTAACTGAAATATAATATGCAATTTTTGTTATTTATAATTATTTATTATTTTAATTAAAAATATAGATAACAAATTAATGTTTAAAAATAAACGATCAAGGCTGACAATAACAATAAAAACAATATATTACTTGGAAAATATTACTTATTAATATCAGTTTAAAATATTTTGTTATAATATCCGAATTTGGGGAAAGAGGTTTTCTTTATCGCCTATCGTCGTTGTGTTAATCTATTTGGCACTAAGTGTATTAAATTATACTCGATTCTGAAATAGACCTTATAATACGAGAAGATATATTTTATCTTTGTAGTTCGTAATATTGATGATTATAAATATTTAAAATATAGTAGGTATTTATAATGAATGGTAATACGCAGTAGACAATACAGGCCACAGTTGATACAATTGTAACGGATTTTATAGGGATTTTCGATGAGAAAAGCTAAATAGATTTATTTTGTCATGGTTCACCACGGTGTCTTTTGTTTATTATTTATAAAATTATAACATATTTGGTGTTCGAGGCATATAAATTTTATATAGCATATAAAATGCAAATAAAGGCGCCCCCTTACCTTCATAAAATTACGGCACTCAGGGAAAATTGCCCCTTGCCCCCCCCCTTAACACGGCTCTGAAATATTTAAATTTCATTTGATAAATGAATTATTAATGTAATGTAATAACTTTTTAAATTAAGTAAGTTGTAGTTTGTAATAATATGTAAAATTAATTACACTTTTTATTGATTAATGGTTATTTATTAGTTTATATATTTGTGTTTATAAGTGAATAAATATATTTTCCAGATGTTTAATGCATTCTCACGTCATTTGCATTGTGCTAATAGTTGGAATAAACAAGGACAACCAAAACGAGTACATTTTGAAACAAAAAAGCAGCAAGTGACAGCTACACTAAATCATGTTAATAACATCGAACTTCAAGAACTGAACTATCATCCAATGCTTCGTAGCAGTAAAGATTCACAACTTTCTATTAACATCTATAAACATTTAAATGAATGAAATAGTTATTCGTTTTTTTTAATTTAATTTTAATTATAATTATTATATAAAAAAAATTCTTGAAAATAAAGTTTGAGATAATGTTCATTTTGTAAAAATTATTGCTTGTTTTCAAATTGGTTTTATACATTTTGTTGTTTAATTGATAGATTATTATGAATTATTTTAATAAATAAAAATGTTTTCTTTATATTATTTTCATTAGGTAAATAAATAATTTTTGAACGTCGTATGAAGTAATGATATTATTTTATTTATTTAATTGAATAATTCATTTTAATTTTAATAAATTAGATAAAATATTTAAAAAGATTTTTTCATTTTAGATTCTCAAACTTCTCAACACGTAAGTAATGTATTAGTTTTGAAAAGTAAATTTATTTTTAATGCATGTAATAGAGCAGCATCAAACTTTTTTTTCTTATAATGTTAAATATATATAATAGGTAATAATAGGTAATACCATTGATTATAGATACCAATGCTATCTATAATCAGTGGTAATACCAATATCAAATTTTTTTTTATTTCTTATTGCGTGTTATCATTTGTCTTTTTTTGATGTATTAGTTAGAACGTTTAAATAATAACTCAACTGCAATTTAATCATTATTTTATTTATAAAATATTCTAAGCGTAATTTATTAATTCATAACGTAAACTGGCATGAAGATGCTTGCATTTATTGGACTAAAACACATCACTATATTGGTCTATTCGGGACTGCTTTATATACCCTGTTCTTGTTTGATATTGTGGTCCTACCTTTTCCCTAGAGAATAATAGACTTAACCAAACATGGACTGCGTTATGTTTTATATTTTAATAATTACACCGATCTGTTAAAATTAATGAGTTTCTGTATAAGTTATAATTAGACCACGGATTTGTATGTATATTTATTATAAATATTTGTATATTTATTCTGGTAGGTTTTTGATATGCTAAGTTAGCACAACATTTGATTTATGACATAACGATTAAAACAATCACATTTTTTTAGAGCATATTTTTGCATATTTCGATACTTACCCAATTATTTTTATTTTAAGGGCTTATTTTACATTTTTAATTGCATATTTTACCTTTCAGTGTATACTTCGATGTTTTTTTTATTTTATTTATTTTTGATATATTTTAAATATTTACTAGGTATTATAATATAAGAAGTAAATCTGTTTATGAAAATTGTAGAAAGTAAAATAAAAAACGAAAACTACGACATACTATAATTTAAAATTTTTAAATGACGCAATTCAATCAATTTAAACTCGCAAACATTTATCTCCAAATTAAATTATATATTTTTTAAAAACTCGCCAATTGCTTTTGTAGATATGGAAAGATAATTTTCAAGATATAAAAATTTATTGACTGACAAACGCCAATCAATGGTTTTTGAAAATATAACAAAAATGATTGTTGTACAACGCAAAGTAAATTTAGGAAAAACAATTAATTTAGGGTATATTTTTGATTTCTCTTTTCCTTATAGATGAAAACTAACTACAAAATTATTTAGGTTAGTAAATTCCTTTAAAATGAAGAAAAAAAAATTAACAGTAAGATTACATAATTTTAAATGTCATTTTTTTATGAATTATTTTAAATAAATGTTCAAAAATTAAATAATTTTTTTTTTTTTGCTAAATTTCGAGTGCATATTTTTTTTTTTTTAATGTAAATAATATTCCATGTTAAAGATTTTTAAACGCATATTTGGTTGGTTTTTAATGCATATAAAACCCGCGCTATAGTTATTATCAGTCACTTTACACAATATACTTTACTAAACAGAATACTTTATGCTGGGTTTACACAATGCGTAGTACTTGTTACTCGCACTCGCTCATTGCTTGAGCGTTCATACGACTTTCGCATTCACACTCGCACTCGCACTAGGCGTTAGGTATTAGTAGATAGTAACATAATATGATAATCAATGATAATAATATTAAATATATTATATATATTAAATTGTAAAATTAATAGTAAATTAGATTATAATTCCTAAAATAGTGATTAGAAGTAAATAATATATTATTAATTATTATAATATAAAAAATTAATTGTCAAGATCAATTAAGTCGTGAAAAAGTATATAATGGACCGTTGTATCGTATAACAAAGTTTGAATTATAATTCAAACATAATAATTTCATCAACATAGATGAAATAGAAGTTGAATTAAGAATTATCACAATTCACAGTGTGCAACATGCGCCGTACACGTGATAATACAAATGTTACTAAGCACTAATACTAATCATTAAGTGGTCACACGTTGCGAGTGCAACCGCGAGTAGAGTAGAATCGTGGAGGGGATAGCTAATTGTCGTTAATAAATAGAACGGCGTTCTTTTCACTCGCACTCCCGGTTATACTAAGTACAATTTTTTCTGTTTACACACAATGTGCAAGTACGAGTGACAAGTACTAATGACAAGTACTACGCATCGTGTAAACCCGGCATTACTTGAGTGGTGAACGCCCCGCGACTGCTGAGTCACACACATGTGTTTATATTTAACAACGATATAATTGTGTGACGTGTATTCGCGAATTCGTTTATCCCATGATATTTTAGTCATTGAACCTGTGCTACTGGTGCCTATTAGAGATCTGAACGGGCCAGGCTAGTACTGGGCTTGGACCAGGCCGTACCATAATACAGTGGTGTGCCGAGATAAAAATTTTTTTGATGCCAATTGCAAAGTTTAGTTTACCATTCACCCATATTTAAACTCATCTCATTCAGAACTCATATCAATATTTCTCTACCTAAATATGTACGATAATTATGTGATTTATGTATTATCATCCAACAACCACCCACCCCTTTTTAACTTGATGCTTGGGCTTCATTTAGACCTATATTCGGTACGCCACTGCCATAATATAAATATTGGCCGGTTGGTAATGAGAAGGATCGTAGTACCTATTTTTTTGGACCGGGCCGGTCAAAAATAAAACTTTCTGAGTATAATATAAAATTACTATATTAATGACAATTATTGTCGTTAAATAAGGAAATGTTCCTAAACTAATGGAGTAGACTTCACAAATCATTATTATTGGTCTATGATATTTATAAACAGATCACTGATAAAATCAAATAATAAATATTACAAACGGACCTGGGTGGGTTGGACTGCAATAAAAATATTACAACCGGGTCTGGTCGGGTTAGATTTCAAAAAAAACATTAAGGATCGGGCTTGGGCGGGGTAATTTTGTAAGTTTTGTGTCGGACCGGGTCGAGAAAAAATGATCCATGCAGATCTCTAGTAGGTACCAATCTATAATGATTATAATAATAGTTATTCTAATGCAATGCTTACTATATATGTGATCCCCCCCCCCCCGTGCAATGGTAATCGTAAGGGCTTATGTGTATGTAACACTCTACTAATTGTTCAAAAATGAATTTTGAAAAAAAAATTGATCGGACCTGTGTAACTATTTCGACAAGTGACGAAAAAATTTTTTAGATGTAAATAGTTCCAAATCTCAAATACTATATTCGCAGCTGCGTCTGACTTGGAATTTAATTTTCGACGTTAAGTGTTTCGAAATAATTTTATCGTAGTAATTTCCTAAGTCACAGGCCACAAAGCAAATTATTGTATTAGTCATGGCTTATAAAACCGGCTTTGATAAAAAAAAATTATGTTTGGCGACTACCGTTGAATTATCGAACGGTCTGACGGGTAAGCGAACAATTGCGTTGTGTGCCGCCGTTATTTCCAACCATGCGCAAACATCTGCTACTCTTTTTATCGACGTTTCGCTGGGTCATCGTTGTTCCATGATTTTCTAGAACATTCTAGAGGGGCCACGTCATTGCTCCCACCACGGGTAGCAGCAGCAGCGTTGCCGACGACTACGGCCCATTCTCCGTTTACGTTCATTTGCGCTGCTCACTTCTAAGCTGTTTCACGTTCCGGAACTCTCACTCGTCGGCCAATACAAAATGGCGGACATCTGGGCACAGGCGTCGACAACGGTAAGCATACCTACTATTGCTTTGTAATAAATATTCCGCGTTGTAAAATAACGTCTCGCATTTGAGTTAAACAATATCTGTGTTACGTAATTGTTTTTATGATTCCTTATGTTATACCTACTTTCGTGTTAATATTTTTAATTTTTCGACGTGTACTCTATCCGATGTAACATTATCGATTTATTCTGTCTACCCTTGTAATACACCTGCAATATGCTGGATCACTGTAATTTCACCGGTTACGATTCATTTCGTGTTATAGGTACTGCCAATGCTGTTTCAATCGGAATGGCGGCGGCCGTCAATCGACGTAGCAGTGCGTTACGACGTGAGAGTAGACTTTGTCCCGTAATGAATCACTTGGATTTTTGTAAGTATTTTATGCGCTTATATATTTTATACATGTTTGTGAATCGGTTATTGTAAATTCGACTATTTGTTATTTCAATTATTAGTTACCTATAGATTAATTTTAAAGCACTAATTTACAAATATAATATATAGGTATGTATTATAAATATATACATTCAATTAATTTGTATAGCTTTCGGTGTTTTTGAGTCAATACGGTTTAATCCATTTAGTTACATGTTACATTTTTTGAAATCGATTTCAATTTAGTTATACGTGACGCACTTTATATTTTTTTTCGCGTTCCGCTATCGAATTTTGCTTTGTTCGAGTGTGACCTCGGAGTTACCGCCTCCTCTCTTTACCCCTTTCTTGCTTCCCCACCATACCTTCGGCTACCATGGCTACAAGCTGTGTTGCGCCGACGCCGTGTGAATTTCTTCATCGCGCTATCGATCCGTTTCTCGTCTTGTCGGAAACTCGCTATTGTTCGTTTTTTTATTTTCGCGTTGATTTTCCATTCCATGCCTCAACGTTGGAGGTTACATCGGTCGCGATAAATGGCGTCGTCACTTAGTAATTACTGATCATTTTTTTTTTTTTTTTTTTTTATTAATTATTTCGACATGTATATTATAAAAATCAAGTTAGTTTTAAACACGTTCATCCACTTGCGTTACTCATTCACTTATTATTATAGTATGATGAATTCTTGAATACAAGGTCATTGTTATAAAAAAAAATCCTCAAGATTTACATTCTAATGGTAAAAACTCAATAAAGTATTAATTCTTTTTCTAAATGACCTCGTATTTTTATTTATTCTTTTTTACATTGTGTAGACTGAATAAAAAATTACGACGAATAAAATAACTCAATTATGAGTGGTTTCTATTAAGCAACTTCTATATTGTAATCGAAATATTGAAGTTACTGTTTAGACAGAATGTCGTAAAGCATAGACTAATATATTTGAATACTACTTTTTATGGAATAAAAATTAACATTATTCATTATCATTCAGTGGTATTGGTCTATAGTGAATAACCAAATGGAAGGTTCACATTATATTACATTTATTTAAGATTCAGAGTAGAATGGTGAGGAACTATTTAAGATAATTAAACTAATTAAGATTAGCTGATTGGTATACTACAGTTTTTCTAAAAGAAGTTATTATTTTTATTTATAAATAATGACTGCAATAACAGAGTTTATAACTCAAGTTAAACGAGACTGTGATAAATGATTGTGTCACAACGGATAGCACCATATTCTGGTATAATATTATGTTTAAATTTTCATTACCTGTACTTTGTTACAAATATAATTTTTTCTGTCAATTATTAATTCATTATCGACGATTTATTGAAGATCTTGTTTTAAAATAAACTGCCTTGTTGGTGTTCTCTGGTCTCGCAATTTTTTTCATTTGTTATTAATGTTAACAATTCATTTTAGATATTTTTAAGTATAAAGTTTGAACTTCTGTGGTATAAATACGCCGCGAGGAATAAATATTGTTTTTTATAGTGAGATTGATAAAAATATGTTGTAACAAAAATTTCTTTCATACGAATATTATCGATAAAAGAAACTGTTTACATATTAAAATATTCTTTAGGTAATGAATACAAATTTTGGAGTTTTTAATATTTCCGTCTTTTGGATAATTGTTGTCTTTATTTAAATTATAAAATGTTACATAACATTTAAACTGTTATTATTGGATACAAACATCAAATAAGATAAATATATAGATATTTATTCTACTAATTTAATAAAAAGTGAGCAATCGATATAGATCATGGCTATTTTACAATTAAATATATGTATTTACTTATTGCTATTACTTATTACTGCAGTTAGTTAAAATTCATGTTATCAATAAAAATATTTGATGATATAAATATTGAAAAGTATAAAGACCATTTTCTAAAACTTATTACTCTCAATTTCTATTGTTTACGTTTTTAAACAGTGATTGTTGTTATTAAATGAAATTATATGCTTTGTAACAAATATTATCAAAATATTAATTTTTTTCTTCATATTTCAGTGTGATCAGGGCGAAATAAATTAAAATGTTTCTTTGAGAAATTAAGTTTCGAAACTTATTTACTTAAGTAATCAAAGATCTTTTTTAAACATCTTGAATGTTGTCATCTAATTAAGACAACGTCCAAAGTATGTAATATTTTTGAAAAATGTTTAAGGCAATTTTAAAGGCCAATCATTTAATGTTCACAAAATTTCAAATTACTTTAATAACTTTAATTTAATTTATTTTTGAATTTAAGAATTAAATTAGAAATTCTCAGTCTGTATTATATAATTTTTAATCTTTTCACACTTGACTTTTTAAATTTAAAAATTAAAATAGTTAATTAATAACATTTAAGCTATTATTTATTTACTTCATTTTGTTGTACAGATGAAATGTGAACATGTTGACTTATTCATTGAGAAATGGTTATTTTGTAAGTAAGGATTTTGTACTAAAAAAGGTAAGTCATTACCAATGTTATTTTTATACAATATATATATATTATATATATACATATATATACATACATGGATTTTATAAGATACAATATTTTCATTAAAGGTAGAGAAGTGGGTTATCATTACACAATTATTTTACCAATTGGATTGGTATATAGTATTGTGAATCCAACATCACATCATTATTATAATTCAGTCATCATAATACAAAGGTTGGAAAAGTTCTTCACAGTTAAACCCTGAGTTAGGTGGTTAATTCTAGGGTTTATTAGATGGTTATTATTAATCCATTGCTATATTATTAGCATGTCCAGTATTGAAGATTACTACTTCTTCAATGCTAAACTATTTATATGTTGACTTAATCTGCGTCTTATCAACAGCTTCTAAGGTATTCTTATCAACGAACAATTTTGTTTAATGAAGCAACTTGTAAAATAATTTTATTTTTAGTTCTATGTTCATCTAATATGTTCTAGATTTTCCATACCTACCTCATATATTAGAAGTTGGAGTTAATATATGTAATGGATGGTCCATAAGACGATGTGTTTAACATATAGACACAGGCGGATATATTTTTGTATCTATTACCTTGTATTAGCAAAGAGGTTCGTGGAGTGACTGGTGATCAACCCCTTATCAGCCCCATCTAAGTTGCCGTAGACTCAGACATGAAGTAAACTAGTGAACAAACAAATTATAAATACTAACTTAAATTAGGCTTTAGGGCTTAAAAATTGTCAAGTATATTTATTATGTACTATTTTATTTTCCATAAGCTTAATTTGTTTGCATAATATTTATCTAACAAAAGTGACTCACTATTTTTTGACCTTAAGTATATTATGTTTCATTCTATACTGTTGTATAATGAAATATTAAATAAGTCATCTTCATTCTTATATTATCTTTAGTTTTTCAAAATATAATTGATAATTTTATTTTGCGTCATTTTTTAAGTACTTTTTTCAATATATGTAGAAATTCTTGAAACTAAGAAGTCATAGGTAATTCTTGTTTAAATATCTATACTTATATCTATATTTTTTTTACTTAAACATAACTAATTATTGTATTTAATTTTTAAGTATTAAATATGTATGGGTATAAAAATATCTACAGTTAATAAATTTAATGATATATCAATGTGATAATTTTTTGTTGGAATAATTTTTAAAAAAAAAAATTTGATAGCAAACAATATTGTCTGTATTTTTTTTTCGTGCAGATAAATTATTTCACACTAAAATAATAAAAACTCATAAAAGTAATATTATTAATAATGTACCTATTTTATTATACTAAACTTAACAATAATTTTATTTAATAATTATTTTTGAACGAAATTTCATGATACTAAGCATATTATTAATACAATTTTATCTTGAAAATTAGATTTATATAGATTGACTTGGAAACGAACGATAACCATGAATTTTAACGCAAAACAGTTTTATTTTCATTATATAAAACAAAAAATGTCAATTACAATATTTGGTGTGTATTATATTTTTAATGATTATTAATTAAAATTAATCATAATACTGATAAGTAATATTGTGATCTGCAACATGTCATGGGATGATAAATACATTTAAAACCAACATCTACCTTATTGATTGCTTTGCCCGTGAAATGTCAAGATACATTGAACTAATACTAGAAGATTGCAGGATGTAAATATATTTTATTTTTGTAATTTCTAATTGATGTCACTGTTATAACTGACTTTATTGATAAAATTATCTTTTTTGAACCATGGAAAAATTTCTAACTTGGATCTCAATTCAATTGATTTGTTCAATTTTTTTTCTTTTTTTTTTTATAGGTTTTAATTTTATATAAGTGTTAAACAATAAACAAAGTTTGTTTTTAACAAATTAAAATTTATTTTTAATTTTATTTGAGCATTTAGTATTTATAAATGTATATTTTAATTTATAAGTATAATTTTGTAATTTTTTGAATTTATTAATTGACTAATAATTAAACATCTATTTATAGCTCTTTAGTATCTATGTATAAAGAAGTATGAAATTTTATTTAAAATTTATTTTAAAAGTAGTATGGTTTATTTCTTCAAACCATATTACAAAGGTATTTTTTTGAGATATAAATATGAGTTTTACATAAAAATAATTTTCTAAATCTGAAAGTTCTTACATATTTCATATCTTCAAAATTGGTTCCTAATGTTGAAGAATAAGCATAATTTAGTATTTGTTCAGTTTTTCTCAGGTATATCTATTTTTATTATTGGTAGTGTATAATAAAGTTTCCACTCAAGAAGTTTTGCAAAGAGTGTTTAGAGAACTTGCCATTATATGTATGGTAATTGTTTGATTTGAATTAAAGGTTTGTAATTACTATATTTATTAGTTTTAAATTTACCAAGAGTTATTAGCTATTTAAAGTTCTTAATAATAAATACATTGTTTTTAATTAATTTTTATTATTAGGTATGATTTTAAGTTAGTCAATAGTGTAATTTTATATTTTGTTATGTCGGGATATATAAAATTTATATCATATAGAGTTAATTATTTATGAAGGTATTTACTAAAAAAAAAAAAAATATTTTGAATTATAAAAATATGTTAGTCAAATTATTTTATAATATAAATTAGCTATAAGTTAATAAATATTCCTCCAATCTTGAAATTCTAGTCAATTTGTTGTCGTTCACAAAAAAATTGTATATCTTCATATATATATATATGAAATTATTTGGTTTATTTTTCAGAAACTTATTTAACATATTTAAATTTTTTAATACTTTGATGATTTTACTTGATATATTAATAAATAGATAAATTTATCTTAAAGTATCAATTAAATTGTCAACATAATAATATATGACTACGTATGCTGGTTCAATTTTTGTGCATTTATACCTTAATATTAAACAATAGGTTATATTTTGAGAAAATATGTATTATATAAATAGGTTTATCATTACCTAGGTCATTACCTATTTTATAATGTTAAACAAAATATTTTGTTGTAATTTTGTTAGTGTGGTTATTTGAAGTTTTTAGGTTTGTTTTTTGATGTAATGAAATTTGTTTTCTTATATTTTGTAGGTTATGATTTGTGTTACTTTTGAGTGAACAATTTGGCTAGTATATATATTTTTACTTTTGTTTAAATTTTGATTTAATGATATTTTATCCTTATTCTTATGTATCTTTAGGTACCTAAATGTCATAGTCTTTTTTAGAGATCTCACGTATTGATAATAATCATGTGGCTAAATTAAAATATTTTAAAATGTGTAGGAAGGGTAGTCATTCATAATTAATATGTTAAATGAGCTATTAATATTTTAAAGTTGTGCTTGATTTTATTTTAAAAATAGTCAATCTTTAATTAAATCATAAATGAATTATTCATGTTTTTATTTCTAAATTACTGTATTTTTTATTTAACTTAATTTGTATCTGGATTTTTAAGTCAATTATTATTAAGTTCCAAAAAGATATAATGAATTGTTGAGTTCTTTTTGATAATTAGAAGTATCATCAATTAAATGTACTTGCCAATAAGACATTATTAGACCTTACTGTTCTACACATTCTAATCAAGTGACTAGTATGTTGTAAGAATAGAGAACTATATTATATGTTTAATTTTAAAACTTTTTTTAGGCAGGGAAAATGAAACTTTAACCATTTTATATGGTTTAAAGTTAGAATTAACATTTAGTAATTATGGAATAGTTTACACATTACTTAAGGATATTTAAATGATATGTTCTACCTATAATATATAGCTACATGTACTCACCATGCAGTATTATAATTTATGAGTTAGTAAGACATAATTTTATGTAGATAACTAATTTTTAGTTAACATAAAATATGAGACTGTTACAATAGAATTATTTTATCAATGGTACTTAACAGTGAAATGTACTTTTTGGAACTTAATTGCTGACTTATTCTTAATGCTGAGAACTGAAAGAGAACTTTTATATTTTTTTTTTTTTATTGAAAATTGACTTGATTAAAATTGTTGTTTCATACACATTATTATTATCAATTTAACTGTATAATTATATAAAATTAAAAAAAAAAAATGAACAGAGAATAATATTATTTTTTTCATATTCAATTGACATTATTTGACAAATATTAAAATACGTGAAAACTAGATAGTATTATTAAAATGTTTCTAATTGTTTTTAGTTATATATTTCCATATTCTATTTTTAATTTTGATAAAACACTTGGAGTCGTATTATTTCTTTATTTTATTTGATTGATTAGTTAATTTTTTAATGTAAGTATAATACATATACTAATACATTTAACTGTCTGGATTTAGAAAACAGTTCATGCAGGGTTAGTTATCTAGTACATGATGAATTTTGTTTAACACCTATAAGAATAAAATTTACATTCAATCTTTTTGGGGAGAGTAAAAATGTAATTATTCTTGCAACCCACCCTTTTAACTAAATGGTTGACTGGAGCTAGTATTGTATTGTAGGTCGTGAAAACTAAAGAAAAAAGTACTCTCAAGAAAAAATTGTTACTGAACTTAAGTATGTTTTTAAATGGACCGAAAATATTAATAATTGAAAAATATCTCGTGTAAGCCTGAAATAAGTAAATTGTGATAACCATTAGTTTGGATATTTGGTAGTTTTCTGTAAGTCATTATATATTATTTTTTTGCTAGGATTTACCCCCATTATGTATAATTTATAATTATGGAAAAAGCGCCACTAAGTGATAATGCTATATATTTTGCCTGGTGAATTACTAGGAATATATGAATTTAAATTTCCGTATGTCTATTCTGATCATAAAAAACTGATATTTTCTGACTATTTAATTTATTATTTTAATATTTATTAATAATATACTAATTTGTATGATGATTTATTTGCATTTGAAAATAATAGTTAATTTTTTTAGAATTTCGAAAAACATATGATTATAGTTGTCTTAATATAAAATTATTATAATTATAATAAGAACTATATACTACATGTACACATGTTATTTACTATTAAATTTTAAATTGTTGGTACCTAAATAGTTTTCTAAATTTTATTTTAACAAAAATATATATATAATATAATAAACGTGTTCTATGTTTAATACAAATTAATGAATTATTCTTAGTGTTTTTTATCCCTGTGATAGCAGTCAAATGTTAATAATATATTCCACTTTAATTTTTGTTGATCAATAATAAATTTAAGTGTTAATTTAAACTGCAAAAAGGCATAATAATAATTGAATTATTGTAGTTACATTATATATCTTTAATGGATTTGTGTTGTCATAATTTGTCTCTCCGTATATAATTAAAAATAATGGCATTTTTTAAAATATTAACATGTAAGTACATGAATATACGTGTAGATTAAAATGTAAAAATATGTATCTTTCGGTTTCTGAGTTTTAATATAACCACGAATTTCTTATCTTTTATTATTTGTTAATTATTTAGAGTTAGATTTCTTATGTTTTAATAGTTATTCTGTTCATTCTTACTTCTTGTATGAGTGTAATCTAAGAGTTGTTAGTTAGAGAGTGAAACAAGTGTTATATAATTAGAAATGTCTGAACTTGTTTATATTACATTATAATTTGGATGGTAATATGAGTATAAATTGTTTTATTTTATATATGATCTGTTAATTTATGAAAATAAAAAACCTTTCAAGTACAAATTAATTAATTATGTTAATCTATATCAAGCTTTTTTTTTCTGAAAATTTTTTTTATTAAATTAATCGAATAGTTTTTTATTGGAACTTATTAAATATTGAATTAATATTATAAAATATACTTAATTGCTTATTATTTAATATGTAGGTACTTGAATTAATTTTTTGTGTGAAT